ATTTTTTTTGAAAAGCCATTTTGTTCAGAATAAAATTTACTTTAAAATGGGTTTTGTTTGAACTTTGTACGACATTAACAATATTTTTGTTTTTCATTTTACAACTTAATTTTGCAATAAAAATTAAATTTTTTAAACATTTGTTTTATTATAATTATTTTATCAAAAACTTCAATTATTTCAACGTAAAATGAGATACATTTTTTAAAAATCCATTCATTCTATCCTTAGATATTTATTTTTTTAAGAGCTTTGAAATTTAATTGTTAATATCTTGTAAAATATATTAAATAGGACAAATCGTTTTGGGCTATTGTTTTGTACAATATATACTTTTTAAAAAACAACAAAAAATTTAAAAATTATGATATCAAATTTTGGGTGCTACCGCTATTAAAGTTTTGACTCTTTTAAAAAATAGAAAATCGAACAATCTAAACGATGTTTCAGGTGCGAATACTTATTTCTTTTCAGTCTAGAGCTAACACAATAGACCGAAGAAAGAGGTCTCATTTTCTCGAGCCAAAACCAGTCATTAAAGAGGGACCCGCACCCCTACTTGAAATAATCATACCTCGGTACCATAGTCACCGCCACGCCACCCCTCCAAACGAATGTCTGAGTACCTATCGTAGACAAACAGTACAATGAGCTGAATGATATTTAAACCCTCATGCTACTAAAGTGAAAAAGTCATTCTTCTCCAGACATAGCTTAAATGCCGAATAGAAAGGTCTTACGACGGAAATTTATGAACTCAAAAAAAAAAAGGAGAAAAAATTTAACAAGTAAAAGGCTGCAGTCGCCATATCTTGTAGCCATAAATAATGATAGCGATATCAACGATGATAGAATTAGCCAATAGAAATGATTTATTTAATTATTAATGATAACTGTAAAGCAACGTTCATTATAAAATGATAAAGAATGCAAGAATTAAGATTAATTTTAACTACCTTTCATGTACTACATCGATATATTTATTTCATTTAGATCTTTTAAAGATGGCTATAATCCAGTATATGATGATGTTGATGTTATATGACGATCAGAGATCGCACACCTCGCAAAGGAGTCAGAATATTCTCTCTTCCTTTAATCATAATAACTTAGATACTTTATAAAATACGTATGAACACTTTGTCAAGATGACTATTATTCTATTTTTAATTGATACGAGTGCTTCTATGAATCAAAGGACTTACTTAGGGGCACGTCCAACTTTATTAGATGTAGCTAAGGATGCGGTGGAAAGATTTATTAAGGTAGAGGGATATTTATTTTTATCATAGCCAATTCATATGAGATGAGGAAAAAAAATTTAAATTTTCAATCTGATTTTTTTTTTTTTTTTGAGCATTTGTGATTAATTAGTTTAAACGTTTTTTTTTTAGAATTATTATTGTGTCAATTTACATGATTGACTTTGTGATAAACGTCTTTGTTTTGATAATCAGTAGAAAAAGGAATAATTAAAAAAAGAACTGTTTATTTAGTAAATAATAAATTACCTTTAATATTTTAAAAAAATTGCTGGTTTGTTGATATTTTAAATTAGTTTTATTAATTTGTTTAAAGTAGTTTTTATTTAGTTTCAAAACTTAAATAATAGCATTTTATTACTCGATTGTTTCAATTGTTCAGACTGTAAAAAAGAAATTTTTAAAATTGTTTATTAGTTTATTAGTATTTATTGTTTATTAGTATTTTTTAGTTAAATAAATGTAGATAAAATAGCACATTGTTTGTTGAAGGGCCTTTCAACTTTATGCCCTATTCGCATTGTGTTGGTTTCTTTGGATTTAGTATTAAAACTAATAATACCTAATTTACATAGAATAGAATTACTGATTCATATAGATTAGAGTTATAAAAAAAGGGTATTTTCTTATACTACTTAGTAAATCCCTTATCCTTTGAGAAAACATCCCGTGGACTACTAAAATGCAGCCTGCAGATGCTTCTGGGGGTGGGAATGTTTTGAATTGCACATTTGAGTCATTACTTTTTTACGCTCTCAGTTTGTACAGATTCTATTGTAAATCTATCTTGTTTCTCGATCACTTTTAATGCAGTATTTGCTTTGGAATTTTGCAGGATTTTTAAAGAAACCAATATTTTTAATATGTTACGATGGGAAATAATAAAGTTAAATAACAATAACTTGTTTTATTTCTGCTGAATTCATCATAAATCCAGTAATTTTGCGATTACTTTTTAAATTTTTTTAATGGCAGTTATAACTGTGGATGTAACGAATAGTAATCTGGCCAAATACCAAATAATCTGCCAAAAATATTGGCCAAATTAAATTTTTTTTTTTAAAATTTTTCATAAATATTATTTTTTATATATAGATCAATTTAGTTATTCTTGAAAAATTATCAAAACTTATCTGTATTATTAGTAAGGGGTAAAGAGAATAAAACTTGATTAAAAATTTTTAAGATAAAAAAGATAATTAGATATCAAGATAATTAGAAATATTTAAAATAAATAAAAACTGAGAAACAGCTATTTAAAAAAAACTTAAGTTGGAATGATAATTGAAAAATTGATAATGGTTGAATTCATAATGAATTAAAAAGATAAATAGAAAAAAAAATTCCGTTTTAATTCTTAAAACAAAACTTTTTAATGCTAAAAATAATATTTTGCGGAAAAAAAATAATCTATGAAGTATTAAATGAGATAATGTCTACCAGAAAGGATAAATCAATTTTAAATTTTAAAAGAAAATTTTAAAGCTAAACATATCAGATTTACAATTACCATATTTTCAAGAAAAAGTGAAGTTTTAAGTCTACTAGAAACCCTCTTAATTACTGTTTCATAATAAAAATGTCTACAAAAACAAAAGTTTTTTTAAAAAGAAAAATCTTGATAGGAACCAAACCAAAACACAAATCGTTCTTAATTTTTAAATGTCAAAATCTCAATTGAATTTTTTTCTGTTATCCTATTTTTTAAAAAAAGTGGCATAAAAGTATAACATTTATTAGATAAGCTCTTTAAAAAATGCTGTATGTAAAATGCAACCATCAGTCTAAGGAAATACCTGGGACAATGGCACTTTAAAAAAAACAAAAAAACATCAGTGTAGACTATACCAGGCCGTGACACTTAATATTAAAAAATTTTAGGGTTATCAATCAATGTCCTACACATCCCTTGTATAATAATAAATAGCAATTGTTATTGTTTATTATGTTTGGTGTTTGATTTAGCAAAAGAAAATTTACCATTACCAATTTCCCTCTTTTATTGAAGAGTTACCATTTTTTTTTATTCATTGTATAAAAAAAATATTTCCATTGTGTTTCTTAACCACTGAGCTAATTATCTGTTCCCCCAATTTGTTTATCCACTGATAATCTAGAATTTTCGGTTGACTAATGAATTCTAGTTTTAAAAGAAAATTATGATTCTTCCAATTTTTAATAATTATATTGATGGTAGCTGTATCTAGTGTGTGATTATTTTATTTTCTAGATAAGGCAAAGAGATTCAGCTAGTAGGGGAGATCGCTACATGTTGCTGACTTTTGAAGAGCCTCCTGCAAATATCAAAGTATACTATATTTTAATCTTTGTTCTCTTTAACGGTGTTGTATAGTGTCACTTGTGGGTGGAATAAAAGTGAGTTTTTCTTTGCAGGCTGGCTGGAAAGAAAGTTTGGCCACTTTCATGACGGAACTCAAGAATTTGCAATCTGTTGGAATGACTACTCTTGGTGCTGCATTGAAATATGCATTTGACTTACTGAATATAAATCGAATGCAGACGGGTATCGATACTTACAGTCAGGGCAGATGTCCTTTCTATTTGGAACCATCGATCATAATTGTCATCACTGATGGTGGACGCCTCTCTACTACACTCGGCGTCCAAGAGGAAGTGAGTGAATTCAACTTCCTTTGTTATAGTGTTTCTCAATTCTTCTGTAATCCAAGTAACTTGTCTTCTTAAATTGACTGCTTCCCATTTATATGCAATAATATTTTGGATCTGTGGCATCATATATTTTAAGAGCCGAAATGGCATAGGTTTAAAGAGATAATTGTGGCACTTGCAGCATTTAATTAAAATTATAAAATGGAATTTTAGTCTTTTAAAAAAAGATTTTAATAATTATAATTAACTTCTTCTTAAATCTAAAATAAAAATGTATTCAAGAATAACCAATATAAATTATGTGTATAAGTTACAAAAAAAGCTTTTAGTTAATGTGCTTTTTCATAGAATAACACAACATGAATCAAATCAGATAAAGAAATGACAAAATTATTCTATTGTTGAACTGTTCAGCAGATGCCTTTTCATTTTCTACCCGATATCTATTGTTTGAGCCAGAAAAAAACAAAAATATTGCTGAACATAGTAAATTTCAATTTTTTTTAGTCAGAATCAATATTAAAATCTTATATGAAGAATTTGTGAACATAAAAGAAAATAAAACTGTTTTTCACCACAAACTATTTTATCTTTATTTTTTTGAAAAACATACTAATCTACACTGGTGGTGCGTTCTATTTACATAATTGTTAAGAGTTAAAGAAGGTAAATAAATTTTACTTGTGATAATCTCCTTTGTAGTTTATCAATGAAAAAACTTGTAAACAATGGTTGTTTTACAGCATGTTATGTGCAGTTACAATAGTTTTAAACTTATTAAAAATTTAAAGTGCAATTTTACGTATCACAGAAAATAAAATAATTATATTGTTTTTTTTTAAAGACCAGATTGCAAGTTCAAAAAGGAAAGAGTGTGTATTGGCACTAATTTTCTTAGTAATGTGTGCAACGAAAGATTAAAAGCAAATGCAAAGGAGTCTAAAAAAATATGTTGGTATAATTTTATGAGGTAATATGGTTGCTCATCTAACATGTCCTTCCTTCAACAATATCTCTATATTGGAGTAGACATGTATTGGTGAGTGAGGGAGTGGCATGCCTCAGCAATTACCTTACTTATCTTATGTCATTTGGCTATGTTATGTTCGTACAGTGTTGAGTAATGAAAAAGCTTTTTGCAGTCTAAATTAGTCAATTGTGATAAAGTCAACGTGCTTAAAACATTTTATTTATCATTTTATAGCTAAATCTTCCTATGCACTCTTCTGTTCCTGGATCTGAACTGACAAAAGAGCCTTTTCGGTGGGATCAGAGACTTTTCTCCCTCGTCCTCAGGCTGACTGGAATCCCCCCTGCTGACAGAGAGCCCTCTTCCGTCGTCCCTCCCGATAATTCCCCTGTTGATGCAATGTGTGATGTAACAGGAGGTGTGTGTAACATTCTTATCATAAATTCATGTATTTATTTTTGGGCCTCACTTTGGCTCGCCAAATTTTAAAAAGGAGATTATGAAGCTGGTGACATTTTTCATTGTATAGCTTTTAAGCTGATAGAAAATTAGCTCTCTGTAAAACTTACAATATTTAACTTCAACAAGAGTATCAGACTATGACGTTTAGTACTATATTCATGATTTTTAATTGTTCAATTATTTGGTTTATTTTTTAATGGCTACATAATTAGAATTTTTTTAAAAATATGTGATAAAAGTTAGATTTCTCATCTTTAAACTGAGAAGGATAGCCATAATCAGTAAGATATAGTCCCAATTGTTTAGTTAAAGAGACATAGAATTGTTATTTTATACTGTTAATTTTACAAGTTATGGAAAAATTGTTGAAAAATCTAGCAATGAATGCATTTGCCATTTTGAATTACTATTTTGTGTCTAATGTGGTTCTCATAGTGTAGATTCAACATTTGTTTTCCCAATATGCTTAAAATAAACATTAAAATGGTGAAATAAATATTTATAAAAAAACAATATGCAGGCATTTGTTCATATTAAGTAAAGAGCAAAAGATTTTGTTTATTGAAAATTGTTATATTTTAGGAAATTAGTGAAACAGTTGTTCATGAAATAATGATATTTGCAGAGTTTGTTTATAATTCATTCCTTAAAAAGGTCTAGCAACAAAAGAAGGCTTAGAAATACTGATTTTATATTATCATATTAACCAGTATAGCGTTACAAACAAAATGTATCTGCCCACATAATCTATAGTGCCAAAATGCTGCAATCTGAGATGCTCACTGCATATAAACCTGACGGACAACTTTTAGTTCATTTTCTAGAAAAATGCTGAATCAATTAATGGTTAAGCTTAAGTACTTACACCTGATTTATCTGTTTGCACAATTTATTTTAAATTTCTTTCTTATAATTACTATATTTTTGTATGACTATTTGTGTTGCAGGTCGTTCTTATGCCGTTATATCACAAAGAATGTTAATGCAGTGTTTAGAATCACTTGTTCAGAAACTACAAGGGGGTGTAGTTATCAACTTTGAAAAGATAGGCCCTGATCCCCCACCACTGAATGGTGAAGGTAACTTTGCTTTTTATTATTATCAAAATTCCTACACATTTTATCATGGTTCTCTATTCTTTACTCTAAAACACATTTTTTATTTAAATTCATTTTTACTTAGAAATGGTAGAAGAGAGAAGTACTTTAAAACCTGCCTCACCAAGTTTAAATCCACCCACTCCGGCTCAAAATGGGAGGTCTAGTCCTGCTGTTTTTAATATGAGCAACAATGCATCTTGGCAATCTTGTCGTAAGCTGATCTATGTACAGAGGTCTGCTCAAAAAGGCTACACTGTTGGCCACTGGCCACTTCCTGAATCATTTTGGCCTGATCAAAGCAGTCCTGCATTGGTAAGTGAAATGTTCCTTTAATCTTTTGCTTACGGCTGGTATAACAGGCGGACCAGAATGCAGGGCTTCATCGCTCTGAGCTCTGTAAGCAAAGGGTTAAAGCTTATTTTTATTTCTTTTAAAATAAGTCTTTTTATTAATTTATTTTTAAATTAAAGTTTTGTTCAGTTGATAATGCATGCTTCCTTCTTTATTTATACTTCGGATGATTGAATTATTACTTAATTGTTTTTTGTGGTTCATATTCTTACATTTCTTTGTTTTTGAATAGTATGTGAATACTTTTTATAAATTTCATCTTTCCCAATTTGAACTGCAACTTTATTTACTATGGAAACCATATATATATATATATATATGTTCCATAGTACCTTNATTTTACATCTAAAAGTTGAATTAAACTTGTTTTTTTTACTGTATTGGAAGTATTTCTTTAATTAGTCCACCTTACAACACATTTCCATTTTTAACACGTAAATGAATTGGAAAAAAAAAAAAGGAAACGAGATTACACGGGGTTTGAACCGTACACTGTAGAAAAAGAAAAGAATGTGCCTTTTCCAATACGTTACGGGGAATTACCATGGCTGCCATTTTTCTCTCTGAGCATAGAACGAGGGGTAAGGGGTAGAAAATAGGTGCGTTATGTGGCCCAAAAATAAGTAACATCTTTGAATTCATCCTAAAAATAAATGTTTTGTTTCGTATCAATTATAACTTTGGTGCTTATTCATTATTGAATTGGGACAAATTCAACATTAATGATAACAGATAAGTGTTGACATTAAGTGAAGTTTTGTTTTCGCTACAATTGATGCTTTATTGGGTTGCAAGGCTGAAATATATATATATATATATATATATTTAGTAAGTATATATATAGCACAAATAAAACAAGGAGAAAAGCGAAGAAAATTAATAAGTTTTATTAACTACGCATGAGCTGCAAGTTTATAGAACTCAGAAAATAAGTTAAAATATTGAGAAAATATAGAAAAAAAATAAAAAATAGAGACAAGAGAAGAAAATTATTGAAAATATATTTAAAAATATATAATTTTTGATATCTAAAAAAAAAATAATAATAAATCCAGAAAACAAAACAAAGAAAAGATATTATCTCTTCATCAGCCCACGCAATTATATCCGCAAAAAAGAGTGCTTTCTGATATTGTATTAATATAGCCAAAGCAAAATATATCAATACAATAGTGTGAGGAGCACTCAAAACAATTGAAACGAAATTAGAACACATTAAGTAAAAAATGTATACGTAAAAACAAACAAATATATATATATATATATTGAATAATAATTCAAAATCATTCTATACAATGAAAATAAAATTACTTGAATATTGCGGCATTTTTATATTAAAATTTTTTTTAAAATTAAAAATGCTTGAGCCATTTATTTATTTTGATAGTACTGGTAAATATGTAAGTTTTCATAAAATCTGGAGTTTTTGTGTGCAGGATGTAAAAGTATTTAACGTGAAGTTATTTATTGTGTTTTAATGCAAATAAGATAAATTACCAAAACATCCCAATGCTATAGAATTGAAGCATCAAAGTATTACCAACTATGTTGAGAATGTTTTTATTGAAAGACATAATGACAACTTTTTCATATCTTGGTGGATGCACACATAGATTCAGTAATTTTTATGAATAACATTTACTTAAATAAACTTTTTCATTTAATTTTTGTATCAAAAATGTAATTTTATTTATCAGAATGGTTTGACATTGAGATGGCAACTGTTTTTAGTTATTATATATTCTGGTTTGTATCAATATTTCCTTTAGCAGTTTTATTTAGTGATAAAACAAAACCTTTTGGAGATGCTCTCTATGACCTTTTATTGAGTAATACATGTTTGTATATAAATAACATTTTGAATTGTCCTCCTCCAACATGAACCTGCTGCTTTGCAGTAACACTTTTATCCCTGCTGCATTTGACAGCATAGCTCATGAATGCATGATATTTTAAGGCACATCAGGGGAAAATCTATTTAAATCCATGACCTCATGGGGAAAAAAGGTTTTTCCTATGATTTTTTTAAAAATAAAAGTGGAAATTTTAGTCCATATTCTTTTGCAAATATCATGTTTATATGTGTATTAGATTTCTGGATATCATACTTTTAAAAAAATTGGTGAGAGGGCAAAAAATTTAAAAGTTGGTTTTCAAATTCTCTTGGGAAAAACTGTCCTCAAAACGGAAACAATGAAAAGCTTTTTTTTTTTAAGGACTACAAAACGGTTTTGTGTAAAAGAGCTACTATTTGCAGAAAAATCTTTAAAACATCATGGTCAAAAAATTTAACATACAAACTAATTTTTTTAAAAAAAGTGAAAATCTAACTAAGATATATTATAGCTTGCCAATATCTGTTTCATGTTTGCAAAATAAAATTTTATGCCCAAAATGCTCTGAATATTTGAGTACTTAAAACACCTACACATTTTATTATATACCAGGTGAATACCTGTTCTCTGTATGGGGTGGAAAAAATTAGAGTGCTATTTAATCAATACTGAACAACACCACAAAACCATGCACAAAACTAATACATATACCAACAAAATTAATAAAGATAAAATAGTTCTGATTTTTTTATTTATTATTTTTTGTCCTTGCTGGGGGCTCTACGTCATTAGATCAAGTTTAACATGTTTTTAGAAGTTCATCCCATCAAAATAATGGTTGACTGTAATCAGTGTCTTTTGGAAAGATGCTGTTGCTCGAGGTCAAATCATGTTGGTTAAAATTTACTTCAATTAAATGAAATTTTTCTGGTACTTATCCCTTATGAAGGCCAGTAAAACACCTCTTTCCGCAGTATTTATATGAAACTACATAGTAATGATGCAGTTTTAATTGTTACCAAATATACTTAACTTTACCTACTTTAGAATATTTAGTATTGATTAAAATTGCATAAATTGCCATAGTACAAACAGCGCCTATTACCACAATTAAGCACTATTGGTATCATAGTATGGCGATTATTTATATGCCAAATGTAGTATGTCGATTTTTTATATTTCTCTTGAACGAATTAGTACCATATCTCCATTAATTTTGCTTCTTAGTACAAAATTTATTTTCTATTATATTAAGTAACTATTACTAAAATTAATTAAACATCATTAGCGTCAAAAATAGAATGGCAATTTTTTAGGTCTTATCTAAATGAATTAGAACCATTTCTCCAGTAATTTTGCTTTTTAGTATGTAGCTTAAAGTTTTATTTTAGTTAGTACCTATTACCAAAATTAATTAATCATCATCAGCTTCGATTATATTATGGTGGTTTTTTACTTTTCTTCTAAATAAATAAGTACCATTTCTCCTTTAAATTTGCTATTTAATACACTATTTATTTTTTTATTTCAATTATAGTATCTATTACTGAAATTAAGCGTATTTTATCTTTTCTCCTAGACAAATTAGTACAATTTCTCCATTAGTTATTCTCTTTAATACATAGCGTTTTTTTTTTTTTTCGTTAGTAACCTATTACAAAATTTATTTAGCTTCAAAGGCATCAATATTCATATGACAATTTACGACGCTTCTTCTAAATGAATTAGTACCATTTCCCTATTTATTTTTCACTTTATTACATAGCTCTTTTTTATTCCAATTAATACCTTTTACCAAAATTATTCAAGCATCATTGATGTCAATAATAGTGTGTTGATATTTTACCTTCCTCCTAAACAACTTAGTGCTATTCCTCCATTAATTTTGCATCTCAGTGCATCAAGTAAAATTATTTAGTTGCTTAGAAATAAGTTTTAAAAGCAGAATTATAAACGAAATACAAATCTATTAATTCTCATTACTTAGAAATAAAAAATAAAACTAATTTGGTAACCTAGTATGCCTATGCTACCATGCTCACTTTAGTGATTGTACTTATTTAACATGACTATTAAAAAATAATTAAATATCTAAGTGTGTGCAATAAGCTCCTTTTTGGATTAATGAGAGCTATAAGCAAGTAAGCAGCACTTGTGCTACTTTTAAAATCGTAATCGTCTAGGGTTTCATTCATATTAGTTTTGCTAGCTCTAAGCCAATGAGAAAATTCCATTTTTTAAATGTCTCTCCTGAACAATCTATTTGAAATTTTGAATGAATTTTAAGATTGATACTCACTGCCCAAATTTCACGACGTTAGCACAAATATTTCTGGAGTAATAAGAGGAACTCCCACACACAAGCTCTTCATTTTATTATTATTATAGATGTATAGAAAATTTTGTCTTTCATATTTTTAATGATATTTATATTCTTCAGGTATTTGTGAGCAGCAGCTACAAAAATAGTGATGTAGATTATCCTTTTGGCTACCTGAAAGCTAGTACAAGCCTCACTTGTGTCAATTTGTTTGTTATGCCTTACAACTATCCTGTTTTACTACCTCTCTTAGGTATCAGTTGTTCACTGTCAGTTTGTTATTTAAATCTTTTATTATTATTTAAATTGAACTTTACTTATAATTCTTATGTAATAATTGAAACTTCCTTCGAATTAACTTGTTATAAACAATTTTCATATTTAGTAATTTATTTTATTTTATATTGAGTTGTGATTTTTGGCAACAAAAATTTGTGAAGCAATTAAATCTCTGTATCAAAATTAAAACAAGAAAAGAGGCTGCATTAAAATATGTCTCCATTTATCAAATTATGCTTAAAATTTGGTTTTGATTATCAGTGTCATCAGCTAAAATATTTTCTTTTAATCCTACGCCGGACCTAGCTGTGTCACTATCAGTCTACGACGGGCAGCCCAATACAGTTCAGAAGCACAAAAAAAAAATTGACTGAAATTCTTTGCAGCATTTACAGCTGCTATATCAGTAAGTCCAGGACAGCAATTTAAGTGATCACTGCTCATGTCAGACCCAGTCAGACAGAGTGGTGGGCATATTGGAGAGCTCACCAATCCAATTTTATGAAGGTGCTTCCTAAGGTAATTATGTCTGGTAAATATCCTGAAATCAACTACCCCCTGCAATGTCTGGGCAGATCATATGGTATGGGATTTTCCAACAAGGAATCCCAGGTCTTCCCACTGGTTAGGTTGATAATAGTTTCATGATATATAGCTTTAAACTTAGCTGTAATAATTCTTTTAATACTATGGTATTTGGTTGAGGAAGGTTAGGCGCCGCCTTCGGAAGCAAATCAGCAAACTCGTTCCCTACGACACCACAATGACTTGGCATCCATTGTAGGGCAAGATTTTGTCCACTTTTTGTCAGAAAATCTATCAGAAGTTGACCTTTAAGAACAACTATTTTTAGCTGGCACAACTGAAGAGATAGCTCTGATAGTGGCTTGTGAATCAATAAAAATCACAATGTTCTGTTCCTCTCTTTCTGCAATCTTAGTTGTTGCCATGTGAACAGCATCCACTTAACTATCAAAATTTGTACAATGCTTACCAACAGCTATGCTGAGGCTAAAGTGCCTGAAGTAAGCACCAGCATTTGTATGAATATCAGTGCTGTTTTGGAAATCTTTTGCTTAAGTTCATTATTCATTTTCAACTATGTCTGTTCTTTTTAGTAACAGGCAAAACCAAATCCAGTTTACACTCAGCCAAGCTCAGATGTCTATGAAACATTGTTGTTATTGATAAGAATTGTCTCTTTGTAGGGATGTCAAAAACAGTAGACAGCTCTGTTGTCACCTGTAAAAAAATTATTTGTGATTTTAACCTGTGCACTGTCGGGGTATAGCTCACCCAGAAGTCATTTCGCTTCTTTAGTCTACCCACCAACTTAAAAACACCAATTTTTCTATGATGGGAAAAAGGCGTTATTCTAGTCGGCTTTTGCTTGCCCAGAATCGGAGTAGAGAATGCATCCCCTGTAGTAATTCTAAGGGCGTTATTTTTGAGTGATTTCCATACTGTCCTGCACTGTCTCATCAGCTAAAATATATTAGTAAATAATTTTGTGCCACTTTGTATATCTTTTTAAAAATTAATTAAACATTGCCATTCACAGTTTATAATTTATCATTATTTATTTCCTTCTTCATTAAAGTAACATTTTATTATTTTTTCTTTTTAGATGATTTGTTTAAAGTTCATAGGTGCAAACCTCCAAGAGAATGGAAACAGCAGTTTGACAATTATCTGAAAAATATGCCTTTGTATTATGCAGCTGTAAGTTTATATTTTCCATTTTATTTTTCCTCTTTTATGAAAAAAATATCCTTTTGATTTAGGGGAACTCACTAAACTCACCTGAAATAATTTTTTTGAAAGTAAGTAGTGGATATTTGTGACAAAAAATCATAAAATCACTCTCACTAAACTCACCTGAAATAATTTTTTTGAAATCAAGTAGTGGATATTTGTGACAAAAAATCATAAAATCTTAGACAAAGTATCACAGGATAGAATCTTATTGTATCATTACTTAGAACCATTAGACAGAAATGTATGTTGGCCAAATAGCATGTTACAGAAATTCCCATAGACAAAAAATATTTTTTAACAAAATCTCATGTGTACAATGTATCGTATGGCAAAATCTNAAAAAAAAAAAAAAAAAAAAAAAAAAAAAAAAAAAAAAAAACGAAATCAAAATAGTATTTAAAAGTTTCATATACAGTAGCATTTATAGCAGGTAACATTTTGTTGCAAAACCGTTTTGTATATGCATTTCATTTTTGTTTCATATGTAATGTTTCTCTGAGTTTTGAAATTGTTCCTTGTGTTAACTTTATTTTCCTTAATACTTAACTACTCATTATTTTAATTTTTTTTTATTAATATGGAAATTTGTGTTTTTTATTGCTTCTCTTTAACCTTCTGCTTTGAATTACGAATGCCATATTACAATTTATCGACAAAAGAATATTAAGTTGTGCATAATTGGTTCGATTATACCTGTAACTAGTAATTTCTGTTAATAAAATTTCATTTCGTTAATGCATTTGCTTTGCAAAGAATTCAGGGGGGAAGGGATCAAATTTGCCCTCAAAACTAATTCTACAATATCTTGGTATACTTTTTAAATTTTTGAAAGTAAGGTTTAGCATTTTGAATTTAATTTGGAAAATGGTGGAAGCTCACAATATTTATTTGTTAATTTGAAATTAAAAGTTAAGTGTACATGTAATTACCCAGTTATAAAATTTTAGTTGAATTAATTTTTCTTCTTCCTCAGCCTCTTAAGCGAGCTTTACAAAGAATGGGTGCTCCTAACCTCGTGCCCGATACTATGGAAAATTGCTTGAGTTATAGTGTTTTGAACTATTTAAAAAGGCTAAAAAACCAGGTAAGTACTACTATTTGGCAAAATTATTAATATTGCTTTTGTTTATTGGATTTGTTCTTTGCTTATCTCATCATTTTTGTGTAGTACAGTGTAGATTATTTTAAGTTCTAACTTGGCTATTTTATATTTATTTTTTTAGGCTAAAACTGAATTTGAAAAACTAATCTCGACCGTTGGAACCAAAAAGACTATTTCAGACGGAATTCGCGTCAATCCGGCTCCCCAGCGCCCTTTTGGCGCCTCAACTAAACTATCTGAAATGAACTTGACGCCACATTTAGTAATGAATGACAGATTTACTGCTTTGAAAAATGATATAAATGATTTTAACCATTTTGTTTTATACGTTAAAGACAAAGATATTAAACATGAAAGTTATCGAAATGCTTATGATATACCCAGAAATAATATTTTGGATCAGCTAGCAAGGATGAGATCTAACTTCCTACAATGTTCATTGAGCCACACACGACTTCAAGATGAAGGTTAGATTACTTTATTTCTTTTAATTACAGGGTTCCCATTACTCAAGGATCAGATTTAAAATCCCCTTCAAAAATTACAATAGACCATCAATCAGCCTCAACTGTATGCAGCTATTTAAGTTAAATAATTGTAACATCTGTACTGTAGTTATTCCTTTTAAAAATTTTAAGTTATAGTGATATTTATTCAGTGACTATTTGTTTCTCACAAATTCTAATATTTTACTTAAAAAGTAATGCATAGTTGTTGGCCAATGGGAACTTGAAACCTCCTCAATTTCGAGACAGACTCTGTGCCAATTGCAATGTTATCGACATTGCACACTAACCACCTTTGCTTCTCAGGTGATCAGGCACCCATACATCTAAAACTTAGTAGGCTTCAAGACACCACAAGGGATAGAACCCTGGTACTATATAGTGCTTTATGGCAGTTCAGTGCTTTTACCACTGTTTAAATGTTTGACTTATTAAGTTATTGTTTTGTATATCTAAAATCTAGTCTGACATTTTCTTAGTGGGAACCCTAATCAATGCTTAATTTAGATATTGATATTTATTTTTAATTTTTTAAAACTTTTAAATAACAATTTCCATTTGCTTATTATATTTTTTTCAGTGGTCAACTTGTACACCTAACATACTAAAAATTTTCTATCTCATAAAAAAAAAAATCCAAGGTCAACTTGTACACTGATTTGTACCGTACATAAAAAGATAAAGAATTTATAGAATTATTATAAGCAAATACCATAAGTGGAGGAAAAATAAATTTTTAGAAGTTTTTTTAAATTACTTCAGCTACTTGCATTTTTTCTTGCTCAAATTTCAGTTTGTTTTTTTTTTCAATTATTTTAAATATTTTTTGCACATTAAGTTTTTGGATTTCTATTTTCAGCGTTTTTGGTTTTTTACACAACTCATCCTTGAATAATGAAAGTAAAAATCACGAAAATCGATAGCTCAAACTTAGGGACTCTCCACCATTTGTCTTATGGTTTAGGCATATCTGCAGGATTCATTGTTATAGACTTTTTGGATATTCATTCATTTTACTAAAAAGATACTCCTAATTTTACCTTATCATAAGGGTCACATTCCCCCTAAAAAATCCCCCCCCCTTAAAATATGCTAGAATTTTGCTGGTGTTCCTAAAAAATGAAAATATTATGCAAAATAGCACATAAATCACCCCAACTCGAATGAATGCTCTTATCTAAATCAGGGCTACACATGTTCAAACTATCAGCTTCAAGCAGATTACTCATGAAAATAGCGCTCAACACTGCTTCAGAAGCTTTCATCCTCCAGCAACATTTTGAAACATTTTCGCTGTGTTTTCAAAGTGAATTATTATAGAATCGATTATACAATTATTCAGTGAAATGAATAAGTTCATAGACATGTTCATGCAAGATCTTGTTGCTGCCAAAAGAGGCACAGATTTAAGGAATACTATTGTTGATAATGGTAACTATTGGGAATAATATACTTCTGTTGAAAGCGTTGTGTTTTAATGTTCGTAAATTTCCATGGTAAGAGCGGTTTATTGAATTTGATTAGCTTTTTCTCCTAGAAAATATGAATTAGAATATTCTAAAAAATTTACCTTTTCTCGGATAGTTGGACAAGTTAGTTATTTCTAAGCTGTTTGCTAGCTGCTATATTAAAGCAATCTAAATAGAAACAATTTCATAAACAATTAAGAGAGGTTGGAGAGCATCAGCGTGGAGGAGTGAAAAAACAGTGCTGATCTATTCAAGTAAAATAAAGATAAGCAGTGGATGACAAACGTGTTAAATCCAAGTAATACACCCAAATCTCTATGGCGGTTATTCTAAACACAAATGATCAATCTAGGAAAATTGTCATTTTATGCGCTTATTGTATATTCTAATAAAATTTTACTTTAATGCTTTTGAAGATCTTAAAACGTTAGAAAAAGTCATGAAAGTCAGGCTGGTATAATTATTTTTGAACTTGGCACCTCTCAAAGCTGAATTGCGGTTCAAAATTACCACTCCGGTTGTTCTAATGTTAATTTTAGAAATTTTCATATTTGTGTTTTTTCAATGGACGACTTACACACCAGACATACCAGAAATTTGCTACCTCATAATTAAAAATAGGGTGTTGATTTATACACCAGTATGTACTGTATTTTAGTCTTCTTTTTATTTTTTTTAAATGAAATTTGTCTTTATTGTGCTTAAGTAAAGCAAATTATAATTTTTCATTTAATCATTTACTCTTTTTAAAAGTAGTCAGGTTGTGTACAGTGTACCAAAAAATGCCTTTATTTGTTTATTTTTTTTGTAAAACAATGTCTTGATTTTTTTCATAAATTCTGCGTATGTGCTTTTTTAAGCCTGTAAAAGTAACAAAGGACTTTATTTTTAAATCGATTCCTAGTGATCTTTCTTCCTTTTATTTACTTTTCAGTATCATTTAGTGACCAGTCTATGTCATCATTGCCTATTGTACATAATTTTGTTTAAGTTAAAATTAAAAGTATTTAATTTAGTTTTAAAATTAAATGTATTTGCTATTCTCATTGCAGTGTTCAGTATAATTTTAGATATTTTACTGGTAAACAAAATTGGTTTTCAGTTTTATCCCCTATTTAACTATCTTCCAACGCTTTCTAATTTGAGTCTCTTTGTTTCATTTTTTAGTGAAATGTTTTAATTTGTTTAAAGATTAATGTTTTTAAAATGTTTCAATTGATATCAAAAATTTTTAGTTTCAAAAATGTGATTTTGTAAAAAAATATTTGAAAGACTTGGAATAAAAGAGTGTTTTATCCTGTCTATTTCCAGATCAGATGCACAGTCTGCCTGTGAGTCAAATGGGAAATTATCAAGAATACTTGAAACGTTTCACTCCCCCATTGAGAGAAATTGAATCCATCCCAGTCCGTCAGCACATGTTCGGTAATCCTTTCAAAATAGATAAGGTAATCAGTTTATTTTTACGTCTTTTGAATATGTTCTAATTTTACATTTTTACTTTGCTTTATTTAATGCATGAATTAATCTGTTTACATTCTTTGCAGAGAATGATGGTGGATGAAGCTGATATTGATCTTGTTGGTGGAGGTGGTGGGGGAAGCTCTCCAGTGAGGGGGCAAAAGCGAATGTTAGACTCCCCCATAGGGTCACCTAAAGCTAAACGCAAGCCTGGACCTTTGCCAAAAGATTTTCCCGTTTGGAGGCCCCAAAGCCCCACCCCCGTTTCCCACAATTTAAACAATTTATCACCTGACGTTAATATTTTACCCTTTAATCCTGCAAATGACACGGATGATGAACTTTTTATTATAGAAAAAGAGCGCCATGCTCCTCCACTGAGTAAGATTTTTTACTGTGTTTTTTTTTCTTCTTTTCATTTATGACTTTGATATTTTTAATATAAAGATAAATATTAATTTAAATGATGTGACTTTTATTTATTCTGAGTTAATGCAAAATAAAAAATTAATTTGGCTGACCTGACTTGATTTACTTAACAAATCTTTATAAAAAATATTAAATTTTTTTTTGTTTAGTCATTAGTATTAAAAAATAACATATTGAAATTGTTTCACATTCTTTCATTTTCTTTCTAATTTAATATTTTTTAAAGGGCAAGAATTTTAGTGTTTTCTTCTCTTTATTTAGTTATATAAGTAAATGGGACAAATTTATAAATATTTTTTTAAGGGGAAATATATTTCCTCTTTAATAAGTACCGTTAGAAAGAAACTTAATAATTAAATTCGTCAAACAGATTTATTTGTTGTTCTGTGATTCATGTTTAAATGTGAGAAACGATAGATATTTTTGAAACAAACATTTATTTTGAATTTAACTTACACAGTAGCTATAAAATAGTTATTTAAAAAAAAAAAATTTGCCTTCATCACTTTTAAATTTAGTTTATTAATTTAATTTCTTTTAACTGCTCATCGAGTCATTTGTAGATTCAATCTCAAGTAGTAAAAAAATAGCATTGTAGTATTGTCACATTTAATTAAACTTCATATTTTTTAACCAGTGTGTAAACTGTTCCATAAATCTGAAATGAAATACATCATACAATGATTCAATTTAATAGTTTAGATTTGTTTTAATGTGTACTTATGTTTTTATTTATCTGGATTCAGTTTTCTTTTATTTTTTTAATTTAATCTAATACATCTTTTCCATTTAAAAAATTCCTGTTTACAACAAAGCATAATTCGAATCTTGAATTTAAAAGTAGTTCTGAGAATATGCTATAAAATGTCTCATCTAACAAAGAGAACACAAACAGCTTTTATTTTCTTTTATATCAAACAGTATTTATATAGGCCTTTAATCCAGAACCTACACCCTTGACTCAGTGTAGAGTATTTTCTTCTTTTTTTCCCCTGCTGAGTAAAACTGTTTTTTTTTTCCCTGGGAGCTAGTTAATCACAAAATGCTGTTTTGCAAAAAAATAAACGTAATGATTTATTTAATTGACTGTATGTCATATCATTAAAAAAGCACTTTATTGACATTTTAAAACTAGTAATTCGCAAGTTTATACTTCTAGTAGATTTTAATTTCATTTGAAATAAATGTTATATTTAATTTTTTTATCATCTTCCTTTTAATTAAAAGTTGAGTTTTTCTTCTTTTAATTAGCACACATGGATGATGGGCTGTTCACATGGAATAATAATACAGATATGCAAGTCATGAACCATGTCAACTCACGCAATGCTGTGGACCACGAGGAGGACGATTTGTGGGACGATGAAGACCCCGGTCTGGACCTAGCGCCGCCCACTCTAAATTGCGTGAATGATGTAAAACATATTTTCCAAGATACACTTTTTCGGACTGAAATCGTACGCGTCAGAAGCTCTTTATTTAAGGAAGTCCGAAAACCAGGAAGGAGTATGTAGATATCATGTGTATTTCACATTGTACCTTATGTAGTGTGTTTAGAATCAATTTTAGGGTGTTTTGAAACGAACATGAAGAAAAAATGTGAATGGTGCCAAAATGAAAAAAAAAAAATTCCTGTTTTCTTGAATTAATTTTCAGTGTCTCCAAATTCTGTTTCTTCTCTAACCACTTATTTTCTTACTCCCTAACACAAGACAAACTCTTTTTCTGTGGCAGAAAAATGCAGCTCAATATGTGATTGCTGGATTAGTTTCTTACTCACTGCTGACCACAGTGATGGTGCAAAGTGCTTTTATTGTCCAGTAAACTAAATGTGTAAGATTTTGTTACTTTTTTTTCTTTATTTTTTTATGTAAAATAAATATTGGTTTTACTAAATAATAGAAACTATATTTGCTTCAAAATATGTGAAGATAATTTTGCAAGTCTGCATGTTTCAAGCACTCAAAAATAGGCACCCATTCTCAAGACTTGCCAGTGGCAAATGAGAAAAACAAATAGATTCAAAGCAGAAAGTTATCAACAACAATTAAAAAGGGGAAAACTAAACTAAAAAAAACTGCAAAAAGAGGCATATCACAGGGTTTGTAATTATCCTGATTCTCTTGATACAAGTTGTTTTGTCCCTGTTTGTCTGGATTTCTAGCTTTTTGTCCTGATTCTAGTGTGTGTTCAAAACATTCCTATTTCCACGAATAAAAGTGTGAATTTTAAAATAATAGATTTTAAGAATTTTCAGTAGAATTTTTTTTTTATTTTAATAAATAATGCTAGTAAAAATTGCAAAATTCAGCTGTTCTCCTGTTTCCAACTTTTGGTCATTTTATGAAAAAGAAACTCCACATTTCTGCAGATAAAATTTTTTCTTAATACAGTGCCCGCCGCTAATAAAATCACCGGATAATAAAATCAGCCGCTTTATAAAATAAAATCGGCAAAGACAGAATCGTTATAATATTAATACATGTTAAAAACATCCTTTAATAAAATCAGTGCCGCCTCTTTTTAAAATCAAAATTTTGACTACTTAATAAATCAAAGGTGCAATATTTCAGCTTTTTTTGTTCTTATTTATAAAATTTTATTTTTTCGAAGTTTAAAGATTTTTTTAGAAGAAGCAACAGTTACTCACAAACCTGTGAAACAGGTGTGGTTAGCACTTTCCTGCGATATACATAGTGTAAGAGTTAAGGAAAAATGTGGGTGGTAAGCGGCGAGTTCATAGAAATCAATTTATCAATGTTAATTCCTTGACTTGAATGAAGTTTGGAGAAACCTATCTCACTCAACAGGGGGTCGAATTCTTATCTTACTTTTTATTGAATGAACCATAGAAGGGAGAGAAGTTTCTTTTGTTATCTATCTTAACAGAGAACATGAATAGATTTCCAAAAACTGTCTGTGCTCATGTTCCATATTATTTAAGCCGTTTGAGTAAATTATAGTTAGAGTTAGAGCACATATCATTTTTAAGTTCGTTTGGTGTTAAATTTTATCAGCATGCCGAAAAGGAAGGATTTGAGTCTTAAAGATAAATTCGAAGTGTTGCAAAACTATGATAAGCTTCCTAAATGTAGTCAACGTGAAGCTTCAATGGAGATGGGGCTCATAACTGTTTCGAAGAAATGATCAGCAAGGAAGAAAATGAAATGGACGAGAATTTTTCACGTTACGTAGCTATTGATAATAACCTGCAAACATCAGGAGAAAAATCTGATTCTGAAATTGTTACAGACATCAAAAATAGCAAAGTTATTTCCCATCAAGAAATGGAGGAATCAGACTCAGAAGATGAAATAAACTCATCAGTGCCATCTTCAATGGAAGTCAGAAAAGCACTTAATGGATTGTGGCAAGCTTTAGAACAAAGAGGAGGAATATCAAAAACTATAAAAACTTCTATAAACTCTCAAATGTTGAAAAGTTAACTTTAAATACTGCAACTCAAGCAATCATTGATCGGTTGTTTGCAAAACTTTTGTAAATTTAATCTTATGTAGGGTTTTACTTCATTAAAATAATTAAATTAGTTAAAATAAAGCATTAATGTGGTCATTATTTCAGCTTTTAAAGTGTGTGCGTTTAGAATGTATCGTAAAAAATTTTTTTTTTCAAATGTCGAATCGCCTCTTAATAAAATCAAAAGAGCATAAAACGAAAGTGATTTTAATAAACGGCGGGCACTGTATGTCCAATTGCAAATTGAAAAGTGGTTTAAAGATTGAACATTTATTATTAACATTTTTGTGTAGAAATACTTTTCTCTTATCCAGCAATTTGCAATGAAAACATTCTAATATTTTTTATTACTTTTAATTTCATTCAAGAATTTCATTTTCAAGAATCCAAATGAATCAACTGAATCCATCTTCTGATTCAGCAAATTATTGCAAAATCGAAAATACTATAAATTATTATTTACTTTAAGTAATGTTTAGTTAGGCAATTCCCTATAGTGGATGAATTTTTTTCATGAAATAAAATTGACGTATTCTACATAATTTTTTACTTAAAAGTACAAAAAAAACTAAACTGAAAAAAATATTCCTTCTTTCTCTCTCTCTCTCTCTCTTTTTCTTTTTTTTTGTTGTAAATGGTTTGGAAAATAACTTTTTTTTTAATTTCAAAAATGTATGAATTTCCATGCTGATTTCCAAATGCGAATTCTTAAGTAATTTTGTTTGCTTAGTCAAAGTGCTAAAGTATTATTTTTTTATATCAATAAAAAGTGTCCTTTAGTCAGAGTTAACAAAATTATGTAAGTATGTATTACTATGATAAAAAGAGAAATGTGAAAAAAGATTATAAATTTAATTGTTCTTTGAAATGTAACTAGAATAATCGTAAATTTATAAAAGTTTATGTTAAATTAGAAATAGTTTTTTAAAATCAAAAAATTCCATATGGATATGCTGCTTGTATGTATTTACACAATGGACAATGATTTGAAACTGATCCATACAATTTATTAAATTTGTTAAGTGCATTGCACAAAAACTGCTTGCTTCTTACTCTAGAACTTACTGGATTACAGGAATGACCCTAAATATGCTAATTACTTTGTGTAGACGATATTTTCAGTTGAAAAATCAGACGCATACCTTTCTTCGGCGGATTTGGATTTCTAATCTTTAAAAAATTGTTCAATTGAAAATAAACAGCTTCTAAGTAAAAGCAAATTGATGTGCAACAACACCACAATGCATGTAATAAGAGTAACCATGGAATTGCCTAGTTTCTTATAATTCTTATACTTTATAATTGTTGTTTGCTAATAGCGATGTACTATGTTTTCTTTTCATTTGTTTATTATTGTGTATGTTACAGGCAAAGTTTGAAATCCGGCATTGTATATAATACCTGAAACTAGCCGCCAATGTATCAAACGATTCAAATTTCACACATTTCCTCGGCATTCTATAGAATGTCTAATGAGATTCCGGCAGAGTATAAAATACATCTCCGATTCGTTTCGAATGGCAAGGCATTAACAAAGCAAATAGCATTTGTCATTCTATAGAATGCCTGGGTATTATATACAATGCCTAAGAAAAATATGTAATACTTCTCATATTTCATACCGTGCCTAAAAGCATCCAGCATTATGTACAATGCCTAGGCATTGTATAGAATGCCGGCATTTTATACTTTGCCAGTAACATATATACTTAATCTTTAGTATAGAGATGATATATGATTAAATTTATTATTGCAGAAAAATATCTCTAATTTTCAATTTTATTTTTAAATTTATTTTGGTCCATTTCTTTATTGAGGAATCTAATTCCAAAATCCAAAAATATCAGATTCACAAATTTCTTACTGTATGTATGCATGCTTGAAATCATACCTCTTCTTAAAGTAATTCCTGATTAAATTGTTCGAACTTAATTTTTTTGTTGGAAAATTAGAATTAAAAGGTTCTGGACATTTAAAGAAATATGCCACACAAAGCAACAATTTCAAATCAAATTACAACATTTTTTTAGCTCACAGTTTCCTCTTATTAAAAATAGTTTTAGTATGTATCATTAGTGAAAGCATTGGTGTGTAAAAAAGGTATTTTGCATTGATATGCGTTTCTCGCCCACTAGGTTTTCTCTCAACTTTATTTATTTTCCATTTTCTGTTTCACTCCAGTAGTTTTCTAGTTTTAATTTTTAATTTTATTTTCTATTTTTCGTTGACAATTTTACTTTTCTGTTTCAAAATTCTTTTATTTTCCTCATATACGTCTGGTGAGTCTTGAGAATGAGCGTCTGTATTTGAGTTCGCAAAACATTTTAACCTTTATTACCATTTTCATATATTTTGAAGCAATTTCATTTTTTCAAGTATATCTTTTTTCAATTTTTGGGGGGTATTCGTGAAATTTCAAATATAAATTAGTTAAATTGTTTGAAAGAATTTCTTCCTAAATTTCAGTCTTTTTCTCCTTTTTTTATAGCTATGTGACTAAAAAAATCTTTTTCCTTAAATTTATTTATTTATTCCTAATCTATTTCACCATAATTCCATAATTTAGTTACAGGCTTTTAAATTGGCAATTACAAATGTGATGAAAAAAGGAACCCTATATCTGTAAACCATTCTGCCTCAAGCTAATTTCTTGTTATGGTTAAAGGCAAGTGAACTAGGGAAATATTTTTGCAATAAATGCTCTCAAAATCGACATAGTATGAGTTGATGTTATCTTAAAAGAGATACTTACAACATGACTTTCTTGTTAATTGTTTAAAAAAAAAATCATAAAATAAAGTTTTTCAATTCACTGAAAAATTAACTGTACCAAATTAAGGTTATTAAAATAGTGTTTAAGGTTGTAAAAGCTTATTGAAAAGAAGTTGACAAATATCGTGCATGCATCCTTTTAAATTTCTGAATGCACTTTTGATTTAAATGAAATTTGTGCATAATGATTCAATGCACACTTTTGATTATTAATGAGAAAAAAAATCTAATTTTGAGAAACTAACATCAGGAACACCTAGGATATGAATCTAGGAAGATTGCAATCTTTGTTCATAGGGAATTATGAATATTTAAAATCGAAATAGTGGTATCAATATTTTCTTTGAATCTTTTGCTTAAAAAAAAAATAAAAAATTCCTTGTCATTTGTTTTGGAAGTCCAAAAATGTTAGACATTTATTTTTAAATTCATTTTTATGAGAATAAAAAAAAACTCAAGTCTGTGTACATCATAATGAGCTGTAACTGTTCAGTGTGTATTTCTTACAGGACATTAAAATAATGTCACTTCTATGAAATAACAAAGGGTTCTTTATGTATCGGTCAGGGGTGATTGTGCTCCTGAAAAAATCCTGATATCCGGATTTTTCGCTAACTGCGATGCGAAAGTTTCCAAAATCCAAAAGTTTCAAGAAGTCATTGATCACATTTATATATAAAAATTCTTGTATATTAAATTTAAAAATATTAGAACTAGAATTTACACTTGGCATCTCTTGAATTTGTAAATATTTTTTCTGGTAGTAACTTTCACATAATTATTCATTTAAATTTTGCTGCATATAATTGATTTAGAATATCATGTTTTGAAAATTTCAATGATTTAAATTTATATTTTTTAAAATTTTGTTTGAATGATTTTACTCAAGAAATTTTCAGGATTTTTGAGTTGGGCCCACTATCACCCCTGTTATCGGTTGCTCTAACTTATGGGGTTTGTAGTTAAGGTCATTGACTTTATATATATATATACATACAAACTTATTTGTAAATTTGGAAATTATGTACTTTTTGCATTTGTGATTTAAACTAACAAATGTTTTTGATATATGTGACCTTTATCAATGTATAACTGTAGAATTTGATATGGTTCTATATTTATTTTTCTTTAAACAATGTATAATTGATTAATTTTTTCTTCTCCTTTTATTAGATTTCACTCAACTGTTTCGTCAGCTGGAAGCTGTGGACAATAATTTAGATTTTCAAATATACATGGTTAGAGAGGTCATTAATGAAGCTTTTAGGTTCAAAAGAAAGTATTTAATTAAACTACTGGAAGATTTTGAACAGAGTCTACTGCAAACTTCTAAACTACCCCCTCATATTGAACCTCCCACCTATTCAAGATAGCATTATACATTCATTTTTGATCTTCGTTTACAGCCTTAAAATCATTTCATAGAGAAATTAAGATGTCATTTGATGTTTCAGATGTTGATGTTTTTAATGTATATATATATTTAAAAAAATTTCCTTTGTTTTCTGGAAGTGAATTTGGTGAGCAATAGAAACAAATATATACAGGGTGTTCGAAAAGTATTGAAGCCTTTAATTATCATGAAAAAAATAGGCATTGGATAAAAAATCTAAGAACACCAAATTTAATATTTTTAAGTAATGCAGGTAACTAAACTTGACCTCCTAAACAAACCCCTTATTGGTGGTCAAGGGCAACTTTAAAGGGAAGCCCCTGTTTTTTATTGCCAATTTTTAATTTTCCAGAAAAGACTACTTTAATAAGCTTTTCTGATCTTTGCATTTTAGTTATGAGGTGATGCTCTTATCTTATAATCTAAAAAAAAAAACTTATTTTAAATAGATGTGAAAGATCAAAAACTAACTGCGGCAACCCCAGGGGTGGGGCCAAGTTTTGGGGCAGGGGTCAAATTTTGTGCAATTAGTTTTTCAAAATATCAAACATAACTATTTATATTATTAATCAACTATTAATCTACCGTATATTTCTTAGGATCTTCATTTTATATCATTTAACCTCATTTTCATTTTGCGATTGCAGCACAGTGTGTAAACTGAAAAGCAAAGAACTAAATCAAAGTGGAATATTTTTTCTGCTTAATTTGAAGTCTACAATAGAAAAATGAGGGTTCCCGTTTGAAATTTTAAAGTAGTTTGGAAGGTCAAGCTTTTTCCAATTAAGTTATATCTCAGACATTTATTAGGGGAGAATTTTTTTATTATTTATTTTGTACTATCTTAAAGCTTTTAAATCTCAAACCCATTATTATTGGTATAATCATTTAATCTGAAGATTAAGACTCCTAATTTTTTCTTTAAATATTTCTGATTTTTCTTAACATGCATTCATCTGTTCAACAAAAACTGACCCGTGTAAATAAACGTTAAGAATATATGTAAGTAAAAAATTTTATTTAAATATAGTTTACAAACCTGACATAGTGAACATTTTTTCATCATTTCTAAGTCCTGTTTCTCTACCCCCCCCCCAACAACTAATTTCAATGAGCTATGTATAAAAAGAAATGTTCTATATCTTTTCATTACATTGGGAATAAAAACTCTAAAAAAAATTTGATTTTCTCCTTTTTAGTTATTTGTAAAGGAAAAGATGACAAAAGATAATTTAAAAATAATTGAGATTTTTTTTTATTTTTAATTTCTTTACTGGAAAAGAAATACGAAAAAATTTATCGATGTCAAAACTAATATGTTTTTATTCAAAAAGTAATATCCAAAAGGTGCTTCAGTTAGAAAAAGAGTTTGATAAAGGAACCTCTTCTTTATCATTCCTTTTTTAGAGAAATGCATTAATGCTAAATCAGTTTTTGAAAAAAAAAATGTTTCTTAGTGAAAAGAATGCATTAGTTTCCTTTTTAGAAGAATGCATTAATGCTAAATCAGTATTTGGAAGAAAAAAAATCTTTTTCTTAATTAACCCCACCCTTATTACAGAATCTTTTTTTTTCTTTTTTACATCTTTTCTCATTACAAGTCAGAAATCTAACTGTGCACTTACTGAACTCCAAAATATGCCTGATATATAAAGTTAAATCCTGTTGCTGCTCCTATTCTAGAAAATATTGCAAGTTTATTTAGTGTATTGTAAGCTTATTATGTGTTATAAATTAACTATTATTTTGTGCCTAAAATGACCTGTCATTCTTGAAGTTGTCTGAGGGGCTCAACATTGTGTGTTATTTGGGTTTCTTTTACAAACATTTTCTTACATTATTGTAACAGATGATCTTATTTTTTCCCTTCTCAGAGAAGAGGCTTACATCTGAGTAACAAAAAATTCCTCAAATTGCATAAATTTTGTGTAAAATAAAAACTCTTAGTTTTCTCTTTCATTATCTAAAAATAAGAAATAATAAAGTCATATTGCACTCTATTTTCCAGATTACAATCAATCCTTTTAACGATTATTATTGTGTTAATTTAGTAAATTGTGAAAATAGTTTTTAAATTCGGGGGTTATTAGCTAATATTAGATTGCATAGTTTTCATACACTTCAAAACTTAAACGTTTTTAAATAGATCAATTAAAAATGATAAATCTTAATTCTTAAAATCTCAAACGTGCGATGGTATAACTTTTGGGATCGTCCACTAGCTATTTATCGTTCATATTTAAAATCTTGCTTGAGTCTGTTGGTTATTTTATAAGAAAAAAACTCAGCATTTTTGCTGTCAAAATTTTTTTCTTAATGTGTTCGATTGTTAATTGGAAATTGATGTCAAAAATAAAACTCATTAACATTATTTAGTAGTAACTTTTATTTTTTTGCTTTGGTCCATTAAATTGCAATGAAAGCATTGTTTTCCATTTCTTATGCATTATATTCCGTTTATTGCAAAGTCGATAATTTTTTTTAATATCCTACCATTTTAAGTAATAAATTTATTTTTTTTATATTCAAATTATGATGCCTTACGTTTTCTTATGTTTATTTTTGTATACGTTTATTTTTTAGCAATTAGATTACATATGATTTAGTTTTGAAGTAATTTATTGTTTATGAAAATACCTCTATTTATTAGCAGTTTTCTTTTAATACTTTTGTTACATGAATCCAAGCGATGTGCTATATTTAAGCCGGTGTCAGTGTTTGATAACTTACCCAATCTGCTACAAACTGCCACTATTTCATTGACTTATATTGGATTTAATTCCACTAAAAGTATATTTTCAATGTGTTTTGTAAGTCTGAAAGACATTTTCCTTCGATTTATAAATCGGTAAGAAAAAACTGCACTAGAAAGTGCAGTACAAACGGTAGATGACAGAAGTCTTGAGTATCAGTGTAAAAATTATAATCTGGGTTTGTGTTTTCACTTTTACCAGTATTTTAACTTTTCGACCCGTGTTTTAACTTTTATCATACTGATTTAAACTACTAAGGTTTACTCTGAATTATCCTAAACTACATTTTTATTTATTATACTTGCACAATTTCCAAATATATTGATATATTATATTATTACCGTCCTTAAACAACCGATGCAATTTTTGAGTTTACGACTACTAATGTAATTATAATTTTGAACCCAATCCAGAAGACAAGGGAACTCCTGGATCAAGTATTGGGAGAAATGTGCATCTTGGAGAAATTTTAGATTGAACTTACCCGCATTTGCGTTACATGGAGAGGAAGACCACCTGAACCTCCCACGGTTATCCTGACGGCAAAGGAACTTTAACCCATGATCCTTCTACTACTAAGGATATTTTACGTCAGCACTGTGGGCGGTGCGAGCCGGATGCGAAATTCGGATCGACCAGCCATAGCTGGGATTCAAACCCTGTTCACTTCATTGAAAGGCAAACGCTCTATCGCCTGAGCCATCACAACTCATAAGAAAATCCGAACATCAGCTTACCGACATGCAGTGTGCACACTTCGCGGTGCACCGTTCAGTGGTGTTACTTCAGCGGAGCGAACGAAGGGGTTAAACTCATTTTAATCGATCTTCATATTAAGGAATTTGTTTCCAAAGTAAAGAAAAATTCCGAGATTTGACGCCGTATATTTGAATTTACACAGTTGAGTGTTGACCTTGTTTTTATTTCAATTTATTAATTTTTTTTTTTTTTTTTGAAGTCGAAGGAATATTTTGCATGAAACAAATTTATCAAAGAAGTGGATTACATTGTTCTTTGTTTATCCTTCTTAAAACTAGTCGATCATTGCTTCAAAAATACCTTGTGAAATGCTTTTTATTTTTAACCACTTTGAGGCTTTAATGTTGTAATGTATGTACTGTAAAAACTATTTGTTATGAAACAGTAAAGAAAAAAATTTGAATAATAAATGCAGATTTATCTTTATATAACTTTCATCGTGCCAACTGAAAGGAAATGTAGCAACATTTATGTGTAAATGTATAAACCTTTGTTTTTAAACTTTTACGATCCAAGAGCAATCAATAATTTAATCATATTTCTAGTTCAAATCTATAATGTTGCTCTAAACTGCTATTGAAAGAGCTTATTTAAAAATTCTTCCTTACTAAAATATTTCCTGATGGCGGTACAAGTTTGCAGCAATACGATTTTTTTTTTTAATTGAAATAAAAATATGTTGCATTCTAACCAAGTAGCATGTTTTGAATAACAATGGTAAATTAAAAGAAAGAAAAAAACTAAGTTAAGTGAGTCATTTCTAAAAAGAGAGGAGAATTCCATCCTTTTTTTTCCATTACAAGGGAAAAATAAATTAGTAATATTCATTTCTGCATAAAATCGATCTTAAATTCAGTTCTGTCTTTACGCACTGGCAGTGCCCGGGGACCTCAGACCCCTAATTTTCTCCATTCAATGATAAGGTTTTCAGGCACTCAAATCTCATTTTGCTTCTGTCTTTTCTTACTTAGATTGTTATCGCTTCCAAAGCCATCGAATAAGTCTTAGGGGCCCTTTTTGACAAGTAATCAAGAAACACAGCCATAAGTCTTACTATTAGAAAATGCGATTTATATGAAAACTTAACTAATTGAAAAGAGTTTTGTTCCATTAGTTTCTGATAGTTGATTGGACAACCCTCTTCCAAAACATATCTTTCTTTGAAGATGGACCCTTTTCCCTTAAGGAAGGAATTTTGCAACATCACCCTTTGAAAGCAGATGAACGTTCAAAAAGATGGGATGTTGTTGATTGGCAAGACATATTTCAAAACCGGTATGTGCTATAAGTAAAAAGAACATAGTCGCACCTTTAAATGGCTACTTTAAACGTAAATTTAGATTTAAATAGACTTAAATAATTTCATTTTAACATCTAGACCAGTAGAAAGAGAGGAATTATAAAGTTTTTATTTTGTAATTTTTTTAAATCATAACTTTCATTTTTTTAAATTTAATCAATTATTATTAATTAATTTTTTTAAATTTGAAGTAAGCTATTGGTATATGTACGAAGTAGGATCAAAAAATTACCGGAATTGGCCAATTACAATTTATTAAGAAAATGGAACAATTTTATTTTACTGACCTTCAAAGTATTTTTTTATTACACCCACACACTTCTTCCGGCGTTCATATGACTTCAAAATACTCCTGGAATTCATTTTTTTTTTTGACAGGTCCTTTAGTTGTTTTGTCGAATTTTCAATCACCTCATCGACGAAACGGTGCCACTTTAATTTCATTTTCAGTCGTGAAAACAGGTAAAAATCTGCTGGTGCTAGGTCGGGAAAATAAGGAGGGTGTTTACTGCGTCTGCCAAGGTACTTTTTCACAATCAGAGCGTGATGTGATAAATAATTGTCGTGTAAAAGAAACCAATCGAGTGAAATTAACCCATTTTCCAAGTCGTTTTCGTTCGATTGCATCTCATAGTTGTTTAAGGATCTCCAGATAAAGTTCTTTTTTGGCGGTTTGGCATTCAGGAATAAATTCGTTGTGAATGGCACCCTTGTAATCGGAAAGCACTTCCAACATCATTTTCACTCGGCTTTTGTCCAAGAGAAACTTTTCCTTCCTTGATGATGTTTTTGCTTTCCGTTCACTTGTCTGGCAATTTCATAATTTTCTTCAAGAAGCTGTCGTCTTCATCAGCCATGTCAATCGAATCACTGCACGTGTTCACTCTCACTTCTTTTTGATCAGGTGATAATATTTTTAGAACAATGTGCAAATCATCGTGAAGAATGCCGTGAACACTCCCATGTGAAATTCAAATTCAGAGACAGTAGCATCAAATATTTATTCGTCTGTCGCACGCACGATTTCTCGACATTTTCATCTGCGGATGAAGAGAAGTGGCGTCCAGTCCGAGCTTGTGCGATCTTCACGAAAACGCTTATGACACTCGTACACAGAGGATTTTTTTTTTTCTTCTCATGACTTAGTTTCGTATGCTTTCTTCAGCGTCTCAGAAGGCGAATCTCGAGCAAAAAGCAGAATTAGATATTTGCACGTTACTCTGAAAACAACAATTCAAAGTCCGATGAATGAAAAATTTGCTTTGTCAGAAATGATCTGCAGATAACTCCGACAATACTGGAAATGAATTTCATATGGTGGTGTGTTTTCGTTCTTAGTGATGCAGGTGCCAGCCAACTACCAAAAAAAAAAAAATTTCCTCTCCAACGAACACCTAGGTGAATGTAGGCGATCATAGCGGGGATATATTAGCTGTTATCTCGTATATATATATGTATATACACACATACATAGTTAAAGATTTTTGCTTTAAATATTGACTATTTTTCCATCTTGATATCTTAATTTTATGAACTCTCCCCAAGTTGATATAAATCAAATATAACAACAACAAAAAAATTACATTTTGCCTTGTATAAATATTAATGTTTATATTGAAATTTTTAAAAATAAAGCTAGCTTAATAAAGAGAAATAAAACTTGTTACCTATTTGAATCGTTGCAAGTCTCGTCCATGATTAAAATTACTCCTCTTTCATTTCTTTTTTATTGGGTCACATAATGTGTATTCCTTAGGATGATTTTTTTCTTTCAAATCTAGATAATGGTCCATTTCATTACGATTAACATAGTTAAGAAATGTCCGTACTTATGTTATTTGTTGTCTCGTTATTGTGTTGTCTTATATTAATATGTTATTTCTTATGTTATGTATATTTTGATAACAAAATACTCTGCATTTTTGTGGAAAATATTGATTTTAAAGAAAGAAAGAAAAAACTGATAATTCAGAAGCAATTAGGGAGATAGGTCAGCAGAAGGAGGAACATCCTAGCATTAAAAAAAAATGCAGATGTTTTCATTTATTGTGTGTTCATTAAATAAATCTACTTGGAGCAAACAGAAAACCTTTTCATGACATTTATGGACTAAATGTCATAAAAAGGTTTTTGGTTTATAAGTTTCCTCAGCGTTACTGTTTGTTGACAAGTAAGTATGTATGGATTGTTTTATTTTATTTTATAACCTTCGTTGAACAGCCGAGCCAATTTTTTTGATTTACAACTTCTGATGTTCCATTCCGTATCCTTGTAATTTTGAACCCAATCCAAAAAACAATTGAACTCCTGGATCAAATATTGAGAGAAATTTGCCTTCGTGGGGGGACTTTTTGTTGGAAATAACCCGCATTACATGGAGAGGAAAACTACCCACGGTTAGCCTAACAGCAAGGGGGCTCCGTTTACCACTGAGGATATTTTACGTCAGCACTGTGGTCGGTACAAGCCGGATGAGGAATTCGTGTCGACTAGTCATTGCTGGGATTCGAACCCGGATTATCTCATTCGAAGGCGAACGCTCCCCTGACTAACTATCCCCTGAGCCATCACGGCGTATGAATGGTTTTTATTTTATTTTATAACCGTCGTTGAACAGCCGACCCAATTTCATGGGTTTACGACTACTTACGTTCAACTCCGTAGCCTTGCAATTTTGAACCAATCCAGAAGACAAGGAAACTCCTGGATCAGTACCCCCAGAGGTATTNTTAAACTTGATAAGAAACATATGTTTTAAGCTTATCGGTTAATATAGAATGACTCGCCTGAGAAATTCTATTACATCTGGGGAGAGAATCAGTTCCTCTCCTCCTATGGGCATATATTATTATATTTTCTCATCTATAAAAAAGATCTCCTCTATAAGAAATGAGCTTCGATCACTCAGAATTCTTTTATGAATTAGAATTTAACAAAATTAATTTAAAAAATTATAAAGTTTCTCTTATTATAGATTTAAATGCAAAAAACCACATTTATATTTCTCGAGTATGATGATGGATTACACTGGGGAGCAATTTTTAAAATGTCTTGGACACAACTGACATTTTTTAGTCTTTTTTTTCAAAATTTACAAGTTTAAAATTTTGCATAATTATTTATAAATTTATTGTATAGGCTGATGAAAAAATAGTTAATGATAAAAAAATGTTGAAGAGTCTTAACTTTAGTTAATGGTTTTAATCACTTCAATGTTGTTATCATCAGGAATTACTCTACCATTGCAAATTTCATAATTTAAAAATTGAATTCTAGTTTACAAAAAAAAGAGCATGTAGTAGTTTTTAACTTTAAATTTTCCGATCTACACATTTGTTTTTCAGTGTCAAGCATCACTGGCTGCGGACCCACTATTCATTAAAATGATTATTAAGTACATATTTGTTAAAAAGTATAGAGCAAGAAAATTGTATTATAAATTTCGAATCAAAACTTATTCAGGGTAGTCTGTTTTTTATTTTATTTTTCTCGCATACAAGTCAGCAAGTACATTTTATACATAAAACCCTTATAACTCGTAAACAACTCGTCCGATCGTTTCGATTTTAGTTTCATTCGATTCACCATAAAATACTGAGCAAAGATAATACCACATTTGTTCAAATGTCAGTATTTAAATTTTCAGCTCCCCCGTCCTGCAAATCCCGTCACAGGAGTTTCATGTGCGGCCACCAGTGACTCCCATTAACCAATTCTAATAGGTCCTGGTTTGTTATTTTTCATGTCTACCTCAAATCCTGGCCGAGGTTGGCAGGGCGCTGGACTCACGTTTGTGAGAGCTAAAGTTCGAATCCAACCGGCCGAGGACTCCCCGTGTTGTACTGGTGTACGTTAAATTTATCGTGTCACAAAGTTCTCCATGTTCCCATAACAAATCAATTCCTCTGGAGGTATTTAATTGGAGATTGATCGTTCTCTGGTTCAGGTCTAAATTTCGATCTGTGAATTAATAAATGGGTCTTCCCCAGGGGCGGATTAAGCGTAAGCGGGGTTCTAGGCCATTCAAATTTTTCGGGCCCTTAGATTAAATTTTTTTCTAGTATATTTTTTATTTATTCAAATATAAAAGTATTTATATATCTTTTCATTTAAGAAAGCACATTTAAAATAAATAATAATAAATTAAATTTTACTTTATTTTATTAAATTAGAACTAAAAAATAATCATAACATTTTGAAAAATCATTGTTTTTCGTAATTTATTTTCAAAAAAATCCGTTTTAAGGGGGACCATGGCCTAATGGGTAATCCGGCCCTGGTCTTCCCTATAAGCGGGTGTGACGTATGGATGTGGCAGAAGTCGAATTCTTGACCTTAGATGGCTCCACTGAAAAACAAGAACAATCGCACCTCCTCTGCCTTAATGGCCGACGACGACAAAAACCTGAACTCCTAATTTGACAGTAATATATGGAATAACTGCGTGTTTCTTAAATCTTGCTTTAATATGCATGGAGATATGGATATTTTTATAAAAAACTATTTTTTTGCGTTGCGTTTTCTTACTATCAAAATATTTAATAAAATTAAACAAAAGTTTCGGAGCAATTTTTAATTAATAACAAAAATAACATTATAAAATTTGAAACGCAAGATATGAGCATTTAAAATAGGCCTTCGATTGTTTTCCTTATACGTGGATATTTTGTTCTCCGGACAATTATTTTAGGGTTTGTAGAAGTCTATTTTATATGCCCATATTTATTCATGCATTTCTTTTCCTTCAAATTTTAAAATATTTTTGTTATTAATTAAAAAGTGCATAAAAATTTTATTGAATACTTCTACAATTATAGTAAAAAATGTACGACAAAAAAAAGTTATTTTTTTAATATACAAATGTCCACATCTTTATGAAAATTTAAGTTACTTTTACGAAACTTTATTCACTTATTACATAAAATAACAAAATTAACTGATAAAAGTTATTTGATATATTGTGTGGCACAGGGTGTTTAAAAGCACCCAATATCGTTCGTAATGTATTGCCGGCCCCACGAATCTCTGAGAGCATGAGTTTATTGATAAGTATAAGTAATCATCATTTAAACACCTGTAATGTTACAAAATAATTCTTTAAGTATTTCGTGAGAAATCTGAAGGGGGGAAAAAATCAAAAACTGGCGTCTATTCCATTATTGTAGGGTTGTGTACTTTACACTAGCGTGAGCAAATCTGATTTCTCTTGAGTTTCATGAAAACACTTGTGTACTATTTATTTCACACTGCCCTTACCAAAAGGTGTGAAGTTTCTTTGAAATTGTCCCAGATTGTACAAATGTTCGGATATACCTGCATGTGCAAAAGTGNTAATATACAAATGTCCACATCTTTATGAAAATTTAAGTTACTTTTACGAAACTTTATTCACTTATTACATAAAATAACAAAATTAACTGATAAAAGTTATAAGTTATTTGATATATTGTGTGGCACAGGGTGTTTAAAAGCACCCAATATCGTTCGTAATGTATTGCCGGCCCCTCGAATCTCTGAGAGCATGAGTTTATTGATAAGTATAAGTAATCATCATTTAAACACCTGTAATGTTACAAAATAATTCTCTAAGTATTTCGTGAGAAATCTGAAGGGAAAAAAAAAAAAAAAAAAATCAAACACTGGCGTCTATTCCATTATTGTAGGGTTGTGTACTTTTCACAGTTCAGGTTTACAATTCAGTGCGCAAAATAAAAACGGATAATCCTGAATAACTTTTAATCTAATTATCGGATCTGACTCGATCTTAATGGTTGAAGAGGTGACCTCAAATATGCTAATTAATTCGTGCAGACAATATATTTAGTGAATACCACATCACAAAAAGTGAGAAATTTTTTTCCGCCCACTGTGATAAGACTATATTTCTAAGAATAATTGGCTAAGATAGACTACGAAAGTCAGATATGAAAAATATTAGCAGAAAATTGAGTATGTCGCACTAGAGCTGTACAATGGGGGGGGGGGTATATGATGATCCGAAGACATGCCATCACAATTTTGAATCCTTTGTGGAGGGGATCAGTTTAACAAGAAACGAACAAAGTTGTTATTCGACTAAGATGATCTATAGGGAACTGTCTCTTACAGTAAAGTGGGTACATAATGGACTTCACTTTCTTAGCCTGAAAAATAATTTAGTATCGGTTTACAAATATTGTCGATAATGAAATTTTATACTGCAGTTTAAGGAAAATAGAAGGGAGCATATTTATTGTCATTAAAAACTTTATTATTCTTATATGATTTTTAAATATTTAAAATAATAGGCAGCAGACAATAAGCAAACCAAAGCATAATTCAATGATTTTCCAAAGCATTTTTTGAAGGGTGGCCCACCCTGCTTGCCCTTTGATCCAAGGAAATGCGCTCTCTTTGCCCTTTTTGTAAAAATAAGTCGTCATCTCTTAAAGCACAGCCTCTTTATTCATATTCCATTTTTAGAAAATTTGATTCACTGCTTGAATAATAATTACACACTGGTAAAATTATCTGTGTTCATAGGTTTAATTCTAATTAATGTTATAAATATTTATTTTGTTAGGATTATTCTCAACTGGTTAAAGTTTTACTGATTTTTTCAAAGTGGGGAATATTAATAAATTTTAAGTGATTGTGAATTTTAAAACTATTTTTTAAAATTTTCTATTATTACCTTTTAAAAAATGCATCATTAAATGCTCATTTTCTCAGTTTAAATTATATAAAAAAGCTTTCAAGTTGTTTATCATTTTTTGTTAGTTTACTTTTTTAAAAAAAATATATGCACAGAAGCTGCCTTTTATCATGACCTTAATTATATTTATAAACTACAAATTTTTTTCCTTCTTTGATAATAAGAGAGAATTACTTTTTGAAATATACGCATAAAATAGTATAAGATGGTAATTTAAAAATAGTAGAGCATAAAATTAAGTTATTACATAATATTGCACATTTTGATAAATTTTTACGGTGTTAAGTGAGTGCCCTCAATACTCAAAGCGTGCTTTTCTGAGAGGAAACGCCTTGCCTTTTTTTTCATGCATAATGCTTCTTGGGAAAATGTTCAATTGTGACTCTTAATTTCAAATTCTCTAAAAGCTATTCAAATAATGGAAAACTACAAATAAAATCAAGTGAAAAAAAATTCTTTAGGTTTTTAAATAAAAGCGGGACTTGGATGTTAGCTTCCCCAGCTAAAAATCCTACATAGCATAATAACCCCATAAGAAAAACATGGTTAAAACATTTCTGTTGCATAACAAGTAGTAATTTTATTTAAATAAATTATGCATAACAAAATGCTTGAAATAAGATGTGCGTTTTAAATAACAATTATTTATTATCATCGTCTAGAGACATATTGTTGAAATTGGGTATAGTTTCTCTTAGCCTAAGGTCTTTCCAACTCTGAGATTCAGCTTTCTTCAAGATTATTTCTACCTTGCTTCCCAGGTATGTCACAGTAGAGCCCTTAACATCAACAACCTGAATGAGAAAAATATATTTACATAATCTGTTATACAATAAACGCTATCATTTGTGTTTAAAATATTTTCTATTCCATACTAAAAAATCTACATTATAATTAATATCTAATAAATTTAATTATAAAATTGATAGTATAGATTTAAAAAAAAATATTTTTGATCACAACTTTATTGATACACATTTTTGACATTTTTTAACAGATATTCCTTATTTATACTTTTGAATTGAATAATTAAGGGGAAAACAAAAATTTGATATTAACTTGTTATTCAAATAACTTCTTTCTCCTTTATACAGGTGGGCTACAATGTGCAAAAATTTAATGAGTCATTTTTTTAGTGATAATACAATTTTTTAAAATCAAGGCTATTGAGTTTTAAGTTGCGTTTAAGAAGCAATCTTTTCTCATTTAATAATTAGAAAAATCTTTTTCTTACAAAATTTTACTTCGTATTACCAGCTCAGCCACTGTCCTGATAAATATAAAATTAATGAAAATTGTGAGGTGTTTTTATCAAAATAGGGCTTCCACTACAATTTTAATTCAAATACAGTCAATGCTCTTCAATATGACTTCCTATTAGTGGGATTCTTCCATTATAATGACAGCTACATGAAGTCCCGTTTGCGGTTCTATATACGCAATGTTATTTCAATGCCTATTAGAATATCTCGGCCGAATGTTTCCTTCTAATATAACAACCAAAATTTTTTCTAATTTTTTTAATATCAAGAATATGACTTAAAAAATAGTTGCTAGTCATATTTGTGCTTTCTAGACTAAAATTTTCTCTTTGACTGACAACAAGTCGATAGATGACAAAAGTCTTGAGAAAACTATTCAAACCACTATTTCTTTTGACGTCACCGCTCACTAAACATGAAACACCTTGAATCCTCTATGAATAAAGAATGAGGGACCACCTATTCTCAACCTATGTGGTTCTGGGCGTGGTTATGGTCGAAGGAAATATGGATCAATTACCATTATTGAGAACTTGAAGTACATATTCCAACATCATTTAGAAATCGGAGTTTCCTATACTATCATTTAACTTTTCAAAAAGTTTAAACTATCCATCAATTATATTTTTCTTGTTTGAAAATTGCATTCTTATTTTGTGAAAGGTATTATTCACATTTTCTGGATTATTTAGAAAAAAAATGGCAGCTCCCAACCAGCTAGAATGGAAATTTTAAAGGAAGTGGATAGAAGAATAAAACAAATTGCTAAATTATCCTTTAAGATTACTTTTTTTTTAAATAATTAAAAATTGTGATGCATTTCTAAAGGCAGCCGTATTTTAATTTCTTAACAACATTCTCGTGAAGCAAATTCTAGAAAAAGCACTGAATGACTGGCTGAAGTTTATGAGCGACATAAAAAGACATCATTTGAAAAGATTTAATTGCAATTCTAACCTTTTATGTACTATATTAAACAATACTTTTAACTTATAAGAGTCGTCATAGTCTCCCAAGGTAAAAAAGATAGTAATAGTGGCTTTTTGGTCACCAGTGGAAACCCTAACAAGGTCATTAAAAGGTTGATTCCTGAAAAACTGAATGAAGGTGTATGGTTGAAGTATGTAGAAAAAAAAGGAAAAAAAAAAAGAAAAAAAAACAGCACACAGATGCTGTGACAAGATGATTTGAAGGATGATGAATAAAGATAATTCAATTAAACAAATTTAATAATATTTATAACAACATATTGAAAAATATATATTGAAAGGACAGAAAGAATAGAGTCTGCTGACTCACTCTCATTGGTTTTTGAAAAAGATTAAAGAGACACTCTATTGGCTGATTAAGTGGTAGATGTTTTATAACAGAAAATACCGAAGCTATAATAGAACTAATTATTATTTTGTATAATTATCATGGATTGAAAAAATACTTACACCAAACAAAATAACTTCTTCTTCAAAAATTTGTTTTTCTTTACCAAAGGCTATATGCATGTGTAGCTTTACTGGATTTGCTTCCACGTAAGACAGTTCAGGTAAAGGACATTTAGAGTAAACTGAAATAATAACTGATTGGGCAGTTTGATGCCAGTCATATCGACACTTAGCTTGGCTTTCAGTTGTCTGAAACAAAAAGGAAAAAATGATCATTTTAAATGAGGAATAAAGAAGTTATTATTGATTGGTATTAAATAAAACACAGTAAAAAAATGGCAAACATTTATGTTTTCAATAATAAAATTTATCATAAATAAAATGCAAAAAATGTCTGAGATTCAGTGATAATGACGTTTCTAAAGAATTAATGTAAGTGTTTGGATTCAAATCAATTTTAAAAAAATGTCAGAATATTTTTTTTTTACATATTTATACAGTGGAAATTCAGTGTTATAGTGTCCATTATCCCGCTTCAAACGTCATTTTCTGTGAAATTGCCTATACCGTTAAAGTATCCAAGATTTTATGTTACCCTTTTTAAGAAAATCCTAATTCATATATTATTCTAACAGATCTAAATTATTTTTTCTCTAAGAAGCTAGCACAATTTTTTCTGAGTTTTCTTTTTAAAAAAAGATTAAGCATACTTAATATTATTATAATTTAATATGCTGCATTAATTAATTTCACACATTTCAGGCAATTGGCTTGTCTTCCAATAATTTTAAAACAAATAGCATGGTCAAAAAAAGAATGCTGTAAAATCTTAGTTTTGGCAACGAAACAATTAGATATACTTAGTATATCTAATTGTTTTGTTAGTATTACTAACAACAATAAATTATTTTGTTGTAGCTAATAAATTAAGAATAATTATTTTATTGGCAACTGAGTCATCTTTTTAACACCTTTAGTTGTCTATGTCATACCATTGTGTAACAGTCACAAGATAGAGTAGTATACTATGCTGGCACTAGAATGGCAGCAAAGGTGTTAAATCTTTTTTTAAAACTCTTACTTACTATATCCTTATGCCATTTATGTTTTCCGGTAGTACAACCAACTTGCTCCAAAAAGCTATCGAAATCTGTTGTACGTTTTACACAGCAAGACCAATATTTCATCCTGTAATGGTTTTATTTCTTCATTACAAATAAATTAGTAAAATTGTTTTTCGTGCAAAAGTTTTAATTTTAAGTTCCTAAAACAATAGGATTAGCACATTGTTATCTTTCTAATTTAAAATATATTAATAAAAAGTACTTTAAAAAGTAATATACAGACAGAAGCACAAGGAAATTATTTTTAAAGTGTAAAACAGGCTTTATAGATTACAGGTTTCATACATTAGTAATTGAAATATTCTTCTTAAGCAACAGATTCCCAGACAAGCAAGATTCGAATTCTTGTTTTATTAATTAATTATTATATATAATAATTATATAATTTTATCTGCTTCTTCTCATAGTCATATTTTAAATTGCCTTTTGAATGATGAGCAATTATACAATAATGACATTAAGTCATTTATTTTAAAATGTTTACTCAGTGTTCGTCTTTAAGTCCAGAAAAAAAATCCCCATTATTTAGAGCAATTGTATCAAAAACTGATAGACGAATCAATAAAATACATCACATAAGGAAATAGGAGTATAATATTAGTGGACAAAATATATTAGTAAAATCTTAAAAGCATGAAAAATTAAAGCCATATACATCGATATCAATATAACTTCATATTATTTGCCTGCAATCTAGATAATTCCTAATCAAATACAAACATTACACATTTGCTTCCTACATTGATCAACAAACTTTCAAAAAAAGTATATTTTTAAGTCCTTAAAGTAATGATTTAACTTCAAATTTTTTTTTAAACATTACAGTAAATAAACTTCTATTAAGTTTCAATAAAAACTTTTTCCTAACCAAAAGCTGATGTATCAACCGGAATGTATGTAGGAAATATTTATCCACAGGATGCTATAAACCTTTTAATAAAAATATCGGCGTGAGATTTTATTTACTTAAATTGTGTGAATATGAATCTCCATGTGCGAGTTTCAAATCACAAAGAAGACAAATCTCTCAATGTTTGGTTTTAAAATCACGCTCATACAAATCTTGATATTTAATTATAAAATGGTGCGAATACGAAAGCCGATGTATAATTTTTAAGTCACTTGAACACGAATCATAACAGTGGCTTTTAAATCATGTGAATGTGAAAAGTAAAATTTGATTTTAAAAATTGTGAAAATACAGAAAACGTTGAACAGTCTCAAATCGCGTAAATACGAATAGCAATGTGTGATTTTAAATCATGTGAATGTAATTTTAAATCAGTGTAGCAAAGGTAGGAAAATTTTGAAGAGGCAAATTATCTTTCTTTTTTAGTTTTAGTTTCCACGGTGGTGACAAATTTTCCACAAACGGTGTTCACATATATTATACAGGTCTGATACTAACCCTTCATGAAAAACAGGTATTCCACTGTGGTACATGCAAGTTTCAATATTACTGTATTCTCCTTTATAAACCTAAAAATAAAAGCATTCCAATTTTAAAGCTGGAAAAAAAATGTCCAAAGCAACATAGAGCTTATAAAAATTCCCCTTTCATGCAATATTTAAACATTATGTGCGATAAGTAGAGTTTGTGCACAAAAGACTCAAACAGAAATTCTGGGAGGCCAACAAATAGTACCAATTTTTTGTAGTTTCAAGCTCTTGGCAGTAAAGTAGATAATTTTTTGCAGTACATTAGCTAAAAGCAAAATGAATTCATATGTGATCATTGTAGTATGTAAAATAATTTGCTGTTTCACTATCAGTAAAAAAATTTCAATTATACCCATTTAATTTTATACATATTTATTTTAATACAGGTAATTTTAAATCTTAATGTGTAATTAATGTATATACATGTAATTAAAGAATAAAAACTTGTTTTGTCAAAAATAATTTAATTTTAAAATGCTTTCTGATCCATATTAATTTACTTTTTATTTAGCAAATTGATTTTCTGTCTTTATAATTCATTAAGGTTTTGGGTTTGATAGAAAGAAGTAAATTATTCAGTAATTAGTTTGATATAATTAAATAATACTATAAACAATTTTATCATTGGGGTGTTAATAATTTTAGTTGCACTATTGTTAAATAATATTAAGTATTATTTATAATTTTTTTCAGAGTTTTGATCGTTAGACGAAAAAAGAATTGCAATGTATACTTTAATAAATTAAAGTGTAATTATTTCAATTAAAAACAATAAAACATAAATTATTTCAGTTAAAAACAACTTTTTAAACATATTTACATTTCTTTGTGCAATACATGAAATACTGATAAAAAAATGTCATTTTTCGAAATAAAGAAAAATATAATGAAAATCCTTACTTCAAAAATAAAATGATATAGCTTTGAAATTTCAAAAGCTACAGCAGATTTTAGTGTTAATAATTTCTTACAAACAAAAATAATGACATTTGAAGAAACTAGAATAATACGAGTTTGTCACACTGTCTAAATATTTAAAAAAGAAGTTAGTTATTAACACTTAAAAAAAAAATTACAGTGAAGAAAAAACTTAATTCTTTGAGAATGGAATATCTTTCTTACTTAAAATTGTGATAAAAATCTTAGTTAAAAGCATTTGCAGAAATGATCTCGGGGATTGTCTTAGCATCATAATAAATTTAAACATTCTATTGAAGAAATTGTTACCAGGGGAGTTTTTAAGTTACACAGTAAAATTTTAGAAAAGAGGCAACTTCTATGATTACTTTAGAATTAGCATGTGATCAAATTAGATTACTTTATTATGAAACTTTAAGATACACTTCGAATATTAATAATTAGATCTGCATCCAAAATCAACTAGACTAAATATTATAAACAATTCTATAGATAAATATAAAAATAATTTGCAAGTACCTCTCGGCAACCTTTGTTATGACAAGGAGTATTTAATTGAATTTCCCCATCATTAACTGTAAAAGAAAACAATATAAATAAAACACTTTAAAATTTTTTAATTGTGTAACATCATAATTGAAATACTTTATAAAACTATATGGTTAACGACTGAAAAACATCTATAGTAGCAGAGACATTTATAGTCTTCGTATTAATAAATAATATAACAAGTCCTGTTGTAAGAAATCTATAACGTTATAGAAAAACAAATGTAATAATCCACTATTTAAAAAAATATATAACTGTTCATTTTTTATTACAGGTAATGTTTTAACAATTTTTTTTATCACTCATCTAAATAGTCAAGCTATCTTAACTTTGTATAAAATTGATAACTAAATTTGAAAGAATTTCTTAGAGGATACAAATTAGTGAAACAGAAACAAAATTTAATTTTCTACATTCTTTGGGACAGTGCTCCCACTTTTCTCCCAAGCTCGACAGATCAAAAGAAAGGCAACAGACAAAAAGGAACACCTTGATGCTTTAGGTTGGGCATAGATCTTACCCCCTATCCTGAAAAAAATATTTCTTGTAGCGAAGAATTCAGAACAGAAATACATTTGTTTGTAGACGTTAGGGTAGCCTATGATAGTAATTATAGAGACGAGCTTCTTATGATCTTTTCAGATTTCAATGCTCTATCGTAATTAAGCAAACATGTGATGTTCACCCTCACTGAAATCATCTCATTGGTATGTATTGAGGGGGAATGAGCCACCTCTTTTGAGGTGATGTTCACTCTCACTGAAATCATCTCACTGGTATGTATTGAGGGGGAATGAGCCACCTCTTTCGAGATTTAGATTGGAGATAGACAAGGAGGTGTATTGACATGGGTTCTTTTTAATAAAGTTCTGGAGGAAGTAATCAGGTATGCTGTTATTAATACTGGAGGAACTATATTTAATAAATCAGCACATATTTTGGTAAATACAAATGATGTAGATATAAGTGCATGATCTATAGCTGAATTGGGTGAAACTTTTTTAACACTGAAATGAAATCGAAGGTAAAAGTAGAAAAGAATTTAAGGGTGAAAGTGGAGAAAACAAAATATATGTATTGTGGTAAAAAGGCAACAATCCCAAAATGATTGCTAAAAAGATTGTCGACTTAGAACAAGAAGCAAACTATCAGAATGCCATAAGTCCTGAAATTAGAAAAAGGAATTTTGCAGACAATTACGGCTTCTTCGGTTTAAGATCATCATTGAAATCCATTTTAATAAAAATAAACTGTCTTAAAGATTAAAAGAAAAAAAATATCAAAGAAAAAAAAAAGCTTTTTAGCCGCCCTCTGCCAGTACCAATTTAGTTCACTGCCTATCAGATTATTCAATAATCTGATCACCTATCAGATTATTGAATTATAACTATTTCTGTTTGAAATTTTTGTTTATAGTGATGAGTCAAATGTTTGCATTGAAATGTAATTTTTATTAAAACTGATAATAATTTCTTACAATATTTAATGATTGATAAATAAAAATGCTTTATTTATCTATCATCAAAGCATTTCAAATCTTAGCATTAATTACAAAGACAATTTATTTATTTTTTCTTTCTTTCCTGCATATCAATACATTTTTCTTAATTATTTACTTTCTAATTTTGCAAGTACAATTTAGATTCATTAACATTAAATATTTTTATTATCATCTTTCTTAGCAAATAATTATTTATGCATGTGTGATTGATACATATTTTTAAATAGAATCTGAATACTCCCTTCACCTTTACCATTGCACCTTTAATGTTAATTTCAGCCACAAACATTTATTCTTTTATTTTATTTATTTATTATTTTTTGGAGCTTTTGTGACCTAACCTATCTATTCAGAAATAATTTGCCAGCTTTTGATTAAAATAAATAAATGAAAAATTAGTGTTTAAAAATTAGATAATAAAAACAGAATATGCGAATAGTTGTTTAAGTACAAATTAAAATAATTAGGAGCACACATGTCTATAATAAATAATTATCGACATCAATGTCAAGATATTACACTATTCATTTATGTTTACTCATTTATGTAAGGTAAGAGGCATCGCCCGAACTGAAGAAAAGAAGCTTAGCAGAAATCAAAATAATAATATAAATTCATTCAAAGTTTTTAGTTTTAATTGAAACGTTAAAGATTTAAGATAATTTATTTCAGTCAATTAGTACAACATTTATATATAGATATCCCAAACATAAAAAAGTGAACAAGATGAAAAAGTTCTGAGAGATAGAAACAGTGATCAAACATATTGAGGGATCGTGATCTGATGCTCGGATCACGATCTTTGACATTTTTAATGCTGGTTCATCAGCTATACTGTTCAAATAATATTGTGGAGAGAGGAACGAAAAAAAAAAAAAAATCATTAGTACCTTGAGTACTTTTGTTCACCTTTTGAGATGATTCACACTATAGTCTAATTATATCTTTTAAACACAAAAGATGAAAAATAAACAAATTTCATTACTTACTTTTTTCTGTTTCCAGAGCCATTTCTTTTAATGTTTTTTCAAGGAGAGGTTTGAGTGATGTTCCTATTTTCGACTGAATATGTTCCATTGGTTCGTTCACATCAGGTCGAACCCTGTTCTGTTGCTGTTGTAAGGGTTTCCGCACAGGGGGAGCCTGCGTGCAAAAGAAGTTTATACTATATACCACAATTTTTAATTTACATTTTAAGAAAGGAGAGAACGTTTATCTTACTTTTGTTATACAATTATGTCAACAGATTAAAAAAAATTCTTAGTAACTGATACTAACATAAAACTAAAATTTAATACATAAATATGCATGAGGTAAAATGTTTTACAAATGTTAACTTTTCCAACTGATTGAATAAAAATGACTAAAATAACTAATCCTATATTATGATTATCTCTCTATATATTTCTCTTATGTGGTACTGCAAATTTGGTTAGTTCTCAATCTATTGACAACTCTATAGATATTATTCATTTTGTTAGGTTGTTTTAAGTAGTTATTTAAGTAGAGTAGAAAAATTAGTTATACATTAAGTATTTATTTACATTCATTTTGTTTGGTTGTCTTAAGAAATAATTCAAATTGTGAAAAATATTTAATTACATACATTAAGAATTAGTTAGAATAGTTTTGTATTTTTGTAGAAATAAAATTTTAGTTGCAAAGTAATCAGAGTTCTTCCTATTAAAAAATGGAAGGAGCAAAAAAAGGCAAGGTGTTTCCTCACTGTAAGGGGCACTTTCAGTTTAGAAAGGGCACTCACTTACCATCATTAAAACTTATCAAAATGTTGAATATTATGTAAAAGCTGAAATTGATCCTCACAATTTTTAAATTAGCTTCTTATACTATATAATATGTACATTAATATTTTAAAAAGTAATTTTCACTTATTATCAAAATAACAGAAAAATTTGATTATCAAAAATAATTAAAGGCATGGTGAAAGACTATATCTGTGAATAAATTTTCTTCAAAAAAGAAATTTTTAAATTATTTAACTAATTAAATTGATAGCTTTGTAGGAGTAGAATTCCTCATATTATTATTTATTTCCATGAAACATACAAATCAAAAATTGAATGATCTATTTATAAAGGAAGCAATATTATTTTTAATCAAAATAAAACACTGATTAATCTTAAAAATCAATTAACTAAAAAAATTGAGACTTTTAAGATTCATTGTCTATCAATTTTAAAATTTACACTCTTTTGGTAAATAAATCTTTAAGAAAAAGCAACAAATAAAAGTGGAAATAGAAACAAATTAAACAACTATTCCTTATCTTGTAAAAGATAGAAAAAACTTTTGAACAATAAAACAAGTTCTATTAGCTCAAACAATAAACAAATAAAAATAAATTAAAAAAAAGTGAAGTAAGTAAGTAACAAGTAAGATATGTTTACTTCTTCTTCCATAACTTCTTTTGATGGTTTCTTAGGCTCTGGTGGTTTCACATTGCTATGGTATGAATTTGCACAACCCTACAACAATTAAAAAAAAAAAATTAAATTGGTTAACTAGTTGTACTGAAATAANAATATTTAGCACTTTTTTAGCACTCAGAAGAAATTTTAGCACTTTTTAGGCCCTAAAAAAGTTGGGAAAAAATTTTAGCACTTTTTTAGGACATTTTAGGACAGCAAGAACCCTGTTAATTTACTACTTTAAATCTCAGACATAAGCAAAATTTAAAAAAATATATACATATAAAACTATTATGTAACTAAATTGTATCTGTAAAAAAGAAAAAAATACTTTAAATTATACTTTAATTTTATAAATTATACTTTTCCCATTTAAATTAATTGGACAAAAAATTTATTAAGAAATATCAAGACTATTAGTCATGAATAATTCAAAATATAATTCAAACTATTGTAAAACAGGGTTTTTCTCCCAGTGACAAATTCAGGCTCAAATGTTTTTTTCATTTTTTATTATTTATATTTTTTAAAAAAAGCCATCAAAATCTGCCCTTTTCTATATTAATTGTTATTTCTTATTTGACACATAATACACAAATTTATCAAATTATTTAACACATAATACACAAATATAAATAACCGTACCTTGAAAATTTAGTGTGTTTAGGAATTAATATAATAATTTTTCTTGCTTCAACATTAAGAGAAATCACTTTTTTTAGAAACAATAATTTGAGCTGTCCTAATGTTATTTGTTATGAACTGAACAGGTGCAGAGTACAGGCTGGAATACCTTAGTCTTTCTTTTATCTCCTTAATAAATAAGTGTTCAAACACAAAATTTAAAGCTATTATAATATATATAAGTATAACATTTATAACTAATATAACAAATTGAAAAATAGTTTTTTTTTTAAATTCTTTTCAAACATATATTTTTATTTTATAAAAGACATAAATGAATGAAGTAAAATATTTTGTTGGTAGTTATATTTTCATGCAACAAAATAATGATTTAAATATAAAAATTCATTAAATTTCAATACATGATAAAATACAGAATAAGATGAAATAAAAGTTAACTTATTTTGCACAATAAGTTTTATTTAATAAAAGCTTACATGATTGATTAATTATTTTTGCTTCGATTTAAAAAACCTAGACAATTCCTCAATTTTGACCAAACCAGCCCACAAGTAGAAAACACTCTTTAAACAAGTCCAGAACTTGCTGGGCAGTTTCTCAATTTCCTCAAAAATTGGTAGAAGCTATATAAAGCTGGATCTTCTGAAGACAGCAAGAAGAATATTAAGAAAATTGTAAAATAAACAGTAGTTCTGCAGTTAGTTGGTCTGCAAAAGGCTTACTTTATTTTAACAAAAAAATTAAACAATAAATTATAAGTATTTAAAAATGAATAAAACCGAAAACAGCATATTTCTCTAAACCAAATATCATGGTTTCATTTCTAGTAAAAAAAATAACTTATTTAAGAGCTTTTTATTAATGCCAGTATGAAAAGATAGTACTACATTAAAATTAAAGCTATTTTTTTAAAATTTTAATGCATAATTTAATAATTAATTTTTTTATAAAAGTTTCATATTCTTTTTTGCGAAAATTTAAACCTAAAGAGTGTTAAAAAAATTTAAACTTAAAGACCCAACAAAACCCTAAAAAAAGTCACCCAGGTAAATAAAAAAAAATAAAAAACTTTTTTTAAAATCTTGTTGTAACATAACAAATTAACCTCACGAACTTAAATTAGAAATGTTTAAAACATAAACAAGCATATTCAGTTCATAAAGTAATAAGCAAATAAACAGCTTATTAAGGAACAGTTTTATAAAATTTTTATAACTCTCTAAAAACAAAAAGAATATTTTAATCTAAACATTATACTTTTAGACAGGTTCAATTATGAAAATAAATAAATCTGCCACATAAAAAATAATGGTGAACAAAACCTTTATATTTAAAAATTCAGTAAAATCAGTCGTTTTCTTATCACAGCAAGACCATTTCTTATAAGCATCATGAAAAACTGGTACTCCAGGATGATACTGGCAAGAATCTGGAACAAGCAATGACAACTTATAGTTTATCCTTTTTTCGCATAAAAATAAATAGAATTTGAAATAATACTTTATAATTTTAAGTAACAGAAACATTGTATTTGAAAAAAAAAAAAAAATCAACTATTTGAATAAAATAAAATTGTATATAAATTTATAAATTGAATATGTATTATTATTATTTTTATTCTAATATTATGGACGACAATCTAGCATTTTGTAGGAGGAAATACGCACTCATTATTCTATTTTTCGCTTTTTGTAAATCATCATTACATAAAAAAAAATAATTAAAAATCGTGAAATCCATAGTAGCAACTAACTCAAGAAATCGCGAGAATCGAACTCTTTAAAAAAAGGATAGCTAAATGCATGCTTTGTTTCCAAATTCGGTTGTTGTAATAAATATCGTATTAAAAATATCGGATTTTAAAAACTATGAGGAAATCAATAGCGATAACTGTGAAAAAAATAAGCTGAGTCATTACAACAAAAAAATACTTCTGCACCAACTTTATAACGTTCTGCAACAATGTCCCTGTGATTCTGCAAAGGGGATGTTAAGAAGAGAATTTTCATATTCAGTCCATTACCTCCAGAACAACTAAGACAGATTTAATGAAATTCAGCATGAACATCTAAATGGAAATCTAAATAGTAAAGAGACCAATATATAAAAAAAAAGGTCTACTTATACTTTAAGCAACTAACCTTCATTGTTTGTTTCTGGATCAAATAATTGACCACAAGCTCGATTGTAGCACTGCAATTGATTTACTTCAGATGACATTTTTGTTTTTGCCTTTAAAAAAAATTCTGAATTACAAAACTAATTTACATTGAGCATAAGAGAGAAAAAATATATAGTTTTCTGTTAATATTCAGAAACAGAAATCAAACAATTGAATTATAAAAATAAACTAAATTAATACCATCATGTTTAGTAATATCTACTGTTATAGTTTCATTAATTTAAAGATTAATTCTAGATACATTAATATAATTAGATTTAACCAGATCCCTTCAAAGAAATAATCTAGGTTAAGGCCTTGGAGTAGGTTAATGAGGAACGCAGCCTGTAATGATAAAGTAAGCTTTTTAATGAACAAATGAAAAACAGTTTTGAGCTGAAAAAATGAGTAATCCAAAAGCTAATTTAGAATCGCTCTTTACAGCAAATAAGAGTCACATTTTTTTTTTACATAACAAAACCCACTCTTTAATAAACAATTCATCGATTAAGAAATTAGTTCAGTTGGCATTTAAGAATTGTTCGATATTTGAAAGTGATTAGGAGGATTGTTAAAATTCATTTATTCTGTAACTGCATCGTCTTAAAACCATGCAGAAAATGAAAGAAAAACGAAGTGCGTGGATGACCTAAATATAGTGGATTATTTATTAGGAATTCATAAAAGCTTAGTTCATCATAACAAGGACAAGAAAGCAATGGTTTATACTTCAAGCTTACTAGGGAAATTTACAAAAAAAATATTAGCGATTATTATATTAGAAAAGCACTATTATTTGAACCTGTTATAATAATACAATGGAATTTGTTCAATCTTGAAAAACTGAGATAAAACAAGAAACCATAATATAAATGAATAACTTACACAATTAGCAAGAATAAAAGAGAGTAGAAATTTAGATATAGAAAATTTGATCTCTCTATTTAGCACAGATCATAGATATAAAGGCAGAAAGATCAATCACTCGACCAAACGGACGTCACGGTGAACGTTGACAACACTGGTCTAGTAACCAGTTTGTACTCTATATCCACGCCCTCTAGTGAACTGCGGTTTTTGTTTATTGCAGCTGTACATAATTTGTTCTTTTTTTATTTGATTTATATAAGTTGTAATGATTAATAATAATTGATAACATTTAGTTTCTTTGCCAGAAAAATCTGAAATTCGCAAATTTTATGAAATTTTTTTTTCAGATTTTTTTAAAGATTTATAATTTTTAAATTTTAAAATTAAAAANATTTGCTTTTTAGGTAAACTGAGTGATAATTTTCAAAAAATATCATTTCTGTAACTACAAATATTATCAAATGCTACATTTAGAAACATTTCTCTTATGGATCACTAATAAAAATGCCTGCCTATAACTATCTTCATAGTATTTTTGATTTTATTCCAACTTCAACTTTCATCCCCATCCTGCTCCATGCTTTTTCTGTTTATAAGTCCTGATGTGTTTTAATTTTAAACACGTAACGAAAAACTCTTTATTTTTTTCGATATTAATTATCCTGTTAAAAATCAACTTTATTTTATAAAAGTGAGTATTTCAAAATTTTGAATTTTCGTCGAATCAAATTGATATTATGTATTTTTTTGAGCATTAAATTATTAAAAACTATTACTTCGTTAAACGCTTTGAGGTAGAACTATTGAAAAATACCTAAAGCTAGATTGATAGCTTTGGTGTAAATATCTGTGAATTTTATGTATTTGGTTGTGCCTCTTTTTTAATATAGAAGTTATACAGAAAAAATACAAACAAAAATTTTATGAATAGTAGAAAAATAGATAAATGAATGATAGAAAGTAATTAAATTATATTATTCTAATTATTTAAATTGCTCATATATTTGGAAAAATTTACGATTTCTGAGGTAATTAGTTGCATGTATATAACAACAGTGAGTTTTTAAAACTCATTGAAATTTACAATAATGATTAGAAGTATTAGTTAAACTTTTTTTTTGCTTGTGATTTTTTTTGTTGTTGCTTGTGACCTATAATTTCTCATTGTCTCAAACCTATATCAGGGGTCATTGTATTCTGAGTGTACCTTGAAATTCTCGGTTTTTGTTTCATTCTTCCAGGTTTTAAAATAATAAAGCAACATTAATTGAAATCTTATATACTGATAAAACTTTCACAGAGTTCCACAAATCTAAAATTTGAATTCTGTAATTTTCGCAAAATCCTGTTAATGGGACTTATTCGTTCTTTCTCAACTATACCATTTTTTTCCTATTGAGTTATAGTTCATATGTTATATTGATTGCTTTTACACCCTAGTAATGAAACAATTGTGGTATAAAATCAATACCACAAAATGTTGTTCCAAAATCTTGTTTATTTAAAAAATTGCTGAGTCCAAAGTTGTTACTATTATTCTAAACTTTCTTAAACATATATTTTAAATACTATGATGTGATAAGGCTATTTTTTTATTGACATAAAATGGTTGTTGTCTATTGGGGTTACAATATTCCGATTTGTAACAAAATACATAAAATATACATTAAATCAATTGCAAATATTTGTCCCCAATTTTTTGTTTAAACGTGAATCGTTAATAAAATCTCAAGGTATTAATATAAAATTATGACTTTGAAATTGTGCATTTAAGTACTCACATTTTAATGTGTTTGATTTGCGCTGATTTATTTGTAAATGTTGTAACAAATTTTAAGAGAAGTTAAATCACATCATCAAGAATAAAATTGTATAAGAACCCATGCCTGGAAATGTCGTCATATGTGGCAAGAGGTGCTTTTTTATTATGAACTGTTTCTTTGTGTACTTCTAAACAGATAGTAATGAGGAAGTATACACCTACCCACATATGATATTTAGTCGCAACATTTACACGACCCCTTGTTATATTACTTTTTTTAACTACATTTTTGAAAAGAAATGGACTAAGAATGCCATTTTAAGATAAATCAGCAGTTTTTAAAAGCAAAACTAATATCAGATTTAAAATACAGCAAAAAATTTGTTCCCAGTGTAATTACTGACGTACTGTGTATTTTTTAGTAATCTTTTTAAGGAGCTTATTTTTTCTTATGTTATTTTTTTGCATTTTGTAAAAAATTTTTTTTTCCTGCTATTGTTAAAATGTTGTTATAGTATAAAAATTAAAAATATATTATTCTCATGTGAAATGTAACTGTTATTGCATAACAGTTGGAAGAAGTTTATAATTTTCTATTTAGTGATTATTCTTTGCATTGCTTTAAGTTGTTTTTCAAAGTTCTTTTTCCAAGAAAAATGAAAGAGCTATAGTTTTGAGTTTCTTTAACATGGAGCACAACTTTGATTTCATGCATAACTATTTAATTTCAGAGTGGTTATAAAAAAAAATCATAAAATTATTGAAGCCAGTGCTCAATTTATATATATTATATGCTCAATTTATTAGGTACTTACCTACTATTATTAGGATAATAGACATACCTAATCCCTGTGGCGGAATTTTTTGGGGTTTTCTGCAGCAAATTTCTTAGCATTTTCTGAAATATATTTGTAATAGCAAACAAATATTTATGTTGATAATTTGAAGTAACAGAAACGCTTTATGTTTACAAAAATAAAATAAATAGCCTACACATGTAGACTAACTAAAATTGTATATTATTTTTTTAATTTGAATGTAATGATTTTCTTTTCCTCTGCATATAAAAGAATCTATATTTTAATATTATAAGAGATGCTCTCACATTTGAAGGGAGAAAAATGCCCTAATTGTTTCCTTTTTTTTTGTCTTTTGTAAATCGTCATTGAATTAAAAAAAAAATAAATTAACATTCGTGAAGTCAAAATCAAGCAAATTGTACTCTAGCACTTTTCAAAAAGGGGTTACTGAAAAATCTCTCTGCAAAAATTCTGTAACTTTCTGCAATAATGTCTCTGTGTCACTGGCATTCTGCCATGTGGGGTATCTAATATAAGTATTGTGCGACAATAAGTCTTTTACTCTCTTTGAAACAAAGACATACCTAATAATACCTTTTATTCAATTATACGAATAAAAGTAATGAATCTTGCTTAGCTTAAAAAACCGTCAGAACCTTTTAAATATTTTACAAATTAAATAAGAAAATTATATTAAGTTAATCTTTTTTTTAAAAAAAATGCTAATTTCTGTAAAAAAAAAGTTATCCTAAGTGTATTAGCGATTCAGATTTTTGCCTTGTTTTTTTAGCTTAAAATATACACTCATGGAGTGACTTCTCAGATATCATTAACTAATAAGATCACAAGTACTTTTCATTTTCTTCATATTATTATTTATATATGCTGCATAGAAAAAGCGAATAACTTTTTCTATGCATAAGTAATACTTTACAACACATAAGTGATAAGCAAGTCACAACAGTTTATTAAAAAATTTGCGAGTAATAGTTAAAACATGCTATTTCATAAGATGGGAAGAAAAAAGCCTTTGAAAAACAACGTAAATATTTTAATGTCGAAAAGTTTATTTTAAGAAGGAATAAATGATAAAATTTAAATTTTTAATTAATGAATTTGATATTTATAAGTTGTGTTACAAAATAATGTATCTTTAAATTTTTCTTTTAGAAATGGAAACCAAATCTTGGAATGATTACAAACTTAGCCCAGGTGTCTTGTCAGGCATAGAAAAACTTGGTTTTAAATATTTAACTCCTGTGCAAGTAATGTTCATGATTATTTCAATTTATTATATCTATTTTATGTTTTACATTTTTCAAATCATTGTTCTTAATATTTTAATAGTCTGCTCACAGTTTTTTTCCCCCGAAGAAAGTGAAATTTCTTATGAAAATACCTTTACACTTAAAGTTTTGTTTTGAGTTGTAAGATTTTGTTTATTTTACTCTTCCATGAAAATTTATAGCCTGTTGCTTACTTAAAAGTTATGCATCATTTGCTTGTAGTTGATTCTAAATAGTGATGATGAGCTTTTTTCAGATTAAAAAAACAACCCTAGAAGAAATAGATTTAATGAAATAAATAAGAACAGAATATCAAATATGGAAACTATTTAAATAGCTAATATCAAATTGACTAAAAAATCATACAGTTTTTTAATTTTTTTTTTGGTGCAACATTTTGAAGTTTCAAAAATACTTGAAGTCTTTGCAATAGTAGTTATGACATCTTTGATAGCTGATTTGCTTAGGATTCATTGTAAAGAACAAATTGAGTGTATTCATTGAGTTTTGGAGATTTGACAGTATGATGCACATGACTTTCACCAGATTTTACTTCTGTAGAGGGAAAAACGTGTGAAGATCGCATAATGTTATGTTGTCGATGGTCTACTAGAATGTCAATGGAAAATCTGGTTTAAGAAATTGTGCCTTGTTGACTTTGATTTGAAGAAACCTCCTGCACAGATTGATAATGACAAAATAAAGACAGTGATCCATGTTACACAACATGAGTGCAGAGATATTAAAGATCAGTAACAAAAATGTTTTCACATTTACCTAAATAAACTGGGATACGTAAGCAAACCCCAGTCCGGGTTCAGTGCCAATTTGTTTATGATTAGCATGTTTAGTTTGCTTTGTCTTAGCGGCAGACAAACATACTTTTGTCGGTTGTCCAACCTTATGGCAGTAGTTGCATGTTGCTGATTTGTATCTGCATTTCCTTGAGGAATGATAAGATCCTTTATGCTGATAACATACGGAGTTATTTTTAACTTTCATTTTGTTAGACCAGAATTGAGATCCAGATTAACATTCAAGATATTTAATATATAATTTTTAAACAAGTGAAAACTAAAAAGTAATAATTGGAAAAAAAATAATAAATGTAATGAATATTTACACAAATCGAAAACTAACAAATCACATATTGATCTTATAATTTCACATAGCCCTCAAATTTTTGTTATCAAATGTTATTAGACATGAATACTCGAACCATTTTTTAAATAAGATGATATAGAGAATTTTAAATTTTGTATAAGATTAATATAAAAAATATGAAAATAGCCATTTAAAAAAATAGATGTGAAAAACTGAAATTTATTTTATTACTTTAACTTTTATTAATTTAAACTTAACCTACTCTTATGATTCTTGTTATTGCTAAATAATAGTAATGGACAGAGATTGGCTAAAGTTATAAAATTTTGGGAGCCAGAAAAATCTAAAGATACAGCATCTAGAATTGTTAGGACTTTATCACATTAGCTGCAAAAAAAATAAATAAAAGAAATTGTTTCTTATAGACATACTTGGTTATTTTTTAGTGATATAGGTCATGTGTGTGTCTGTTCACAGTAAAGATGTTAAATATTCAATTAAAAAATTAAGTACTCTGACATTTATTAGTTATTGAGATTTATTTTGGCCCACTGAAATACAAAAATAGTAAAAACATATGATATAATGAATTACAGAAGCAAATTTCATAAAAAACTAAATTTTTATGGATGTATAATTTAGATTTTTCATATTCAGAAATTTGTATGATTTAGAATTTTCATATTTAGTATATTCGACATATTTTGTATAAAATAAAATAAAGCAAGTAAATAAACTACTTTCATTAAAATTTCTGTAGCATCTTTTTTTTTTTGACTTTCAAACTTTCCATAATTTTACAGCAATATTAAATTTGTAATCTCAAATAATATATTTACGTTTTGTTCCTTAAATTCAAGTCATATTAAAAGTTAATATTTTCAACAGTTTTTCTGTCAATTTCTTTGATTAGTTTTTATCCTATTTAAAATAGACTCTGTTGGTGTTTTGAGATGAGAAAAAAAAAATCCTGCTAATTTAAGGAGTGAAAATATGCTATTTAATAATATTTGAGTGGTGAAATATGTTGTAGAAGAATAAAATATATCCCTGGTTTACTTCTAGTACAAATATTTAATAGATATATACATTAACATTGACTTTGAGTTATAACATTAAAACACCAATTATCAATTGATTGAATTTTGCAATAATTTTCTCAATTGTTCTGTCAATTGATTCAGCTTTACAACGAAGAAAAAGTTATCAACTTTAAATTTTTTTTTCTACTAATGAAGCCTCCTTCTTGCTTATAATAATAAATAATAACCAGCAGAATGATATGATGGAAAAGTTAGGAAGGAATTTTTCAAGTCACCTGGGTGACCTGGCACTCAGAAATTGTCTGTCCCTAGTAATGGTCATGTTAAGTTTCTCCCGTTTCATCCTCTTTCGCTAATATCTTAGAAAGAAATAGGTTTCAGATATCTAGGTTTATAGAAATTCTTAACATTATTATTAATAATATCAACAGGATTTGTTTTTTAATTCTTTAGAATATTCAATTTTTGAAAAAATCACCACTTTTAAAAATACAACTACAGGTTATTAATAATGTTTTCTAATTTTTCCCTATACATACAAGGAATTTTAAAAACTTTTAGAAGTATCTTGTACATAACTTCAAAATAAATAAACTGAAAACTATATTTTTAAAGTTTAAAAGCTGTAATAAATTCAGTTCACTTGAAAACAGTAAAAATACATCCTGGAATATCCTGTTAATTATTCTATACAATTTACGATTAACTTAAATAATTCCAATTATCTTTTCAATGTTTCTCAAAATTAAGTTTAGTGCCTTATGTTATAAACATGCTTTCTCAAAGATATGCAACTTACTTGCATTTTTATTTTTTATTGTAGGCTGCTTCTATTCCATTATTTTTGAAGAAGAAGGATGTTGCTGTTGAAGCGGTAACGGGAAGTGGAAAGACGTTAGCCTTTCTTGTGCCTATGTTTGAAATTTTATTAGAAAAAGCACCGTTCCGAAAACTTGATGTAAAGTCTTTTCTTGTTGTTTATTATTTGTCCTTTTTTCACTTTGTATATTACATAGCTTTAATGAGAATTTATTGATATTATATGATGAATAATTTTTTTGTGCATACAATTTTTTCGTGCATTCCTTTTTATTTTTTCAAAGAATTTTAGAAGTTATTGAAAAAAATGTTTTTTTTTAAACAATTAAAAACGTTTAAAAAGAAAACGTGATATATGTCAAGATTTAAAATTTTTCTTTTGGTATTTAAAATTTTTATTCCTGGGTATTTAATAAGATTGCTGGGAACATGAAAATTAAACTATTTATCCCTTGTTTTGTTGCACATTTTTGGGGAAAGTATTCAATTAAAAAATTTAATTCCCAAAACATTTTATCGCATTAACGCAGATTACGAAGAAAATTAAAATTTTTGCTCTGTTGAAAATTAATCTGTTATTTTGTTTTTTTTTAATTCCTATTCAACTTACAGTTACTATAAAATTATTGAAATGTTTTATGTAAAACAGATCGTTTTAATGTTGTCTAGATCGTTTAGTAATGTTAGTGTAAAGTTAATTCCTAATAACAGTTTTATACAATCGATTCACGATAATTTGAAGTACAATAACTCGTTTCTAGCTTATCATAATTTAGACAACTCAAGTGAAAAGCCCCTTTTCTCTTCAGCTGTTCATTTAGTTTATTCCATTACATCTATCATTTGACGCCTAAAATAGTTCCTACAAAATCAAACACATTGAAGCGAAAATTAAAAACTCTGAGTTTAGAAGCTGAAGCGAATTCTATTAATTATGTTGAAGGAAATACAAACTGGAAAAAATAAGATTTAGCATAAAAATATGGAGCTCCACCCAATACTCTTTCAACGATTTTAAAAGATAAAAAAATCATCCTAAAACCCCATTAATGGATGAACCCTCATTCTAAAAGAATAAAAAAGTGTGCCTTTACTGAGGTAGAATCAGCTCTTCTTAAATGGTTTCAACAGCATAAGAATTTGAATAATGCAGTTCCTATTAGTGGTACTTTGCTACGTGATAGAGTGAAGGAATTAGCAGCTTTGTTAAAAGATAGAAAATTTTCACACACACTGTGGGTCACTCCAATAGTTTCAAAGTAGACATAACATTATTTTTCGGACTCTCCACAGTGAAGTTAAAAATGTGTAATGAAGTATATGACTGAAAAATGCAAAACTTATATTGTATCAAAAGTTAAGAGACTGTGATGAAATTTTGATTGATAAAAACAAAATAATAATTTTATATAAATAAAGAAAATATTTGTAAGATTTTACAATCCTCAATCAACAATGTTTTCTTCCTAAAACTGCGAATTAAAGACGCATTTGAAAAAAGTTTAATGTATTTCGAATGAGACATAAAACTCTAATTTTATAATAATTAAAGTTACATCATCAATTAATTTATCTTGAATTGTTTGGAAGTTTTTTTAAAATGACAATAGTTTACAATTATTTTACTTTTGATTTAAAATCTGTTGATTTTGTACAATAAATTTTGAAGAAACCCATCTTTCTTCAAGTATGCCGTCCCAAAAAATCTGGGTGGGTTTGAAGAAATTGCCTCGTGTTAAAGAAATTTTATATATATATATTTTCTATTATTATTTTCTTGTAATGCATTTCTCTGTAGGTTGCTGCCATCATTCTTTCGCCTACACGTGAGTTGGCAGTTCAGATCTCTGACATTGTCAGCATTTTTCTAGAAGAATTGCCTCAATTTACAAGCATGCTTTTGATTGGAGGTGGGTCTGTTAACACAGACATCAGACAGTTGTCAGAAAAAGGGTAAATTGTTACTTACTGAGATAGGTTTTCTAGTTCGATTAAAAGATTCCTTTTTATGAAATATTGTCCTTTTCAAACTAAAAAATATTTTTACATCTTTTGTTTGATATATTATTTATTATACTGTTTAACTTGGAAAACAATTATGTGGTCCTAATAGTTACTAAGTTAAAATCTTAAGCACCTGTAATGTTAATTTTTTACTTTTTTTTATTTTATCTATAACTTTGAAAGTATATTTAAATACAACTTATTCATCTAAAAATAATTTAATAATTTGTTATAAAGTGATACCTCCGAGAAGAAATAGGCCAGACACTTTATTCCTTATTCACAGGATACTAAAAATTATGAAATAAATTAAATTTTCTTTAAATATTATACATGTTGATCTGTTTTATTATAAATCTATATATATATTTCTCTTACACCGAAAAAAAAAAGCCTCATTACAACTCCCCGAATGGCAACGTTGGAAAATCGACCAATGATTGCTGCTAAAAATGTCACATGCCAAATCTAGGTGAGGTGGCTTAACATGTAGCGCTTTTAAAAACGGAAACAATAACCAGAGTGAGCATTATCAACTTGTTCAATTCAACTGCCGCAATTTCATACTATTAAGCTAGGCAGAAGTGAGTAGTAGATCTCTATTTTAGTATTTTGTCGAAAGCGCTTTTCTGAAGTACTTTGTACAACTAAATAAGATTCTTTTCACAACACTTAAATATTTACTTTATTTTCTTCATTTATAGAGAAAACAGTCGGCAAAGAGTTCTGTTAGGTTAAAAAACATTTTGCTAAAAAAAGAACGAATTCTAAAAGAAATAAAAATAAACAACTTAAAAAATAAANGGTGGGAAAGACTTTAAAACAAAACTTACAACAGTTACTTTTCTCAACAACTGAAATTTAGAATAGTGTGATTAAGAAAAATATGTGAACTGTTTGCAATTTCAAATTAATATTGAAATGTACAGGTTTAGAATTTTCTACAGTGAAAAGTTTTCGGAACTTCAGTATTAAAAAAAGTATACTAAAGCTAGACGTTAAGAACGTATCCAATGAGTGAGCATAGCGAGCATTGATTGCGAAGCAATCCGAAATGAACTACGAAAGCAGTTCCGAGGGTTGGCGAGCTCCAGCGAGTAGGGGGCGAGGCTTCCTAGTATTTTATAATGTTGCGCCTTTGTTTAAATTTGTCTATAAAAAATAGATGCCCATTTTCAAGCTTTGCCAGGTGTGTAAGGCTTTTCTGTCTGGCAAGTCTTGAAAATTGATTATTATTTTTTAACACACTTGAAACATGTCTGTTATTTCCTATTTTTATATTTTTGAAGCGAACAAAGTTTTTAATCAGGTGATATTGTACGACTTAAGTTTCATGAGATTATTTATATGACATTAAGACTTCTTTTCTAAAGGACTTACAGAATTGTCCCTCAAATAGAGGGTGCTCCTTACTGGAGCTATTATTGTACTTATTTAATTTATTAATCATAGATTTTTTGAATTGTTATGTATAATATTTTTTACATCATTTTAAAACCATGTAATATATAATTGCAAAATAAAAAATATAAATGTAATTTGCCAAACCATTTTCAAGAAACAAAAATTAAAAAATTTGTTCAGCTTTTTAAGTATAAAACTTAACTCAGAAATAATTTGACCAATTTTGAACTTTTTTATTTCGAATTACGTAGATTTAAAAGCTATAAAAATGTGTTTACCTTATAAGATAAAAATTTGTTGACCTTAATTAAATACATAAAAAATGGTAAATAATTAGGAGAAAATATTTTTGAATGAATTTAGCTATAGGTAAATGAAGCTTAAATTTGTGTTCCCCACTTCAAAAAAAAGCTTAATAGTTCTATAGATGTAGTGACGTATGCAAAAAGTAAATTTAATACTAAGGGTCACCAATTTTTTTTATTGTTCTTCTGATTAAACTTTTGATATCATATTGTTTGTATTAATTTGCTGTTTCTTTATTAAATAGCATTTTAACATTTCTTCTTTATTAAATAGCATTTTATTTACTTAAAATGAATAAAGCAGTTGTTGTTATTGGCAAAAAACAAAAAAAAAANAAAAAAAAAAAAAAAAAAAAAAAAAAAAAAAGGCTAGAAGAAATACTTAAAAAAACTGAAACATGCACATTGAAACCATTTTCTGAAAATGTTCAATTTCATAACATATTATTCATAATTTCCTTAATTTAGAATCTTAATTTTCAACTCAATTTCATTCAAATATTTATCTAATGTTATTCATATATAAAATGATATTTGGCACACAAAAGTGTTGAAGTTTGTGTAATAATCCTAATTTATGTTTTCAGAGCAAACATCATAATTGCCACTCCTGGTAGATTTGCTGACCTCTTCAGCCACCACCATAAAAGCCTAAGGCTTGCTGCATTTGTTAAAGCTTTGGTAAGATTTAATATTTGGTTTCTTTCATTATTGTTATTATCTATATTTGTTAACTAATTTATTTATTTTGTATTAGGAAATTCTGATTCTAGATGAGGCAGACAAATTACTTGAAATGGGTTTTGAAAAAGCGTAAGTAAACTTATTTTTTGTTTTATTTTAAATAAAATGCAGAGTTACTAACTCTATTAAAATTTTTAAATTGAATTTTTCTAGATTTCTTGATCTAAAATTCTTTTTTAGTTTTGAACGAAATTTTTTAAAATTGTGAAATATCCCGAAAAAATTCCCTTCAAACATAATATTTCATCTTTCTTTTAGCAAAAATATTTACTTTTTAGCACTAGCAAAATTATAAAACCAATATGTTATTCAGAAATAAATTACAACTATTCCAAACTATGCATTTAAGTAGATTATAATCATAAAAAAAATTGTATATAAATTTATATTTACGAAATTTATTACTTTATATTTTACAGCCAACTTAAATTTTTAGTAATTAGTGCAATATTATTTTTGTTCTTCATTTCTTATTGATTGTGAGCAATTTTATATTGAAAAAATATACCATTTATTAAAGTTTTAAGAAACCATTAGAACTCGGTTATCCCTGGAATAAAAGCCATGAAAATAATCAATATATATATAGCACAATAAATAAATACAAAAAGGATAGAAAAATTTATATATATATATAACACACACGCAGTTCTCACTAGAAATAAAAATGGGCAGTGCACTTTGAATTTAAAATGGGCTCTCACTTAGCACTGTAAAAATACATCAAAATGTGTAACATTATCTAATAACTAAATTTTATCCATGAAAAAGTTTAATTACCCTTTATACTATTTTATGAGTATTTTTCAGAAAATAATTATCTCTCATTATTAAAATAAAAGAAAAAAATTTTAGTTTATAAAAATAATTACAAGCATGCTTAAAGGCATTCTCTGTGCATATTTTTTTTAGTAAAAAGTAAACTAACGAAATATGATTAATTGATTAACTTGAGCTTTTTTCTATAATTTAAACTGAAAACTGTGAGAAAATAAATGTTTAAAAATGCATTTTTTTTATTAAAAAAAGGTATTTGTTAGAAAAAATTTAAATTTAAAATCACTTAAAAAATGTATTAATATATCCCCGAAAAAAAGATATTTATAAAAATTTAACTAGTTGAGAATAATCCTAACAAAGTAAATAGTATTTGTAATAGTAATCAGAATTGAACCTATAAACAGATATACAACCTCCTATAAAACCTATTACAGATAGTTTTACCAGTGTGTAATTATTATTTAAACAGTGAGTTTTTTTCAGAATGGAATATGAATTAATAAATAAAAAAAATGTTTTTCTGGGATGGCAGCTTATTTTTTTGCAAGAAGGGAAAAGATGGCACATTTATAGGGATCACTGGGCAGGCAGGGCGGGCCACACTTTTAAAAATGCTTAGGGAGAACACCTGCTAGAAATTTAAAAGCAAAAATAAATAAACTTAGTCAAAAAATACTTTTTCAAAAAATAATTTGCTGAATATTTAGCCAAATATTCGGCCAACTGTATATTCGTCAAAAGTTCCTAATGCCAAATATTCATTACATCCCTAATTAGGAGTAATTATGTTGTGTGGAAATCAAATTGAAAGATCGATCCGTTCTGTTACAAGGTTAATAATTTTCACTATTGTGGGCTCTAGCCTTCTTAAGAAGAACCTTCTGTGCTAATCTAATGAAAGCCACTGTTCTCCAGCTCCTTCCTCCATATATTTAAAAACCCATTCAGGACAGCCAGTACAACCAAATTACAGGGCACCAATAAGCCCCTATAAGATTGGCACACAAGCCAATCCACCACTTAGGTATTCATTTAGTAGACCAAAAACTTAATATGGTAGACAAGCTTGAGAAATAAAATCGAATTTTACAATTGCATAATTAATATTATGGTACACACAGGGGTAGAAGTCCTCCTATATTTCCTATTTTTCCTATATTTTTATAAAAAGCTAAGAAAGCCTCCTATTTTTCCTTTATTTCCTATATTTTTCAAAATTGGCCTATATTTTTTCCCTCTAATATTTTTTTTTTACTATAGAAGACAATTTTATAGATTTTTCTTTCCTTAGATAGTTATGATCATTTTGAAATTCACTTGTCCTCAATACTGCTTAATGACAATGGGTAAGTGAACACATAAATAGTGTTCTCCCCCCCCTCCCTATCTCTTGTAGTTTAACAAAAGTTTCAAGGTACAATGACTAAGTTAGTGTGTGGAGTCCTATTGTTAGGGCCTGGGTAGATTTGTGGAACAACACCCCTTTTGTCAATAAAGGGTGAAATAACAGAGAACCAGTAGTAGCATGAATGGAATGTATCATAGAGTATTATTTATCAATGTCACTAAAAAAGTCAGAGGGGAGTTTTGTGGAAATTGCAGTTGTCTGTCAAACTCTTTCTTTCCTTATCTGCTGTATCTCTCCTCAATATCCACGGGTCACTCATTCTATTCAAAGATGAAGACACCTCAAGGTCAGTTTTTTTTCTATTCACCAGTTTTATTTTCTTCTATGGAAGTAACAGGAATTGTCCTAACTAATTTTGTCTCCTCCTCTTTTTGGGGGAGTTTTTCTGTCAACTTCCATTGGTTCATTCAGAGGATTGAATATAACTTGTTACCTGATTGGACCTTCATCACCCATTTTAAGTTACCCTTTGGAAGTAGTGAGTGTTGTCATTGACTACACAGAAAATTAGTTTTAGTGCTTTCTAAGCTTATACTACTTTGTATGACTTTTTTTTCTGAGTAGATGTACAATTAAAGATTAGTAGATGTACAATAAGTACAATTAAAAGATGCCAAATCATTTGACACGATTTCGTGATGATTGGCTTGATTTAGAGGATAAAAAATAATGGTAAAGATAAAGACTGGTGCCAAAAAGGTAAAGATGAATATTCTGCCTACTGTACTGTTTGTCTGGCTACTGTAAACATCAGCAATAGTGGCAAAATTCAGCTTTTGCAGCATTCAGACACTAAAAAACATAAAAAGACTTTTAATGAGAAAAAGGATATTTCTCAAAAGCGTCTCATAATTGCTGCAGGCAATAGTGTTTGTTTGGAGCCAGGATCCAGCTCTACTGAATCAGAAAAAGTATGGACTCTTACTTCTGAAGACAAAATATTGCGATCTGAAATTATATGGACAATCCATGTTGCCCTGAACAATTATTCCTTTTTTGTCGCAGGATGCTATAAAAGAAGTATTTTCATCTGTCTTCCCAGACTCAAATTTGTGCACTGGGATGACCTTATGTTCCACCAAAGTGTCTTATTCTATATCACATGGACTTGGTCCTTACTTTTTGAAGCAAATCACCAACGAATTCAAGAGAGAAAAACCTTATTACTCATTAATGTTTGACGAGACCCTTAATGAGCAAAACTTGAAACAACTTGATGTGCACATTCGATATTGGTGCTCTTGTGATGGTGGTATATCCGAGAGATACTTGGGTTCAGAATTGTTGGGGCATGCAACTGCTCTCAACATTTTTAATGCAATATAATCAATTCTAAATTCTTGTGAAATAGATTTAAAGCATATAGTGATGCTTGGGTCTGATGGGCCGAATGTTAATAAATGTGTTTTTCAACTATTCGACAAAGAAGTTACGGAAAGTTAGGAAGTATGGATTAATAAATGTGGGTACATGTAATTTACATGTTATTCATAATGCCTTTGGAAAAGGTTTAGCTATTGAAGAATTTGGGAATATTATTGATTTTTTGGAAAACATTTATTCATGGTTTTCCAAATTTCCTTCCAGGAAAGTGGATCTCCAAAAAGAAATTGATCATTTTGGTTGTGAATATTCTAAAGTGTTGAGATATGTGAGCAACAGATGGCTTTCTGTTGTTACTGTCTGCGAAAGAGTCCTGCATCTTTTGCCTCCTTTAAAGGAGTATTTTATAGAAGATCTACCTAAACAGAAAAGTAGTTTGATAAAGCTTTATAGATTTCCAAGCATTAAAAAAGTTTTAGAAGATCCTTTATTATCAGCTTATTTGCATTTCCTTATCAGTGTTGGATCAATTTTTGATAATATTTTAAAGCTATTACAAGAAAAAAACTCATTGATTCACACTTTATACAATGAGTTATGTGATTTGATAATAAAAATCATGCAACGCTTTATTAAAGAAGAAGTTTTGAAAGACAAAGGTGGCGACAAATTACTTGAGGTAGATTTGAACAAAGATGCCTTGCCCCTAAAAAAGATCGATGTGGGCAATAATGTTCGTAGGGTACTTAACTTGGTAAAAAGTGAAGAAAAGGAGTTATTTCTATTTAATGCTAAGAAATTTTATGTTATAATAATTGAATACCTCCTCCAGAAATTGCCTTTGAAAAATAAACTGTTACAATCCTTACAAATTGTGCACCCTATTGTGAAGAAAGAACCTGTAGTGAATATTTTGCCTACAATCAGAAGATTGTGTAACATGCTACCCCACATCGTACCACAGAACTGTGTTGATAAACTGACTGACGAGTGGCATTTGTATGCAAATGAAGATGTTCCCGAGGAAACTGAAAACATTCCCATTGACAAGTACTGGAACAATGTGTTTGTTCTTAAAGATGGTAATGGTAATTTAAAATATCCCTTTTTAACTAAACTTGTGAAGTCAGTCCTCTCTGTTTCTCATGGGCAAGCCTCTGTGGAACGTGGCTTTTCAATTAGCAAACGAATTATGACAAATGAAAGGTCAAGAATGAATTTAAACACGCTAGTAGGCTTAAGACTTATAAAAGATTCAGTTAGAAAAAATGCTTCTTGTGTGGAAATAACAAAAGAGATGATCCAGTTCTACAAAGAAGCCCACAGCAAATATAAGGCAGAAAAAGAAAAGGAAAAGCTCAAAAACCTCAAGGAAAAAAGTTTAGAGCCTAGGCCCAGTACTTCTGTAAAAAAATCAACTGAGGAGAAATTGAAAGGTTTTAAGGAAAATGTTTATTCAGCTCAGGCTATGATTGAAGAAGGAAACCAGAGGCTTAAACAAGGACTCAAATGGAAATCTATGGCTGATATTGAGGCTGGACAAGCACTTATTGATGCTGACAACAAAAAGTTAAAGACTTTGCAGAATGATAAATGAATATAAAAACAATGCTGCATAATTTTTGAAATAATTTAATGTAATAAAGAGGAGTAAATAAAATGTTAATTATTGAAGAAGTCATTAGTTTGATAAAGTCAATTTTTTTATGTGATTTTTAATTTTTAATGCAATAATAAGGTATGTATGATTTTATTGTCACCATTCAGCTGCGGAAAATTGTTTATATAATTTTTTTATCGAATTTTATAGTGTTAAATAATTAAGTTTTAAAGTTATTCATATATGATCCATACTTTTCAATTTAATTTAGATCTTTTTTGCCCTATTTTTTATTCCAGAAAATCCTATATATTTTTTCTAGAAAATCCTATATTTTTTTCAAAACAATCCTATTTTTTTCTCATTGGTCACTTCTACCCCTGTACACATCAAAAATTAGTAATTGCCATCCTTAATTCATTACCCCATCATGATTAAAGATTAGTATTCATTGAAATTCAATAAATAAAAGAAGCTAAGATAATATTGGTAAACAGATTTAACATATAGATTAAAATTTTTAAACCAAATAAATAAAGAAAGGAAACAGAGAATGTAAGAACTAATAAAATATTATATTAAAAATCAATTATCTAAAAGTTATGTAATTCTAAATAAAGTCAAGTCTAAAAGAACTAAAACCAGTGTTTTATTGATGAAAAATTATGCTGTCAGTACATGAGTACAAAGCACCTCACACATGTAAATTCGAAATATCAACATTTAAATTAAAAAATATTTTTTACCAGACACATTAAATTATTCCTTTTGAAAAATTATAAAATTATAATCTAACCTATGTGTGGAATAATAAAATTAGTGCAACAATTTTTTTTTAAATGCATGGCATTCCACGCAANACTCATTTTATCGACCCACTGAAGGGATGAAAGGCTGAGTCGGCCTTGCCCGGCCCAAGGATCGAACCAAGGACCTGTGGCACGGCAGCGCGAAGCGCTACCACTCAGCCACCGGGCGTCTAATAAAATTAGTGCAACAATTTTTTTTAAATGCATGGCATTCCATGCAAAAAAAAACTATTTTTTAACTTTAGAACTTATTTTAAGATGACAAATTTTGTTGCCTACCCGTATGATTTTAGCGACATTTGTGGAACTTTTGGCAACAATTGTCACCATAATGGCATGAACTCTACTGATTACATTGCAGCAATTGTGACATTAGTCTCAAAATTGAAGAGCCTGACTCATAGTGGGCTGTTGTGGGAATACTTTACTATACTCCTTAGTACCTCTACTTAGTAACTATTTCCTCATTATTTAAATTTTGGTTCTATTATTTTAATTAATACATTTTGCCTTAGTTGCTACCTAACAAAATGGAGTAGAGTTCTCCAATATTAACATCATTATTGAATTCTTATCTTTTCTTATGAAATAATGTCTGTTTTTATTGTTTTCTTGCAGAATCAATACAATATTAAGCTATCTTCCAAAACAGAGGCAAACTGGTTTGTTTTCTGCCACACAAACTAAGGAAATGGAGGACCTCATTAGAGCAGGTTTGAGAAATCCTGTCTGCATCTCTGTTAAAGAAAAGAGTTCCCTGAGTCATGATCAGAGGACGCCTTCTACCCTTTCAAACTTTTATATGGCATGTTCAATAATAATAAGTATACATACTGATCTCCATTTATGTGTTGATATTAATTTGTGCAACATTTATTTTTATTAATAAAACGTGTCTCTATAGCTAAATGTTAGGAGTCATCTGATATATATGTCCACCCAGCTAACAAATAAAAATGTACAGTGCACACAAAAAAAATCAAACAACTTAAATATTTTTTGTTCTAATAATTTTAATTTTCACATATTAGGAATTAATCTTAATGATTCGAGGACCTAATCTTACTATGCTTATTAATAAATACAAATAATATTTTAAATTATGAAACATAAAAACATACTTTTGTCTAAATAAACACCTTTTTTCAACTAATTTGGATTTCTGACCCCCAAAGCATAGAAGTTTGCTGCAGGATAGGAGTATTATCTATCAAAATAGGAGTATTTTCAGGGTTATGAAATATGACGAAGTGGACTGCAGCATACCAACCAGCAAAAACTTTTTATCCAGAGTTGCTAATCATTCATTTTAATATATTACTCGCACAAAATGCAGTCAGGGAAATAAGCGAGTCAGATATGGTGTAGATGTGACTGTAGAAATTCTTGTCCAGTCAGTAGTCGGAAAAACGAAGCTCTAAAAGCCCTAGGGGGGTTCCTGGAAGTACATGATGTTACAGTTTCTCCCAAGAAGCATCAAGAGCTTGCTTTCTGTAAAAAGTTACTCATCAAATATTTTGTGTTTGTCATTTCTCAGGTCAGTAGAAGATTCAGAAGGATCTAAAAGAAATCCCTGTTTTGCAAGGTTGTCTGCTTTTTCATTTCCTCGCAATGACTAGGAATCCATTACAAAACTATTTCCTTTCCAGTAGATAGTAAAGTGATGCTTTTACAATGAAATTAATTGGCAGAGGGACAGATTATGTAACTATGAATTGCAGCTTGACAATCAGTGAAGTCAAATTTCTTTTCTGGTGTCTACAAAATATTATGGAGAGCAATGTAAATTGCATACTATTCTTCATCAAATTTGTCTAAATTTAGACTTAAAGACTTTCTGAGTTTGAAAAACTTAGAGAAAATCCAATTAAAAATGGATATTATAAGTAGCTCTTGATTTGAAACCATCACTGTAAAGATTGGCTTTTAAATTTTGTTTTCATTGGTCTATCAGATTGATAATGAATCAAAACATTGTTCTTGTATGTTTATTAATGCCAGTTATTCATTTATAGAGATCAGAACTAGTGTTGAGGATGAAGTCCATTTTTTCATAGGCATCATGAGTAAGGCTCCAAAAATCCTGTGGGTTCAGACTTAAAAATTATATTGACTTAACTTAATAATGACAACAACCATTAGCATGAGAGTGTTGTGTTTTAAGCTGTGGTCACTTCACGACATTGTTATGATTATTTATTTTGCAGACTTTAAAACTTTTTCATTTATTTGTAGTTAATTGTGTTTTTCTCTCCCCTTTTTATCCAGGTGTGTGATCCCGAGAAAAAATTCAGTGTTTTAGTCTCTTTCCTTCGTTCCATGCAGAGTGTCAAGTGCATGCTGTTCTTCAGTACATGTGCATCAGTGGATTATTTCACTTATCTCCTGAAAGAGTATGAAAAACCTTGATAAATTACAGATTAATAAGAAATATGAAATTAATATTAATTGTCTAAATATTGAGATAATAACTTTACAAATAAATGTTTCGATTATAAGTCAGTTGCATGGGGCTGAGTTCTTTAAATATAGTGTTTCAGGCCATTTTTATTGCATTCGCTTGTGCTAATGACTTTTATTATCTTCTACTAATTTTTTTTTCCATGTTTGCAAGTAAAAGATACTTTTTTTTTTAAAATCTGCATTTGTTGTTGAGCTCAAGTGAACTTTAGACATTTATGAATGTGCTATTTCAAATTCATCTGATAATCTAACCAACATATCTGTGTTAATAAATATAGTGAATAAGATGTGTTTAAAAGAAGTATTTTGACTAAAAGAAGTATATTTTGAAGTGAGGAATCTTTTGTAAGGACAAGACAAATAATTAAAATATAACTTGATATTTTTTTTCAATTTTTTACTGAAAACAGTGTATTTAAGAGGATATACAAATTGTATTTGCTACAGTGTATGTTCAATTATCCATGATACCAGTATAAATTGCTTTCTTGTTTGCATGTGGATGTATAGGGGGGATCTTATACCAAAAACTATTTTTAATATTATTTTTTTCCAAACTTAAGTATAAGTCTGAAAAATTTCCACTGTTCAAAATGAGGGCATGTATTTGGTATACTCAAATTTTCTAAAATTGAGATGTTATGGTCGGTCATCAGCATGGAAGATTACTTTGTTCTGCCAAGATTTAAATGCCGCACTTCTTTGTTAAAAAAGGGATAGTTCAGTAAACTTCTCATTGTTTAAGTTTGTTTTAAAGCCCGTTTTCTCAAATTGTCATTTATCTTCTATTTATCTATTATGTCATTTCTAAGTAAATTTCCTTATTATTATACACTGAAGTATCAAAAGCCACACTACTTGCCACACACTTGTTGAACCGTGCTTGCTTATTGATTGAAAAGTTATAAGTGACTTGTGCATAGAGTTATGATTAAGACACATTACATGGAATTACAAGAACCGTTGATTTTATGCACATGATGGACTCATTGCAGACAGCTCTTTGAAGAACTTTATTAGACTAACTTGAATGTCTTATTTTTATACTCAATGCTATTGGCTGCAACATTCATTGGAACATATTGGTTGGATGGTAAATGGCTGAAAATATGTGGCATCTACATGGTGGTTTCAGTTCCAGTTGGTAAGGTGTGATAGTCGGGATCAAGTCCAGCACAGACCACACGAAGTAATGTACCTCAATTTTCAGGAAGGCAGGTTGGTGGTGGGTGCCTATTTATGTCCACTGTTTTATTGTGAGACATATGCCACGTGAAAACTGATAGGATTATCTTCAGTTGTTTGGAGACCATATGCAAACTTTCATGTGTTCTAACTATAATGTTAATCCTCAAGGTGTGAATCGTTATTGGGGAAACATTGTCCACACTTGGTATGAGGAACATTCTTGATATGGAAAATATTTGGTCTCCTTAAATTGCCTAGCATGAATCCGCATTTCGGACATATTAAAATATCTGTGTATATATACATATATACACTTTTGCAGTCATGGATGGCTTAGTATTTGGTCATCTAAGTTTGCAACTTTTGCAGCATTTCACAGGGAAGAAGAGTTCTTACACCATCCCATTACTTTTGGTTCTTCTGTTTCACTATTTGTATGCTACTGTAATCTATGTTTGTTTAACAATTTTGTTTTCTCTTTAATTCTTGTTCATTTTTTTTGTAGATTCATCAAGCATATACCCGTTATCAGCATTCATGGTCGTATGAGGAAAAAAAGACATAAAATTTTTTCAGATTTTCGCAATTATGAGAGGTAAGTTCAAACAAAATATTTAAGCTATGAATTAAGGTTTAACTTTATTCGTATTTGACATGCCTATCCATTTTATCAGAATCTTCTACCATTCTTCCTCTTGTTTGTTGACAAATTTGAATTTCAATAACTATAACCATTAAGTATGGAATTAAGTGATTTGAATCTGAATTTAAATTTAGTTTTCATTTAATTAAGGTATCTGACTGACTGGTATCGACACAATTTTATTTTTAAAAGAAGGCTCAATTTAAATTTTAATATTATGTTAGGTAGGCAGATGTCTTAAAGTGATAAATTTAAAAAGTTTAAGAATTTATAAAATATTTTTAAAACTAAAGACAAATTTGAATTCAAACTACAAATTATTCATGTCACACTAACAACTCTACAGGAAATTCTTACTTAAAGCTTGATAAAAATAGCAAATTCAAACTTAAACCATATATTTTAGTTCAAAACATGATGGCAACTTTGCCAACACAAGAGGAGGAATGTCAGATTCTGATAAAACAGATAGGTATGTCAAACACTATTACATTATATGAAATCTACATTCAAAATTTCAAAGAATTCCATAATAAACTTTAGTAATAAAAATTTCTCAAAAAAACATTTTAGTTTCGTTTTCATGAGTTTATTTCTGGTTTGTGTTTCACCTGTTAGCACATGGAAAAACAACTGTAACTAATCAGAGATAAAACTTTTTAAAGAGCTTTGGAAAGCTCATGAACTAAAGCTTAAATATGGATAGTAAAAATAAAAATAAAAACTTAAAATTTTCTTTGAAATTGCTGATTTTTACCCAGTAGGATTCCTTAACCTGATCAGAGCCTTAATTTATATCATTGATTCCTATAACTGAATCAAGTAAAAATAAATAATTTACACATAATAAAGCTTTTTCCCTCTACACAAATTAAATCAATTCCTTTATCATCTCCTTATAAACACTAGCAATAGAAATACTAGTTCTAGGATTCTTAATTTTTCACATTCTATTTTTTCACACCCTATTCATCTCATCTTTTCAAATTCATACATTGTTTGTTACTTTTTTTTACATATCGACTTTTTAAAAAAATAAAAATCTAAGATGTTTGCAATTTTTTCTGTGTATTCTCCTTTTCTTATTGTTGAATAAATATTTTTCAGTGGTATATTGCTGTGCACGGATGTTTTAGCTCGAGGTGTGGACATACCCGATGTTCACTGGGTGATTCAGTTCGATCCACCAAGTTCTGCGAGGTGAGGAATGCTACTCAATACATTCTTTTCTGTTTAAAAAAAATTCACGAAATAGAATTTTGCTTTTCTATAAGACTTGATTAAATTCAGTCATAAATATGATACTTATTTTGTCTTTTGATATATAATTCAATATAAATGCATATAATAATATGTATAATATATATTTTGAACTTAAATAAGGTGAATGGTAACATTAATTATTTTTATTTTTACTTTAATTTTTTTTTATTAGCATCATAACTAGACTGACATACAAAAATTTATCTTAAATCTACCATTCTGAATTATTCATCAGCAGTCATAAAAATGATGAGCATGCACACTTTTATTTTTGTGTGATAATTCTTTTAATTAAAACTATAAAAACATACTTGTGGTTGAAACATTTTTCACTCCCTTTATGACTGAAAGCAGTTTTGTGTAGGAATGCATACCTTACTTTATCTTTGGTCTCACTTTCCACCTACTTTAAAGAAGAGGTTCATTTTATGCATTTCAAAGAGGTACTATTCTTAAATTTCATTAAGAATCTATATGTGCATTTCAATGTAGTGACAGTACACCTTCATCAGTAGGGTAAATGTCAAGGATGGAGAGATGATTTAACCAGACAGAGGTTACATCATATTAACATCCTACAGTTAAAGGTAAAACTTTAAAATAGCATAGAATAAGAAATCAATGATTTTCAAATATTGGACAAGTGTGTTGCATCATTAGCAATAGAGTTTTTGATGATGTAGAAATCTCCAAAAAACCAGGTCCTCCCCTAAAATTCCAATCAAAACTTGATGAAAAAATTCCTTTTTTTTCTTCATATATTTAGATGTTATAAAGAAACCTTATAGCAAAACTTGTTTTCTTTTTCAGCTCTTTCGTTCATCGATGTGGTCGGACAGCACGCATAGGGAAAACTGGAAATGCTTTACTTATGTTGTTACCAAATGAAGAGACATTTGTTAACTTTTTAGATGTGAATCAAAAAGTAATTACTTTCCTTCATTTTATTACCAAAAACGTTATTTGCAAATTCTTTAATAAGTATTGGTTTGCAGGGTGCCTAACTGTCCCGAAAAAACTCAAATTTGTGTAATTGCTCAAATATTACTTTAATTGGCCTAATGTCATAACATCATATTTAAAATAACAGAATTTCAGTAAAAAAACACTGAAAGGGTTTAAATAAAATGGATTTACAATGAAATCGTTGTGAATGAAGCACATCAAAGAATGATAATTCAAATTCTTGAGTCATATAACATCACTACAAATATCAAAAATTGATAACAGTAAAACAAAGAACACGAAAGAAAGACTAGTTACAATGGAATCATTGCTAATCAAACAAGGCAAAAAGTGATTACTCATATCCATGTATTATAACAGCATTCTATTAAAAATATTGGAATCAAAGGAAAATAGATGAGGAAATAACTGAATAAAGCATAACGAAATTGGAGCTGAGCAGACCAACAGTGATGATTCAAAATTCGTGTGTCATAAACTATCAAAAGTCATTCTATTAAAACATTGAAATTTGAAAAACTATGTAGAAATGGCTAAAAAAATTATCGGAAAACCGTATGGATTTTCAAGGAACTTGTCAGAATCATGGATCTTTTAAATTTTTTTACTATATTGGGCACATAATCATAATTAAACATTCTGGAAGTCGTTGAAGTACTGTGGAATTCCCAAATGTTTTGTAAACATTATCCGAAATATATGTAAAAATTACAATTTAGGAGTTATATTTGCCAATCAACAATCAATATCTTTCAAGGTTATTCCGATGTTAGAAAGGGTTGTGTACTTGTTCCACCAATCCTTTAAATTGCTATTGACTGAATTATGAGGAAAGCATCAGAGAATAAAAGGGATATAAGATGGAATCTTGCTGAATACCTTTCTGATCTCGATTTTGCTGACGACTCATGTTTACTGACCAATAATCTTCAAGACATGCAAACAAACACAACATTTTAAATGAAGAGGCAAAGGAAATGGGACTTATCATCAACCAAAATAGAACTAAAATTTTGAAAATTAATCCTAAACAATTAAGAGACATATTCTTAGAAAATAATAACAGCAAAGAAGGAACTGATGAAGATATACTAAATAGATTAACCAAAGCCTGAAGCAGTGATAGTTTGTCTATAGTAAGAACTCCATTCGCCACAAAGTTTAAGGCCGTCTACTGCCATGGAAACAACAATAGTGCATTTCTGTAAAGGGAACTTTGATGATAGATTATAAAGGAAGTTTATCTGATTGTCTGACTTGGCTGCCAGTAGAAAACTTTTTTAATTTGATTAAACAACTTGTTTAAGATTCCCATGGATATTTCTTTCTTTACTTAAAATGATACTCTTTACCCAATCGATTGCTATTAAGTACAACAAAAGGGGGTAAATATTGAGCATATTCTCAAAACCTGAAGCTGTTATAGTTTGTCTATAGTCGGAACTCCCTTCGCCACAAAGTCTAAGATCGTCTACCTGCTTGGAAACAACAATAGTGCATTTCAGGAAAGGGAGCTTTAATGATGGATTTTTAAGGAAATTTATTTGATTGTCTGACTCAGCTGCCAGTAGGAAACTTTTTTAATTTGATTAAACAACTTATTTTAGATTCCCATGGATATTTCTTTCTTTACTTAAAATGATACTCTTTACCCAATCGATTGCTATTAAGTACAAAAAGGGGGGGGGATATTGAACATATTCTGACATTAAGGATAATAAAGTTTTTATTATGTTACTTTTAATTTCACTCTAGTTTCTCACAATTTATTAAGAATGTTCATTGATTTTCAGATGGATTAATTTCTAAATGTACACATTTTTTTTTAAAACTTTTAACTTGTTTTATTAGTGTTTTTCATTAGTTTTTTGTACTGATATTCCCGATTCTTGTGTGCTTTCAGAATATTTTGTTTTCTATTAATACAATTGCGGGTTTAAAAGTATTTTGTTTGAAGAATCAAAAAATTAAAATTTTTGATTCGACATCTTTTTATTTCAATTAATATAACTATTAAAAACCCTAAAATTTGAACTTTGCAACAGTTCTATAATTATATACATAATTTAGGCATATAGCCTTACCCATAGGATTCATTGTTTCTCGTTTTTTTGGAATGCTGCCATTTTATGAAGAAAAAAAAGAAACTAAATGATCAATTTTTCATTAGGAAATTAAGGTGATGAATTCGTTATACTCATTTTTTAATGCAATAGTACAATAAAAAAGTTTCTGCATGTCATTCTCGAACTGCTGTCAGTTGCTAGTGCTCCAGTAATAAAATTATACTGAAAACCCACTACCACAAGGTCTGTAAAACTCTAAAACTGTTTTTAGTATCATGGTATACTTACATAATTTAATTAAATTTATTTTATGTTTATATCTTTAATTAGGTCACTCTCTTGCCGATGGACCCACCTGAATTTACTGATGTCTCACCAAATATAAAGAAAATATCCTGTAAAAATAGGTATTTTTAAATGTAGATTCGTATTTTATAATTGTTTATGTAAATTTTTTATCTGATGTTAAGTAGTCCGTAAATTTTGCCAGCATGAAATTTTTTATACAATTAAGTTTTTTAAATTTATTTGTGTAAAGGCTGCTATCTCCTTTTTTAACAATGAAATCTAAATTTACTATTCTAATGCATACTTTTATAGTAAGTATTGTGGTAAAATATAATTTCTTGAATATTTCAATTTTAGATTACCATTGTATTTTTCATAGCTAAGCAGTTATATTGAATTAAAGTATAAAAACATGTGCGTAAAAAAAAATTATTTAAATATAAGAAAGTGTTAAGTAAATTAGATCTTGTAAGGTGAGTGAATTCAGTAAATGTAGTTTGGTTTGTTTTCTTAAATTTAATGTCATCCACATTAAACAAAGTTTTTCCAAAATATTTTTTCCAGAGAAATCTATGAGAAAGGATTGAAAGCATTTGTTTCTTTTATTCGGTTTTACACGAAACACGAATGCAATTTGCTTTTCCGTGTGAAAGGTGAGTTCTTTAATTTGCTTTCTCTGCATCACTTGTTAATAGTTATTTAGATTAAGAGACCTTAATATATGTAATAAATTGTTTTTATGCTTAATTTTTTTCTCACGGTTCTTAGACTTAGATTTGGGAAAATTAGCCAATGGTTTTGCTTTACTGAAGTTACCAAAAATGCCTGAGCTAAAAAAGAAAGAGATCACAAACTTTGTTGCCACTGAAGTAAATTATGAAGAAATTCCTTACAGGTAAAAATTTATTTTCTTTATTGTTAAAAATGAATTCCCTCCAAGTTACAAAAATAATTCGTGTACTAGCTTTAAAATATTTTTATGCTAATATTATATAGTGTTGACTCAATAACTTGTTATTTATTTATAAATAGAGCAATGTTGTGATATTTTTTCCAAACATTATATTTTTTAAAAATTTTAAGTGATTTCCTGAAATATTTTTTAAGTATTTAAAAAAATTTGAAAGAAAGTTTTATGTGTTGTTTACTCTTTTTCTCGAGCCCATATTATATACCAATCAATTCATTGAAACACAATAACATTTCACTTTTCCAAAACCTAAACTGCACTTGCTGATTGTTCTATAAGTGAATATTATAAGTTATTGCTTGCTAATTTAGTCTGAAGCATTGATTTTATTTTGGTATTTTCTTACTCTTGTCTTCGTCGGTATGTCACAAGTGCAAAAGTGGTGATGTAGCATACTACTGGAGCCAGTGTTGTACATTACAAAATTTAGTTAGTAAAGTTGTTTACTTTGGTTTTACTGAAGAAATCTAAAAATTGTAATTTTCATCGTTATTTAATCAATTTTTTTTTTCATGATTACCATTGTTATGTTGTTTGTGCAAAGAAAAATATAAGATTATGATGTAAAATTTGAAAGAATCTTAAAACTATAATCAACTTTAAAAATCAATTAAATCTGCTTCAGAATTTAATGTGAGATGAAGGTTATACAAATGGTTTATTCAAAAATAGTGCCAGATACTTTTAAATTAAAGTATATTTATACCTATAAGATAAAAAGACATTATTAAGTTATCATTATTTAAATTAAATATACCCATTACTTATACCCACTACTTTTTGTAATAAAATTTCATCTTAATTATAATCTAATTATTTCATTATTTGGAATGTTCAAAGTAGATCCAATCCTGACAACTTCGAATAATCGAGGTCTTGCAGACCTACAGTGTATGTCTTCTAAAGAATTATGCAGAATTAATTTAAAAAATCTCTTTTTTTTTTTAACTGTAAAATAAACATGAATTTTTTTTTCACACCAGAAAAAACTATTGTTATAATCTTCTAAAAAATCATTTCTGTAATTTAAGATGTCATTAATTACTCTCAAACAATGACACTTTATTGATTGTTAATAAGAGAACACTAAAGATCGCATCTTTTGTGTGTTTTGCTAGAATTGTCTTTGTTATGTTTCTCACTTAAAAAGTAAATCATATTGTTCATTTTTATTAATAAAATAATTCTCATATTACAATGACTGTTATAACAAGCACTCATGTCTTCAGATAAAGAGCAATAGTATGATGCTATTATTTTTAATCTCATTTTCAAGTAAATGCTACTATTTTTTCTCATTATTTCAGTGATACAAGTAGAGAAAAGCAGAGAAAAATAAGAGTGCAACAGTTGAAGGACCATCCTGAATTAAGAAAAAAAATGTCTGCCAAAAGGGTATAACAATCACATCTTTTCTATTATATATATATATAGTTAAAAAATATAGAAAAAGGCATTTAAAATATAATATAATAAAGATTAACGAAAGGAAAAGAAGAAAAATTTAGTGTGAAGAACACCCCCCCCCCCAAAAAAAAAAATTTAAACGAAAATAGAACATATTAAGTAAAAAATATACAAAATAAAGCATATAAAGCAAAAAAATAGAAAATAAAATGTAAGAAAATACAAAATAAAATGTAACCTATGAAGCGAGTAACGAATTCAAATGAACTTACACATTCCGGAATCTTTTAATAATGATTTAAAATATTTTCGTAATAAGTTTGCAAGATTATAAAAAATGATTCGTAATATAGATTGCAGCACTATGTTCTGAATTCCTATATTTTTTATCAATTTTGTTGATCTTATACTATGCCAGAAAAAAGCTCACTCTTTTTCAGTCTTGGCAATTTATATAACTTTTAAACCAGTCAATCTATTCTTAATGTATTTTTATTTTGCTTTGTTTCGGTTAGTTTAATTTATTCTTTTTTTTTTTAAAACTAATTTGCAATTATGTTATTCTTTTTTTAAAATTATTCTTATGAGATATAGATGCAATTTAAAGAGTAGTTGCTTACATTAATTATTTTTCTACTTTGAATTGCCTCATTTTAGTGAAGAAATGCATCCTGAAGAGGTAAAAGTAAAAATATCCAAAAATCATAAAATTTTAAAAAATTAATCAAAAATTAGTAAAATTAACAACAAAAAGATATAATCTCTTAATCAACCCACGCGACTATATCCATAAAATTTAGCGTTTTTTATAATCATTAATATAGCCAAAGCAAAATATCAATACAATAGTCTGAAGAGCCTTTATAATATTTTAAATATGTTAATTTTGGTATTTTTTCAATTCTGACTTTATTGTAGCATATAAAGGCTTAAAACGAAACATTCTATCTCTTTCACATTCATTAAAAAGTATTTATGCTTGCAACCCTTACCTTGAAAATTTAAAAGAATAGGAGAAATATTTCATTTTTATTGCAAATCACTTCCTCCAAAAGATCCGTCAAAATTCTTTTCTTTGTGTATTATGTAAAATGGCTCTTTTCATTTACTTATGTGTAGAATTATATTAAATTTAAATTGATTTCAAACCATTCAGATAAAGCTATTTAAATGTATTATGATGCTTTGTAAATACCTTATTAAGTTATTAGTGTGTTATTGATATTTTAAATAGTAATATTTCTTATTGTGAGAAATAGTTTTTTATGTCATTCGCCTATATTTTGTTATTCACATATATTTACTAATAAATAAGCAAGTGGTGCGACTTTTCCTTTTTTAATAGAACTTCATTTTAAGTACTTAATTTTATTTCCATAAATACAGGAAGAAAAACTTAAAATGAAGAAATTGCTAACTAAGAAATCTGCTAAGAAAAGAAAGAAGAAATATGTGGATGATGATGCTGATCTTGAAGAATTAGCTAGAGATGCTAGACTTTGTAAAAAATTCAAAAAAGGAAAGGTTAGTGCTTTGATTAAATCACACTTAGCATTCTAACAAGTTGTATGCAAGTTGTTTTTTTAGTTTCAACAAAGTGTCTTTAAATTGTTAAGAATTACAATTAAAATATTTGTCTATGAAATATAAGGGTATGAATTATACTTCATTCATATCTTTTTTTTAACATATTAAGAACATAAATTTTTCTCAAATATTAAATATATGTTTTAAAAATAATAAATGCATATGTTTATATAAATAAAGGACACTAGCGAACTAGAAGTAAATAGAGCAATTTAATTTATCTCATTTTGCTGTTCTATGATATACTAATTATGACATATTGAAAAGTTTTATTTCTGTAAAACAAGAGTTTACTAAACTAAACTAAAACTAAAGTTTTATTTCTGCAAATCTATTTTAAAAATGATCAATTCATATAATCGACCGGGAAGGATGGTGCAATAGTTTTGCATAAAACTTTATTTCTAGGCACGTTTTGTTTGTCTGGCTCTGAAGGCCAATAAAATCCCTCACCAGACCAACTAATAAAATGTATTTGTTTATCCTTGTTAATTCATTAATTAGTTCTGGACACCAGAGATCAATAAGCATTTCAACAACTAGTGTCTTAACCTTCATCTCACCAGTACTATAATTGTTAGAATTTTGTGCATAATTTGTGGTGCAAACTGAAATGGTTCCTGAAATGTTGCAACACATGTAAAACAACTCAGATATATCTTCACCACGCACATACACAAGAATACCTATAGCCATGATACGACAAAGTGTAATGGTTAAACTACCGATTGATGTTTATCTAATAGTCACTTGTGCTCACACTATAATATTCTCTTAAGAAAAAATGACAAAATGTTGAAAATAATATTTTGCCTAAACCTAGTTATGTTTTTTAGATTTAGTGTTAAGGAGAAACTAAAACTAAATTTTAAGAGGAAATTAAAGCATAGAATCTGAAAACATTAGTGATATGCAATAAAAATATTCTTACTAAAAATTCTTATTTATTCTGAAAATTAATAATAATAAAAAAAAAAGTTGTGCTAAAAATTCATTTCGATTTGATTGAAATATGCGGCTTATTTAATATTTATACTATGAGACAGTTGTGAAATTATGAAAAGGACAAGGCAAAATAAGTATTTATCTTGAAAATTTACTTTTACTATCTGTCTAAAAGGTTAGCTACAGAAGTGACTCTGTACAAATTGAAATTGAGCTATTATTCTTAATATTTGATGTATTGAATCTATTACTTTCCTTTGCAAAATATTATTTTTATTGGTTCCTGAACTAAATCTGATGGGTGTATTATATTTGTCTTTTTTTAGAATTATTTCCCCAAAAAAATCACAAGTTTTTTTTTTTTAGAAATTGGGCATAATGCTATATTAAGTCACAAGTTAACAATTTATGGATGCATTTAAAACAAATATTAAACATTAAAAAAGTGTCACATTGTGCTTTTTGTTAACAATATTTTTACATTCATTACATAACTTAGGTTTTTATTTATTTAGATATCAAAAGAAGAGTTTGATGCAGAATTTGCAGCTGATGAAGATTGAATAGGTTGTAAAAATTTGTAAATAAATGTAAATTATATTTTCAGTTATTTTTTTTTTCCTTGAAAATTTCTCATTTCATGGGTATGTTTTTCATCGTATGACCTGGGTGTTACTGAAAATGGGAAGATGGATGAAATATCCACTTTTCTAAAACTAATTTGAAATACTCATTGTTAAATGACATGTGATGAAAACCAGTACAAATATTATGTAAAAAAAAAAATGAGTTTTTCTAAAATAATCTTATAAACTGTCACTCCCCAAATTTGATGATTTTTAGTGTATAACATTAGATATGAAACTGCAGAAAAGAAATGCCTATTTTTCAAAGTAGTTGGGAAAAAAGAATATCTATTTTTTAATGAAGTTGCAGTGAACTTTAAACATGTAAAATTAGAGACCACTTTATTAAAGATGAGCTTTAAGAACAATTTAAAAATAAAGGGAGCTTTTTTTGAGAAACACTTTGATACAGTAACTTATTTCTTATTTGCTAAAATAATTAAATTTTATACAATGCAGGTTCTAAATTTATTTTTCACACATTGAATGAATGAAATCAAATATTTAAAACCAAGCAGCAGACCAAGTGTTCTAAATAAAATATTTTTTTACCATTAAAAAATTGTAGCAATTTTTTTGTATTTAGTGTACGTATTAGTCGATATAAAGGTAAATTATGTATATAAATATTAATAAAATTACTCTGGAAAAAACTGAAGATATTTTTTTTAATTGTTCATCTTTTAATTGAGTTCATGGTTGTGTCTTTTTCAATTAAGATTTTTTAATTGAGAAATATTGCTTGAGGGGGGGATTTCTGGTCAAATACTTCTCCGAAAACATCTAGACCTATTTATAATGAAAGGGTTAAACAAATATTTTTTTTTCTTACACATAAGACATTGTAAAAAAGATGAAACTTTATATTCTGTCAAAGAAGAACAATGTGAAAATTTTTATAGAAACTTAAGTTGGATGCTCCTTAAACTTTTATCAATTTGTTTAAAATCTCATCTCCATGGAAACAATTTTTATTTTAAAAAGATTTAAACAAGGAAATTATTCAATAATTGCATACTATGTAAATTATATTTCAAGAGAGAAACAATGTAAAAAGTGAAGAAAAAAATTATGATCTTACTTATCAGTTATTCTTTTTAGTAAAGATACAAGTTTTTTTTATCTTCCTTACTATTTCAGATTCTATACTTTACTACCTAGTCAAAATTAAAAATATTCATCTAAACCCTTCAATTATTAGCGTAATCATATTAGTCTTCGGTGTGTTGCTCTCTTCAAACGTTGCAAGTTGGTGACTTTTCTGCATTAAAAATAACCAGTTTTTCACCCATCATATTCAATGAGAAAATTAATAGCATAGCTACTTAATTTTAGTACATTTTTATCCGCGGGTATGAAGAATTAAACACAAAATAAGAATTTTGTGAAAAATACTATTTTTCGGCTGACTTAAGTGTCCACTAAATTAAAAAAAATCTATTCAAGTCACTTAAAAACTATTAAATATTTTTTTCTCTCCAAAACTATATTTCCTTATCTTATATTTTTGTAAATTCTTACTGCTATTTTAAAAATTTCTTTATTGAAAACATTGCCCAACTGAAACATATACTTTAGTTGAATTGACATATGAAATAAGTTTTTCCAATATTAAAATTCCTATCTCTCCCTGCACTGGCTAGTTGAAACCATTTCTAATGTTTCGGCAAAGTTTGATACACCAGTTTCATTAAGGATTGAAAGTAAGACAGGAGACAAAGAAAACTCTCGAGTATTGTGTGTAATATTTTAATATAGTTAGTTTCAACAAATTTATAGTAGAGAGACTGTATGTATCAATTTAGAACAATTGTTAAGTAAGGACATACTCTATACATAAAAAGGAGATTTTTTTTTCCTTCATCTAGACACAAAATTAACAAATACTCAAAAATTGTACAATTAATAACAGGAATGCTAACTATACAAAACAAAAAAGAAATGCAACAAAATAAAAAAAAAGATTCCTTCCTTTTTTTCTTTTTTTTTTTAAGTGAATGATAAATGCAGCTCCATTTTCTATAAAAATTAAGGCACATTAGGAAGCACACATTTAAAAATAATCTTAAATTATGTTTTTTAAAATAAAAGGTGCGCGAGCCTTCCAATAGGTTATAATTAGTTTCAAATAGAGAAGAGACTTTAAAACTATTTCCTTAGAACTAAACTAGATTAAGAGTCTAAAAAGCTGTCTTTAAACTATTTATGTTAACAGTGAGATAATAAAAAAGAATTTAAGGTGGCTGTTCCTTCATGTTAAAAGTATAACTGAATCGACTATCACATTTTCATCAAGAAATAATACATTAGAAAATAACCTTTTTTTTATACTAACACTCTGCAAAAAAACAAGTAGTCTCTGAAATTAAAATCTAAAAGTTATTTTGAAAATGATCGAATTTGGGCTTCTTTCAATACAACACAATACAATTTCTTTCAGCTTTTTGCAAACATTAAATTATGCTGCCATATTTTTGGTTGTAAAATTGTTTAATGGATTGTTATGCAAGCTTTAAAAGCAACATCTTGAAAGAAAAAAAGTATGAAGTTCCGTCCAATGCTTTAAACATGAGGAAAATCAACCTTAAAGCTTTAATTTGCAGAACGTTTTGTATAATTTGTTTTGCCCACACATGACTTTAATATCTATTAGAAAATTTTAAAATGTGCATCAATGACAGAAATACACCATCAAATGATTGAAACAATTCTTAAAACATACATTAAAAACAAATATAAAACTTAATGTACATTCACATAAAAGACAACATTCATAAGAAAGGGAAAAAACAGCACAAACAAAAGCAACTTTTTTTTTATATCTTTCTACAGAAATATCTATCAAGCAATTTAGTTAAATATAATTGTATTTGTGATTTTTAATAATAATTTCTTCTTTATATATTTTTTTTACATAAGCGTCGATCCTCATTTATTGCAATATATTGATTCACACATAGAAAAACGGAACCAATGTGTTCCCCCTCTTAATCGCAGTTCAAGGTTAACAGATCACAATTATTTCACAGGGGAACACTGGTTAGGCACGAAATATATTGTAGGTATTCTGGCTGGTAATGCAGTAACTTAAACATGTTAGTAATTCAGGTCTCTCATTGGTGTTTCAACCATCAGAGGCTTGAACACTGCGTTGTGTTAAAGTCAGCGTGTTGCCAGTCAGAATTCTCTGCTGAACACCTTTCATTGGTTGTCTTTGGCAGTAACATGTGTCTTACCCTTCGATTAAAGCACAAAACTAATAAATTCTGGAAAGATGCTCTGTTAAGCTACTCATCTAGATATTTTGACTTCAAATGAAGGAATAAAAAACGGATGATGTGTGTGTGTGTGTGTTTGTAATTGTCCAATGAGAATTCACTTGTATTAGGAGACGAACCGTGATCAATAGTAGGTCTCCATTTCCACCCAACCGCCCGGATTTCGTCGAATCAGGTAACGTCGGATTTCGTCGTAGACGAAGATCAAAATAGAAAATGGAATAGCTGGGAGCCACCAATTAAACCTGCAATGTTTAAAACAAGTTGAAATTTATAATAATTCACACAATGTGTGGAAAGAATGATGTATATAGTATATATATCAAGTGACTCAAAAATGGTTGATGGATTTTAAAAAATGTATGGTTTGCAACATTATGTTTGGGAAACTAACAAATTTAATCCTACCAAATTGCACTTTCAAATAAAATTCCGGCCAATATGTTGCGCTGCAGAATAGGAATAACAACTCCAAAACGATGAATATCCGCTGTCTTAATGTGTTACCATCATCAGAATCTTTCACAATGTGTTGTCATGAACTGAGAATGTCATAGGTTCAATTTCTCTGCAACTCTCACCTGTTGCGCCGCCTATTGATGGGATGAAATACCTAGCTTCCCAAGCATATTGCCACAAATCATAATTTTCTTGCATTCTGTATTATTTTTATTTTATTTTTACACCTGTGATTTTTAGATTACCCAGTATATAAGAATGTTTTTCCAAAAGGGTGTCTAAATGTGTACGTATGAGGCATTTGTAAAATGTTATTAATTTTTATGATACAGTGATATTTGTTTGCTATCAAAGCTCATTTTTTTTTTTTTGCTTAAAATATTGCAGATTTTAACTCTGCACTATATGAATGCCTTCCTGCATTCATTACTTTCAAACAAATTTCATTTTTAATTTTTTTTTATGAAAGCAAAATAGATTTTTTTTCTTCAGAAAATAAAGTGTGAAAGGGAAAGCTTATGCAAATTTATACAGTAATAGGGTCATGACTGGACTGGCTATAAACAAAAAAAAAAAGTGGCAAATGTGAAATACGCAATCCTAAATCTAATTGTTAAAATAATGAAAATTAACAATTACTGTATAATACTACTGTATTTAATTAAAGTATGATTTTTATAGCATATTTATTTTTTTAAAATTTATATTTTGAGCCAAAACTAATACTTTACTGACATTAAATTAACTATTGAAATTATTTGAGAATTTTTTGATGTGCATGTGTAAACATTTTTTACAAATTACAAAAAAATATCCTAACACTTTTTAAATAATTTGAAAGATATTTTTTCTGGTAGCACAACACTGAGATATCTTCTGCGAGTGCGTTTAATATGGTTAACAAAAATATTACTCAACATACTTAATAAATGCATGAAATAAATTGATTAAAATATATTTAAAAATAAAAATATTATTTCTGCGAGGCTATGCCTCTTGCTCACTATTGTTTACAAAGCCCAGAATTTGTGAAAAAAAGTTCCTGTCAAATTGTCATTTCTTTCATTTAAACCTTAAAAACTCCTTTATTTTAAGTACATTAAGCTATGTTTATTCACCAATATAGCTCGTTAATCCTCTAAACTGCTTGTTTTCACAGCTCATAGATTTAACGGCAAGAGAGTGGTTCAGCAGAAAGAGCAATGTTCAATTGCTCAAAATAATTCGAAATTTAAACAAAGATATGTCTTCACACGTTAGAATGTATAAAATCATAATTCTTAAGCTAATTGTTCTTGGTTGACTTCTCATATTCAAATTATACTGGGGGCTTCAACCCCTGCTCGTTGCAATTCACCAGCCCTCAAAACTACATTTAAATTGTTTTATTTAAAAAGACGCATTTGCAATTTTTACATTCGTTTGCTCAAAAATATAAAGCCATTTCTTTTTATGAAAGCAGTCGCATACATCTGAATGTTTACTTAAGGGTCCAAATTTTTTTTTAAAAAAAAGGTAGTTTTTTTTATGTGTGGTTAGAGTTGCATCTGGCAGAGGGGACATAAGCACTTATGAATTTCAACTCATCAAAATTGAATAGATGTTCTGAATGTAGATCGGTAGTACATTCAACATAGTCTCAAAAACTGATGGAGGTGTACTTACTTGAGTGGGAACATCCTGAGACCTTTGTCCATTCCAGGGGTGTAAGAAAGAAAAGCAGCCATAGCAGTTTCAAACACGAGACCAAAATTCAATATGTGGTTTCTGCAACAAACAGTCAGTTGTTTAAAAATGACACCATAACATAAAAACCTCTAACAAATCTTAATGTTAATTCATTGTTTAAACTCTTAATTCTGAACGAAAAACTTTTCCATATCACATCTTGATGGGAAAGAAACGCTTAAATTTTTTAGAAAGATTTATCAAAAATTTTTTCCTTTTATGAAATAATAAATTGTGTGACTTCAGTGAGGAGAGCATTTACAATTTTTTTTTCTCTTTTTAACATAGAACTTGCAACAAGAATTTTTCTTAAAAATCCTTATTATAAAGGCTTTTTTCTGTGACTTCCAAGTTTGCCAATCTCCCTGATGTGTGCATTCTCTGTTTATTTTATATATNTATTTACCTCCCCGTAAATAAGTATTATTTATCTATATATATTATATTTATTTACGTGACGAACTTATAATTTTGAAGAGGGGGAAATTATTTTGCCAAATAAAGTTCCTAATTTGACAGGTGTATTTTATTTGGTTCAATAAAAAAAATTTTTTGTTGCTAATATTTTCACTATATGTTTTGTTTCACCAATATATTACTGATTTAACGATTTTATACATAATAATTCTAGTGAATGAGCTGTGATTGGTCAATGAGTAAGAAATTAAACTATTGTGAATAATTGCGGTTCGATCCAAAACCCTTCAGATCGGAAGGTATTAGAAAGTAAAGGCAGCTTTGTGCGCATTGCCACAATCAGGCCGCTGGTCATGAAATTAAGGAGCCTTAATTTCATAACAAACTTTACCTATATGAACCCCTTGTCCCCAATGAGCTGTTACTTTCCTTTTCTTCTAGTCAATATATAAAGAATCATTAGATGACTAAATATAAAAATTTAAAAAAATTAATTCACAGCTAAGATGAAGACATAATTTTTTACTATCCCAGGAATCGAATAACAAAATGGCATTTTGTTATTCGGTAAATTAACTTGGCATTCGGCAAATCTCGCAGCATACCGAATAGAAAGACAGTCTGACGTCATAGTATATAAATACAGTATATAAACTTTGGCATAAAATAGTTTAAAAATACAATAACTGTATCAATAACTTTTTTATATCTGAATGTTCTTTAATCTTTTCTCCAGAAATGTGAAAAATCACAGTGAGAAACAAGCTCGTGAATAATTTTCTGAAACAGTGGTAACGATAGCAATAACTTTAAATATAAAGTGTAGTGGTATTCAAAAGTATACTTCAAGTTAAACATACTACTTGGTATTGTTTACATTCAATCATAGAAAATTTTAGGTATTAAAAAATTAAGTTTCAGTTAAATTGGTATTTAACTACATGCAACATTCTAAACAAACTGTACTTGTTGTTTCACCATTTGAATTTTTCATTTTCATAAAAGGGCGAGATTTTTTAGGATAAACTAATTGGTATCTCTCGATTTTGGATGAAACTGGCTCATTTGTATTGGGAAATAGAAGTTCTGTACGAGTGATTGACAAACGTGCTTTACAATTGCAAGGAGATGATTAGGTTTGATAAAATACGAAATGGATACCTAAAACGACACTTATGCATTCTTTTTTTTTTTACAACAAATAAGTTAAAGTGTAATGCTTAGTTATTTCAGTTGTGTTTTCGAAACAAGGGACAGAAAATGAATTTTCGTAAATATGCCGAATGACCAAGTAAATTTTGCGAATAGTGAAAATTTTTGGAAGATCACAGCTACCTCACGTGATCCCTCATCTCAACATCCCTGTATGTATGTGTAAATATACATACACAAATATATATGTATATACACAAATATGTATGCATATGTATACACAAAGATTTATATACATAGACAGAAATTTGCTAATATTCTTACGTCATTCCCTGGTGTACGACTGAGTTCCTCCTGGTCTTACAGATGATGAGATCAGCCCATTGCACAATGACGATCGAAACAAAGAACGCTGTATGGCACGTGTACTCCAGGATCTTCCGGTGGAAGTAAGTCTAAAAAAATTTTTTTTGTCTCACCATAAGTATATGTATATAAAATATAAGGACACGCACGCAAAAAATTACAAACTATAGAAGTCTGGTTTACGGAATCGTGGGTAAATTTTTGAAGTAAAAATAAGTTTAAAATTAAGTTGTTTCTTGTATAAACTAATTAGAACTTTCAAACATAAATCTGTTTAAATTAACAAATTGATTTTAAAATCCAAAAGATATCGGGGAAAAAAAGTATGAGGACATAGTTTTTTATTCCATAATCATTGAAAAATTTGCATATTTGAAAACAGAAAATGACAATGGGTTAAAATATTGGTTGTGAATTTTGCACTCTTCGACTTCATTCGTGACTTTAGAACAACTCATAACCGTCGTTGCACAGACGACCCAATTTTTGGGTTTAGGACTACTAATGTTCAACTCCGTAGCCCTGTAATTTTGAACCCAACCCAGAAGACAGAGGAATGCCTGAATTTAGTATTGGATGAAATTTGCGTTCGTGGAGGACTTTTTTTGATGGAGCTAACCCTCATTTGAGTTGCGTGGGGAGAAAAACCTCGAAAACCTCCCACGGTCAGTCTGACGGCAAGGGGTCTAACCCATGATCCGTTTACCACTAAGGATATTTTACGTTAGCACTATCGTCGGTGCGAACCGGGCTCAAAATTCGCATCGACCAGCCATCGCTGGGATTCGAAAACGGTTTACAATGGAAAGCAAACGTTCCATCTCCTGAGCCTGAGTAGATTAAGGAAATCTAAAAATGATGAAAGTGGTGTAAAAATACTAAATGATTTGACAATATACCATGAAGGTATGATATGGTCGCAGCCGCTTAAAGCTATTCTAACTCATCTTTCGTTTCAAATTGATAAATTTAAAAAAAAAAAAGGGCGCACGAACACAGTCAAATGTATATATATAATAGTAATAAATTTTTTCATCTATTCATTTTGTTATGTAAACATAATTTTGTCAAGTTTAAATAAATATCAATGTAAATAGTTATTGATTATTTAATTATTTAAATTTTTTCTGTATCATAGTAATTATACTAAGAGCAATTTATGACGTTAACTTTCGTTATTAGCACCTTTTCCGTAAACAGACAACTTTTGGAAGCGGACAATTTATTCGTTCCCAAGAACGTCCGTCTTACCGAGGATTCACTTATATTATTTGAGCAATCCAATGACAACCTTGTTTTTGTTTTTTTACCAAATACTATCAAAAAACTAGAGGAAAAAATGGTTATGTTCATAAATAAAAAAAATAAAAAAATAAAAATAAAAGAACTTTGAGGTATGAAATTTAGGAGCAAACATTTTATTTAAAATAAAAATGTTAATGAATATTTAATTCCCCAGCACGGTACATCTTTACTGAGTAATAACTCTAGGGGAACTGATTTTTCACTTTATTGATTTGTAAAAACTTAGTAATCCTAAAAATGTAACAGATGGTGATCCAATCGTCATTTTTGTAAAAAATGAACAAAAAACGTTCTTGCTTGTTCTTCAATTATTAACTGTTAAATAATTTATTGTAAAAAATACCACAACGGGCTGCTCAGCAGAGCCCTGAAATGTGACTACAAAGTCAAAATTTGACTTGTTGAAAAGGGCATTTTAATTTGTAAAGCTAACGCGTGTTTTTAAGAAAATCCATTTCGTTCAAAAGTTATAGCAATTAAAAAAAAGTTTCGTGATTTTTGTTTTAAATAATGACTATTCTATGTAGGAAAATTTATCTATTTGAGACCTTTATTTTATAAGTTTGTGCTTTAATTGGTGTCGTAACTAACATTAAAAAAAAAAGAGAAAGTGAGGTTAGATGTTGCCAGATATAACTCAGGATTTTAAAATAAAATTCTTAAAAATATGAAACACTTTAAAAAGATCTGTTTTAAATCTCTCTGTAAAAATTAACTGTTAATAAAATTAATAAAGTTACTGTTATAATAATAAGATTATCGTTATATATAGTTTTTTTTTTCACTAAGGCAAAATTTTCTTTTACAAGTACCGTTGACTATTTTTCCAATCAAGGCAATCTCTCATTTATGATTAACAATTCAAAAAAAATTGTTGTATACAATTATGGCAACTTTATGTTTATTAAAAATTATTTGAAAAAAGCAGACATTTCTAAAAAAAGAAAGAAAATAAAAAACAAATGTGAAGCAATCATGGAGTTGGTAAGCACATTTAAAACTTTATTAGTATTTCAAATTCTAATGTAAATAAGGTTAAACATTCATAGGTCAGAGTCTTACCCATTCTTGTCCGTAGGAGTCTGCCAAATCGTTGACCGATTTAGAGTCCCATTCACTTCTCAATCCCAGCAACCTTGAAGGCCAGAATCCATTCTCTGCCATTATCACAAAATATACGAAGAATCCGGCCGCAGCCTGCATAAAACCAATCTGCCCATACGCCATAGAGATCAACCTATCAAAATGTTGTTCTCTCTTTATCAAATAATATTAAAAATAAACCTCAACATTCCTTATTATTGGTCATAATTACATCGTAATAATTTTCACAAAAATTTTAAAGTACATTTGAAATATAAAGACTAAACAACAGTTAAGGTATTTGCATTCTATGATGTCATGATACAATTAGACTTCGTTCTAAAATTTTAAAATATGAATTAACATCTATTCGAGAAATTATTTTATTTCCTTAGAACTGAAAAAAATTTGAATTTTGTATATATATATTTTTTAATTTCTTAACACATAATATGCTTATTACACAAAATTATCGAATCGACGAACATGACCTATTTCGAATTAATGTTTAATAAATCAGTTATAAAAACCTCAATAATAAATTAAAATTTACAAGAAAAAATTTATTGGCGATCGAAATGGGCTACAGATGGCGTAGAGCAGAACTCTCTACTTATGGCAACACTTCGCATGTTTTCACCATTAGCGTGTGGAGAGTCATAAAAGAAGGAGCACGTTAGTTTCCGTCTTGGTTTTCAAATAGATTAGAATCTTTTAAATTAGGAAACTATATGGAACTGAAAACTACATTCAACATAGTTCTAGAAGAAGGCACCATGAAAATTTGAAAATTTTTTTCTTAAAAATTAAACGCTAAAAATATAAAGAAAAGGAAAAATATCGTAGTACATTCCTATACAACTGAAAAGAGGAGGAGAGGGAAGGGAGAAGGGTTAATGGCATGGAACCAGTCTTCTTCCCAGATGGCGTTTTCGAGTGTTTTCGATCGCCTATTATAAAATCTACACGCTTTACTGTGTTATGGTTGACAATTTTTCCTCCCTTTTGACTCACTGCATGATATTTACGAATTTTTGATCGCTGTCGAAGGAAAATGAGAACCGAATTTTGGATCGCAACTTACGAATGCGCCATCTGGGGAGAAGACTGGTTCTATGTCTAGTGCCTACTCCTTTCTTTCTCCTCCTCTGTTCAGATATATGGAATGTGTTACAAATTTTCCTTTTTCCATAATATTTTTCGCATTCAAAATATCAAAAATATATTTTGAAATTTTCATAATGCCTACATTAAGCACTTTGTTTTATGCAGTTTTAAGTTTCATATAATTTCAAAGCTGAAGTTTTTTAATCTGTTTGAAAATGAAGACAGAAATGGACGTACTTCTTACTCCTATAGCTATCCGAACGCTACTGATAAAACATGTCTAGTGTTTACCATGGGTTAAGAGTGCTGTTACGAGCCACCTTTAGCCTGTTTCGATAGCCAATAGGCTAAATATATTCTTTTCTCACTACAGTGATTGGAGGTGCGTGAATCGCATGCGGTGTGAACGATCCCTAAGTTCTACCAGTTCTTTTAGATAAAAAAATAGATAGGCTTTTTACCTTTCATTGACGAGTTTGTCCTTTTGGGGATTTCTCGGTTGCCTCTTCATAATGTCACTTTCTGCCTTCTCGTAAGCTAGGGAGATGGCAGGGACCTTTTCAAAAAAAGAATAAAAATACTTAACTCACTTCAAGTAGCAACAAAATTTAAACAAGAGATAAACGATTAACCTTTTAAAAGAAAATAACACAAAGAATCACCGAATGAGGTGGTATTGAAATAAAGTCAATGCTTGAAGGGTATTTCTTCCGCGCAAGCGAAAAAAAAGTCGCCACCGGAAAACTAAAAAAAATTTAATTTCGATATTTTGAAATTATTGGATGATTAGGGTTAATTAGCCTAATTGACAGTAATGATAAATATCAAATTTTTATTAAGTCTGAAGTCTCTAACTTGAATCTTGTGTTCGTTGAAAAATAAATAGAAAAGCAAAATAGAAAGCGCTTTATTTCAATGTTTTGTAATTATCAGAATATTTTGAAATAATCGTGATAATTAGAGCCATTAGAAATACTTAGCCTAATTGACAGTGATGTTTTAACATGTTTTTACTGATAAAGAAGTCTGAAATTTAGTCCATTGCGTTCTTTAAGTTATAAAGAAAAGTAAAAAGATTAGTTTAGATTTTTTATAATTATTGGGGTAATTAAGGGTTAGCCTAACTGACAATGCTAACACGCTTTTACAAGGAAAAAAATTCTGAAATATGGATGATTTGTTCTCCATCAGGTAAAAAGAAAAACTTAAAAAGTTTAGTTTCCATATTTGAAGCTGTGGGGGTAAATAATGGGTGATTAGCTAATTGCCAGAGATGCTACATGACACGTTTTAACCAAGATAAGAGTCAAATTTAGACCACGTGCTCTTAAATGAAGCAAATGGAAAAATTTAAAAAGCTTCATTTTCAGATCTTGCTACCAATGGGTTATTTAGGTGCAAATACAATATTTGCCAAAAATATGCTCCCATAAATTATCATCATGTAATTGGCGCAGACTAGTAAATTTTTTTGGTTTCATTTATCCACGAGTTGACAAATTTGCGCGTTGAGAAGCGTTGCGTTCGAGCAGGGAAAGGACAATGTAATGAATTTGTAAAGGCGACTAGTAAATACATTTTCTGTATTTACTTGCGAAGAGTCAAAAAATTAATAAATTGTCTTACCATGTCAGTGCCCAAATCAATGCAGAGGATGGTGACTGTTCCGAGAGGTAAGGGTATGTCAGCCAGGATGAAAACCAAGAAGGGAGTAATCTCAGGAATATTACTAGTCAGGGTGTAAGCGATGGATTTTTTCAAGTTGTCGAAAATCAGGCGACCTACCAAAATAACAAATATTTTAAAAAATGAAACAATTTTTTCTCTCCAATGACTTCTTGCTGAAAAAGAAATTAACTACACGTAAAAATGCTCAGATGGTGTAACTTTTCAAGCAATGAAAAATTAGACCACAGAACGTCTTTAAAATACTATAGATTTTCTGTATCATCTAGAGTTATATGTTGGGTATTTCACTACACCACTTAAGTGGTTGCCACAATTTTTGGCGTTGAAATGCTCTAACATTTTTTACAGTTCCATGAGTTTTCGATAACAAATATATTTTAAATGGAAAAATTGCGTGAAAGCAATACCTTCTTCCACACCAGTGACAATGGATGCAAAGTTGTCATCGAGAAGAATCATGTCTGCTGCTTGCTTGCTGACGTCACTGCCAGAGATGCCCATGGCCACACCAATGTCAGCCTTTTTGAGGGCAGGGGAGTCGTTCACTCCGTCACCCGTGACAGCAACAATGGCCCCCTGTCTCTGACACCCTTCTACTATGATCAGTTTCTGTTGGGGAGATGTTCGGGCAAACACAATCTCTGTATGTTCTCTCAGCAGTTCGTCCAACTCATCGGCAGACATCTCTCTTAGCTGCCCTCCATGGACGACGGCTGCTTTCGCATCCCTAGATTTTGTAAAGAAAAATAATTTTAATCATTTGTGTAGAAATAAATTAATTTTAAACAATCAATCATATTCTTAAATAAAATTGTTAAAGTAAAAAATCAGTTGGTTGGTTTTAATGCCACTTGCCACACGGGCAAGCTTGCTTGGTGAAACCCAGCAAATTTAAGGCAGCGAGTACGATTCTTGTTTTTCAGTGGTGCCATCTATGGCCAAGAATTCGACTTCTGCCACATCATACGTCACATTTGTTTATGAGGCTCTATCTCATTCATACATCCATTCATTCATCCACAGATCGTAATTTTGACCTGAATCAGAGAACGATCGATCTCCAATCCAGTACCCCCAGAGGTATTGATTTGTTATGGGAACATGGAGGGGTTTACGACTCGACAGAATTTTAACGAGCATCAGTCACTAACTAAAGTTCCGGATTACGAAAACTTTTTCCAACTGTTATTTACGTAAAAGTTCCCTCATATATGCATGCAGAGTATCTTCTAATGAAGTCTGATTTCACCGATTTTGATTTACTTCTGTATTTTACTTTAATTATGATTCTCTAATAATTTTATGAAATTAATAAGAATTTATTTTCCAATAATACTTTGTTTCATTCGGAAAATTGATAAAAATTTGCATGACTCAACGCTTTATTTCATCAAATCTCTATATCTAAAAAAAAGTTACGTTACTGCATTTTCAGAACATCATCGCCGTGAACGTTATTTATTCGTGTAATGTCAGAGCTATTGGATGACATTTTAAGAGATATGTGCGAAGAACAATTTGATATAGTATTGTCATTAATGTATTAATATACAAATGTTTAACATCAAGACTTACTGTACAAACTTATAAACGCCCACAAGACATTGTTAACTTTAAATGAAAGTGTCAAGAGAAGATGCAGCAACGCAAGGTAAACCTGATGTGAGGAAAACAAACCTGAACCTGAGATATACCGATTACACCTAGGGTGAGGGGAAATACCTTTGCTGTGAATAGACTGTGTAAAGAGCTTTTTTCTCCGTGAATGGCAACAGAGCTAAAAATTTCAAAAATGGAATTTTCAAAAGTGTGGTAATGTGTCGTGAGCATTTTTGCTATCTCGTGTGTGTCACTACTAAAATATTAGCCGCAAAGGAATAAATTACTCAAAAATAATAATTGAAAAAATAATTTAAAAGATTATTAAAAATATATTCAAATTAAGGTACCTAGGATCGACTTCTTCAATGGGAACGTCTAGTCTCATGGCAATATCTTCAACGGTCTCATTTCCTTCAGAGATGATGCCCACAGATTTTGCAATGGCAGCCGCAGTGATGGGATGATCACCGGTCACCATAATTACCTATCATTTAAACACATTCATCATTTCATGATAATAAAAAAAAACATTAAACAACTCTGGATGAATGCTTTCTTAAAAACTGGAGACAGAAAACAGTTAAGCAAACTACATTTAAAAGAAAATAATTGAATTACATGATATACAACTGACTGTTTCAATGCAAAGTATGCAATCTGAATAATGATCGCATTTTCACGTTTAATGACTCAATGATTCCACGTCAAATAATATGAGCAAAAGATAATTTAAGTTGTAAAATCAGAATTTTTTTCTGAATAAACATTCCTTTTAGATGGAAATGTGTCATTTTTAGTTTATGGATGCCACAAACATAAGTGCTATATATTTGAATTACCATGTTTCTTTAATAATTAAGATCAACACTTAAGGACAATCACGTCACCCCGACGCTTTACTAAACGTTTCTCCTGGCCATGCCCATACGAGAGTCTCAGCGGCCTCTTGCAACACTTATTTTAAGGAAACAGTTAGTTGATACAGTAGATTCATATACACTGGTGTGAGAAATAAAGAGAATTTGTTGATTATCTCTAGAACTACTGAACCGATTTTAATGAAATTTTGATATGTATACATACATTGATACAATACAAAACAAATAATCATTCAACAATTGTAATAGACACGCATGATCGTGCTTAACACTCGTTGGAGTCGGAAGGTATGAAACAGCGGTTACAGAATAAGTAATAAAAAAAAAGAGTTAATAGGGGGTATGGTCCCCTCTTACAGATATACAAGCCTTGCAGCGTGATTTTATACTTGAAATAAGGCTGTTTATCATTTCCTCTGGCAATTGGTCCCACTCTTTCAGCAACGCTGTTTACATTCTTTGGGTGGTTCTGGGGTAGCGAGTTGTAATTGCCCTCCCCAGAGCGGCTCTGATATGATCCATAGGGTCGAGGTCTGAAGATCTAGCTGGTCAATCCATCAGGCGAATGTCCTCACTCTCTAGATATTCGTCAACCAGAAATCGTCCATTAAAATGAACTCAGGGCCAACTGCACCCCCGAAAAAGCGAGCGTTGGACTCCAAGAGTCATCCCTATACGTCACACAAGTCACAGACCCTCTTACAAGGACATGGAGAGGTGTGAGGACATCCAACATCCCTGCCCAGACCATTAAACCTGCTCGGACCGGTCGATTTCACGGACATTCGAGGGTAGGTAGTGGGTCTTTGGTATTTAGGCTGAACCAGAACTCATAAGTGAAGAGAACGGTGGCCTACTGATCTATACTTCAATATCTATGCTCTGTGCACGATGCTGAAGGGACATTCCTGTTCGTAGAAGTGAGCGGGACGCAAACATCAGGTCTTCTTGCAAACTACCCTCTCTCAAGAAGCAGTTCATTTTATAACCGTCGTTGAACCCCCGACCCAATTTTGAGTTTACGACTGCTAATGTTCAACTCCGTAGCCTTGTAATTTTGAACCAATCCAGAATACAAGGAAAATCCTGGATCAGTACCCCCAGAGGTTTGATTTGTTATTGGAACATGGAGGACTTTGTGACTCGGCATATTTAACGTGCAGCAGTCACCATTTACTACACGGGGAGTCTTCGGCCGGTGGGGATTGAACCCAATATCTCTTGGACATGGGCCCAGAGCTCTACCAACCAGGCTATCCTGGCCTCATGAAGTAGTTTGGAAACAATCACCCTTGATACGCGGGTTCCTGTGGCTGCATAGAAATGACGAGAAGTAAGAAGCTGTAGCCCCTCTGCTACGCGTGGCTATAATGGACAAATGGCGATCTTCTCTGGCCGTCGTGACTCTTGGACCATCTTTCCCAGACTTTTTCTCGATGGATCCAGTATCCAGATCTGTTTCCATAAGTTACGCACGACGTTGGGCGTTAAATTGCACACTCTACAAATCTAGACCTGAGATTGGCCTGCTTCTAGCCTCCCCACAATTCGTCACTTCATCCTATCTTCTATGCGTTGGTGGTTACTCATTTTTACTGTTGCAATCTGAATTTTACCTATTGCTGTAAAATAACACCAAGAAATTCGCCGAGGTGTGCTAGAGAACGAAATGTATCTTAACTTTCTCGCACTTATAAAGCCTGTTTCTCTCTACTGGTTCCTCCTACACACACGTGTATGCTTAGGTATTTGATGTACAAGTCTTGCATTTTTTCCTAGAAGCAGTGGTTTTACATTCAGTTCAGTTCTTTTCGTGAAATTCGATAAATTATGCAAATTCTATTAATTTATTTCCCCAGTATATTTTACACATAATCGTTTTATTTTAAATTTTGAATTAATTTTAATTTTAAAAAATGTTAAAAATTTAGCAAAGAATGACTAAAATGCTTGTCAATTTCCAAAATTTTTTTTTTCTGGAGAAAGTTTTTTCTAGATTTATTACTTCTACAGGAAGAAAGTGCAAAACACTCAACCGAACTATAGTTGAGTCAACAATGTTGAAACAAAAAAGATGGGCAGGAAGGACTTTTTCAAAAGAGTTGTGTAGTGAGTAGTGCGATAAAAGAAAATAGTAGTTTGTAGCGAATCCTGGTAGCTACCTTTAACCCCTTCCTTCTCGATCCCGTGATATTTCCGGGCTGGAGTGCTCAGTCGTAACGCACCAATAAGAATAAAACTAATTCATTTCTTTCGCCCAGGAAAACATTTTATTTCTCATTTTACACACCAGATAGCAGTACCAGAATATTTTTAAGGCAATTGTAGATAGTTAGTTTATTTTAAACAAGATATCAGCACAAATCAATTTTCAGGGATAAAAAAAATAGGCACTTTTATTACCGTTTTCTTGAAAATTAACCGATTGTTAACGTTAGTTTAGAAACCATTCTAAATATTCAAAGTCGTCGTATCACGGCACTTTGAAAATCTAGCAAATTTTGGATGAAAGAAATTCCCAGACCACTTTAACAAAGAAATCATTACGTTACATGTCAACAGGAATTATTAAAAACATCTTATTTTGCAGATATAGAGAGAGAATATAAAATAGTACCTTGATTCCGGCACTTCGGCACTTTGCGACGGCGTCCGGCACAGCAGCCCTGGGAGGATCAATCATGGCTATAAGTCCGATAAAGCGGAGGTCGTTGAGTGGGAAATTCTGTTCCTCCGCGTCGAACGGATAACCATGGGGATACTTGTCGGACGGTAATGGCAGGTCGCAGAAACCTACGCAACACAACACACATTTAGCAACACTTTATTTATCATTGTAAAACAATTTATAAGTATGGCGTTGTTCTTGCAATTATTAATGTTCCCTTTACATTTCATTTTGGCACAACCTGCGGCCCGTCGCCTGTTGTTGTGCTACCAGCAAAAGTTTCTGGAAAATTTTGAATTGCACGTTTGAGTCATCACTTTCTGACGAGCGCAATTTACATAGATTCTATTGTTAATCTGTTTTTCGATCGCTTTTTGCGTCGTAATTTTGCATGATTTTTTTAAAAAAAACCAATACTTTTAAGATACGCGAATTTCGAAAATTTGAGTAATCACTTTCTGTCTCGCTTTATTTTTGCCGATTTCATCTTAAATCAAAGTGATTTTTCGATCCTTTTTTATAGCGAGCTTGTTTACAAAATTCGGCGAGGTTTTTAAAAAGTCCGATACATTTAATACGATATTACAACTTGTGAGTTTTAAATCGTGCATTTAATATTTCATATATTTTAATAGCGCACTGTTTATTTCCGCCGATTTCATCGCAAAACGAAAAGATTTTTTTCTTAAACTTTCCTTTAAATGACAGATTTTTCTACGCTTTTCCACATGATTTTGAAAATGCCAAATTTTTACTTAGAGATCATTACAACACGTGAGTTTCAAATCGCACGTTTAAATTACCTCTTTTTGACAAGCTTTGTTCATACCGATTTCATCATAAATCCAAGTTGTTTTGCAACGATTTTTCGGCAATTATTGCTTTAGATTTTCACGTGGTCTTAAAAATTCGGAATTTAATTACGACATGCGAATTTTAAATAATGCATTCAAATAATTACTTATTGACACGCTTTATTCATGCTGATTTCATCGCAATTTAAGCGATTTTTCTTCTGCAACTACTGCAATGCTTTTCCACGTGATTTTGACGAACCATTAACTTCATTAGACTATGATTTGACGAAATATTTTTTAAATAAAGTAATGGAAAAAGAAATTTTGTAAAAGGGAGTTTCAAAGGTGATTTTGCAAGACGTATCATGCCCAAATATGCTCAAGTAAAAGATTTTATTTTATGTTTTGAATTCAGACACTAAATTTTTTTTAAATTAATAAAAAAGAAAAGTGATGGAACTGTACCGATGACTCTTTCTCCGAGTCCTCCCAGCTCGAGGTACGCATTGTTAAAGGCGTCTTTCATTTCGTCGTCCAGAATCTTGTCCTTTCCGTTGATGAAGATGGTTGAGCACCTCTCGAGGATTCTCTCTGGGGCACCCTTCATGCACAGCAGGTAACCTCCATCCTGGATCTCGTGGATGGTCACCTGCAAACATTTCAATAATAGCACCATGAACAGACATTACCAATAAAGCTAAGTAATAAACATTAATCTGAGAGAAAACAGAAAAAGGTGGACAGATCGCTAGCCGGAGGACTGTTTTTTTCGTAATAAAAGAACCCCCTATAAAAGCAACAACAACACAGGGTAGGAGCATTTTAAATCCAACCTTCACTAGTATGCCCATTCATTTAACACTCAACAACGAGATTCATTATCACAATAAAGCTGTATTCATGAATTATCAACCATACAAAAGTGTCCACTTAGTTTTCTTTGCTTAATTGCGGGAGAAATATTTGACATCTCAAAGTTTTGTAATGCGATTTTTTTACGCAGTTAAATACTTCTGAATGATTTCAATATCTTTTTTTCTCCAGATTATAGATTTTGCGATTTTCATACCAACAAACTAAGATTTCTGAAGAGAAAAGTAGTATTTAATAACAAAATCAATTCACGTGAGCTCTTTAAGTAAATTTGATAACATATCATGAGCATTAGTTCTATGAACAAGTTCGAATCAAAATTATGTTGAATATGCTTTAAACGAAGCTCTTAAAACATAGCTGTAGCAAAAACTTTAAGATTCTCAAAAATGTGTTCTAGGGCGAGCTGCAAATACAAGAGAAGGATATTTAGATCTTAAACGCCAACACACAGCGAAATTCTTATTGCGTAGAAATTCTTCTTCAGATCTAATATGATAAAAATATTCCTTGCGTTGAACGCATTTCAACACTCCGATTTAACGGATTTCCTTAGATTTGAATTTTGCTTTTAAATATTATTGATTCATATTTTAAAACACTCCAACCAGCCATGAACAAACACACAGTTTTCTAGGGCTCTATTTAAACTGTCAGGGAATGTCGCTGAGCTGGTATGCCTCTGTTTGAACTTCCACACCATGACCAACGATATGACTTTTAGCCACGATAGACTAAACCAACACTTTGCTGCGTATAGACGTATGCTTTCTAGACTGCGAGGATCGAACTTACAACCTCCAGCTCTCCGCCATGAGTGTAACAGAAGGAGCGCTTACACTTTTCAAACTCATTCATGACAAGTATTTTAAATGTAGGAAATATTTCAATAACAGTCTGCAGAAAAGGTATATATGGTTTTTAAGTTGTTAATTTATCTAAAGTCTATGATGTTAGTCAGATTTTGGTGCTGCCATTAAAAGTTACCAGAATAATGGACAAACACTTTTTTTACAGGAAGACAGAAGTACAAAAACACCAACATAAACTTGATGACAACTTTCTGATTACAGATTTCGTCATACACCTTGTTGGCTAAATGACCAAGTCGATGAAGTAGTTTTGATGAAGCGTCCTGTCGAGGAAGTGGTTGTCGCTGAAATGAACGCGACCTGGTAAGCGGTGTGAGAGATTGTGTATATCTAAAAAAATTATTGAACGCCAAGATTATTCTTGCATATTCTGGTTTTTCAGTTGTTGCTTTTGTAGTGTCCATGGATGAAGGTTGTAAACTAGATGCCATTAATGGAGCGGTTAACTGCAGCCGCCAGCTCTGGTGCGTCGGTGCTATAAGGAATCTCCCGAAATGGTTCCTTAAGTGGCAGCATATCGAGCTTTAAAACACTTACAGAAAAAAATTGGGCATTTAAAGATATGTTTTGGTGTTAGTTGGGAATCTGGGCAGTTCTTGCTGTTGATATATGATCTTCTATTATCGGGATGGATTTTCATGCTCATGTTTTGTCCTTAGTCAGGTTAATGTAGATTTCTCTAGGACAATCAAAGTCTGTGATAAATGGTTTCCTGGTGAACCTGTTAATCTTCATTTAGCTACAGGATTTGCATCAGCGAGGGTGATGTCTTTATTGGATTGGCAGTTGCCACGGGCTTCTTTGGTCAAAAGATCAGCACATTCGTTGCTCTTTATATCTGCATGAGCTGGTATGCATTGTAGTACATAGTAATTTCCCCTGTAATGTAGCTGATGTAGTAGATTGATTGTAAGGCTGATGCCAGAGAAAGCGACTGATTCTTCTGAAAAGTCTAGAGCTAGAAAGTTGGTCAAGTAGAAGTTTATGGCTTCTTTAATAGCCAGAAGCTCGCAGGTGAAATTGGAGGCAATTTGACCTGTACTGATTTGATGTTTAGATTGCTCACCTCCTGAAAGGATAAAGAGAACGCCTCTGTTGAGGAAGCTATCAGAGGAACCATCGGTGTATGCGACAGCAAAGTTCCCACGAGACAGCTTTACAATAGTATCTGGGCCTTTTTGCCTGAGAGTGTAAGATCTTCATTTTTGGAGGCTGGTTGGGTATTTCAGTTTTTTTTTGTAAAATTCTATCATTTATGGCCAGCGTCCAAATTCATTACAAAGGGAAAAGTTTACCATTGAAATAAAGCTGTTACGGTAAACTAATGTAACCGTAGTAATGGAATGGAACCGTTTCGAAAGTAATGGAACCGTTTCGAACAAGCAGAAATTGTCTAAAGATAGTATTTTAATTTGAGAATTAACAAAAGATTGGTAAAGGCTATAGCGAATATATTCTGTTAACTTACGTGATATTTGTTGGTTGAATTGAAAGGGATTTCGGCTACTTTCGGATTCTTTCTTCTGTAACCGGCAACGTCTCCAACAGCCAATTCCATGCACTTCAAGATGGCGGATTCTGAAGCATCACCGGTGCAGTCCCTGCCAAAGTCAGACGTGGAATGAAATAAAATTAGAAAAAGATTTTCCAAGGCATGCAAATTTAAAGTTAATATAAACTGTAATTATACTCTTTTACAGCATACGTTTTGCGATCATAGGGATTCGTCACTTTTATGTTGAGGAGATTGCATTCATAAAGAACCGAGGTAGAATTTTCTAGTTTATTAAAACAATCAATTGACATATATAGTTATATTTAATAGCACATTGGACCCGTAATAGTTTTGTTAGCATTATTTTATTTCGTTCGTTGTAGGACATTCACGTGGAACCATGCACAAAAAGAGTTTCGCGTAATGCGTCTTTCATGAAAATAACATTCATTAGTACTTTATAGATTAGAGGCTGATAAAAAGATTGAATTACATTATTTAATAATTAGCAATTAATGTGTAGGCTAAAAAAAGTATATCTTTATGATATTTGTTAACTGTAAAGAAGTTATAAAAATTTTTTAGACGGTATTGTACGATTGAAAATTATTGTACGAAAACTTATTCAAGTACTTTCTTATGCATTTATTTAGTTGACTGTAAATAGTAATTAACGAAGAACCAGGTCCAACAATACTGCTTCAAATGGAAATATTATTACGCACTCTGAGTCACGAAAAATAACGGTTTTCAAAACCTGAAATGGAATTAAAAAGGAGGTATCCTATCGATATTGCCCAAGTAAGAAAAGTGAAGACTCACCTCTTGAGAATGTGAATGCTGTCCTGTCCAGGTTTGAACTCTGCCCTACTGCAGATTAAAGCAGCTCTGGACAAAGCGGTCCATCCGGGAGATGATTTGTCATATTGAACACCTGCAATGAAACGGTCAGATTAAGTGATGGATGTTGAATCAGTGATTGTAGGTGTGTCAAAGTTACGTGATTTTCCATCTCTCCACATTTTCCTCCATTCCATTTTATAGTTCCCGCAAATCTTGCTTTTTTCCCCCTTGTCATTGCAATTTAGTGAAAGTCAAAATAAATTGGAGCGGGGAAAAAGCAAGATTTACCCAATATATGGAAACGGAGGTGGGTAAAGAGTGGAGTGGTGAAGATTATGTTCTCTTTGGTTCGTGATTCTAAATGACAAAAGCGGAGAATTTAATCAGAATCAGCGATTTCATGTGAGGATCAGCGTCAGGATGTAGAACGCAATAAATTGTTTCTTTTAGCATCTATTTATTTGGAGAGGATTTTACGTTTCAGTGGGACTTATATGCTTCATTGAGATCGCTATGCATTATTTCGCCATGATTTAACGACGTTTCTGGTAAATTACATTTTAGTAGGACTTCTGGTATTTTGCGAGGTTTTTTATCTTCTTTTCATTAAGCAATTTATAGAGGTTTTTCGTATTAAAATAATTACTCTTTTTATATATTTTTTAATTTATACTTCTTTTATTTTTTTATGAAAGTAATTTTTTTTCTTCATTTAATGAACGTAAGTAAAATAATTTTATAGAATTTCATTATTTTTTAACCAATAAATCTTTAGTCTGTTTTAAATTTTAAAGAAACCCTATATTCGTTTTATATTCGACTACTAGTCAATTTGAAATTTTTAAAAAAAGCGATTTTTAGAAAGAGAGGATGTTTTTTTAAAATTCCTTTGCGAAAGGATTTCGAAAAATACCCTTAACTGACTTAATAACCAAAACTTACTTAGGATTTGTCTCACCGTTGTTTTGAATTAAAGGAGGCCACTTTCCACATCTTGATAAGAACTTTTTTTTTCTTCTCTAAGGAACTAAAAGAACTCGCTACGTAATAAAGCCGGGTGAAGATCTTTCCTGGTCACAAAGATAGAGGAAAATGCTTATACTGAAAGCAAGATAGCTGTCAGAGACTTCACCCCACACTTTCTGTCTAATCAGCTGTCTTATTTTACTTTTGCTTGAAATATATCAATCCATCAATGCTATTAACCTTGGTAGCCGATTGATCTTATGTGGTATCAGTTTCAATGATTATAGAACCACATGTTCAAGATTATGTTGTCCGATCGCAAGCAATATCACTCGTAGCATGTTCGACTGCGTACATGTTCAACTTACATTACAATATTGTTTGCATTCAAGTGGACATACTGTTTGTCTAAGATAGGTACTCTGCCAGACATTCGTCTGGAGCTGTGGCGGTGACTATGGTAACGAGGTATGATTATTTCAAGTAGGGGAGCGGGACCCTCTTTAGGACTGGTTTCGGCGAGAGAAAAGGAGTCCTCTTTATCGAAGCTACCCTCCATAAAATGCACTCTTCTTGTTTCCATAGCACCAGACTGCCGCAGACTTTGTGGCGGTCAGAGTACCTATCTGAGACAAACAGTAAACGATTGCACAAGTGTTCGATTGTTTTCAATATCAGTAAATACTATCAAAGTAAAAGTACCTGATTGATCTTCTGTGGTATCAGCTTCGATGATCTGATTATCGAACCACATGTGGGCAACGGTCATCCTGTTCTGGGTGAGAGTTCCAGTCTTATCCGAGCAGATGGTCGAGGTGGAACCCAGGGTTTCCACGGCCTCCAAATTTTTCACGAGACAATTCTTAGAAGCCATCCGCTTGGCAGTCAAAGTCAGGCACACCTGTCACAAACAAATCATCGAATCACAATAGTTTATCAACTCCTGGATCTTATTTTTAAGATGCGCGTTGATAAGTTACGCTTGTCATTCAAGAATTCTAGGAAGAAACCAACGCAGTTTCAAAAGAAACACTAAATACAACGATACTTACAGTTACGGTAGCCAGTAGACCTTCTGGTACGTTGGCTACGATGATACCAATGAGGAAGATGACGGCATCGAGCCAGTAATAGCCTAGAATGGCAGCGATAATGAAGAAAGACACACCGAGAAAGACAGCGACGCCTGTGATCAGATGGATGAAGTGTTCGATTTCCCGGGCAATCGGGGTGTCTCCCACTTCCAAGCCAGATGCCAGATTTGCAATACGGCCCATCACAGTTCGATCACCGGTATTTACAACGATGCCCTTGGCAGTGCCTGCGATAAAAAAGAATGATTAAATACAAATCTCATTCAGGAAAAAATATATGTAAAAAGTTAAGATTTATTTTTAGATCATTCAACAATGCGTCCATGTAAAATGTTAATAAAAATTATTTCACTGTTAGCACAAGCAGATTTTGACGGTCCAAGTCTAAGAAAATAGCCTTATTTCGAAGATTTTTGAATAACCTTTTTTACCTTCGATGCAAAGAACTGAAAATATTTATGCTTAAATAGTTAGTGAAGTGCAAAATAATGATCATCAGGGTTCACTCATTTTACAAAAAGTATTGCCGCCTGCAGAAAATAGATGCGTTTTTCTTAAAATGAAAGAATTATCAGATTAGACCCTCGAAAACCTAGAGAAATTTTTTTTCCTCTTTTTACACAAATAAAACGACACTCGTCTAGTCCGTTTTCACAAAGAGCATGACTTGAAAATTTTAATAAAATCAAAAATGTTCAAGTATCTAACCCAGTTTAACGCTTAAAAACACGAACCTTCAACGCAATTGGTGGAGAAAAAAGCCAGATTTCGAGTTTCCAGTGGATTATCATTTGATGCTTCGGGTGTTCTGGTCTGTGGTTCAGACTCTCCAGTCAGCGAGGAATTGTCCACTTTGCATCCAGAGGAATTGATGATCCTCATGTCAGCTGGAATCCTGTCGCCTCCTTTCACTTCAACGACGTCACCCACCACCACCTCTTCTGCAGTCATTGTCAACTTTTGACCATCCCTTAGAACGATTGCATACTGAAAAAGATATATTCATTATTTCAGCATTCACGCCAGAAAAAAAAGATAGTACATACACATAACATTACATGCAACACTTTGGAAACTAAGCCTTTTAAATGACAAAGAAAAAAGGAGAGTTTTAAAAAAATATCCATTATTTGTTACAAACACGGCTATTATTTGAGTAAAAAAAATTTTTGCTCATCATCTAGATGATATAATTAGTCGTATCTCCTGTGAGGGACAACTCCAAATAATTGACACCCTCTTTTTATGGGACAATTCTGCAGATCACGGTCTCTTTAAAAAGGAAGACTTCGTGTGCTGATGTTGTTGTTACACTTCCCCCTGGAGAAGGAAAGCCTAGACCAGGTCCAGAAGGCCCCGTCGCGTCCGTTCCTCATATATCTATAAAAAGTCCCGATCAACCAGCAGCTGCTTAAAAGAAGCGCCAAGGCAAAAAAGAAGGTGATCAGGACTAGCAGGTTGTGAGCAGGAACAAGGTTGGAAAATCTTCTCCCCATTTTGAAATCTTAAACGCTTAAGATGGCCTCTACCAAATCTGGCCATGGCCGACTGGAAAGGCCGAGGGCCGCAGCATGTTAATGATAGGCCAGTCTGCGAGACGGACGATGTAGTATGAGAATCATTATGTGACTGAACCATCTGACTAAGGGTTGTTTGCAGCTTCTTTTTAGTTAGAGGAACCACTAGGGCAGAAGACTTCGTGTGCTTACTTCTTAATAGGGAACACTATTGAAGTTGCACTAAAAGTTTCAGAAAGTGGTATAAAGTGTAAAATATAACTTGAAATATCTTAAGTGTGCTCTTCCCTCTTTTGATAAATTTCGCAGCAAGGAAAGAGGGAACAACGCGTTAAATGTTACAATCAATAGGAATTTCAGATTCAAAGAATTTTTCGGGGTAAAGTGAGAGGAAAGCGGTGAGAAGGTGTCTCACCAACCAGAAACTGCTTCGGTGGTATTGGAGGGGAGAAGAGTGCTCAATGAAAAAAAAAGCCTGAACAATCCAGTGATGATGATGGATTGCTAATTCAAAAGAACAGTCCGATGTCATTAGAATGAAAATTTAAATCGTTTTTAATTCTTGCAAAAGCTGCTGTGAAGTGGACACGTATCTTATCCATTCGCAATACATAGAATGGCTTCAAAGAGTAAAAGATAAACATCAAAAGAATTATGTAATGAATGAAGTAGAAATGGAAAATCTTGAAGTAGAATAGATCTGAAGTAGAATAGATCTGAAGTAGAATAGATCTGAAGTAGAATAGATCTAAAGTAGAATAGATTTATGAATATTTTTTATATTTAAATGCCAAGAAAGTAATATGCTTATAGGTAGAGAAAAAACAAATGTTTCAAAACTGTTACATTTAGAAAAACTAAAGCAATTAATTCATATAGAAATCTTTCATTAATTGTTATGTACGAGCAAAAATTATTCATGTAAATGGAATATTATTACTAGAAAAAGCAAAAGTTTTGAAAATGAAAACTAATTAAATTAGTTTTTTTAGTTATCATTCCCTCTCTGAATGAGGGACATATCTATCTAAGGGACACAATTTCTGGTTCCGACTGTGTCCCTTAATGAGAGGTTCTAAATACTGTTTTATCGCCAACACGGGCTTGGCAGTTTTTATTCTCGACGGCTTCACTTTGCAATATCTATCGACACTAACTGTTAACTCCATGCGTAAATGAGGAGCCGAATGTGTCAGGGGTCCATTTCTGGTGTTCTCGTTAGTTTGCATGAAAAAAAAGGGTAAAACTTCAAAAGCAGAATGATTTTGTTCTTTAGAAAATCGAAGATGTTGTCTTTTAGAAATCATTTCAAGAAGATGAAGCTGTTATGCAGCATGATAGCTGATGATTAGGTTGAAATATAAGGCAGATGGAAATCTTAATGCATTTTTTGCGTAGGCAAGTGTGGTGGGATATTTTTTTAAATGAAGATTGAATGAAATACTAAAATTTATGGCAAAAGAACCGGAGTTTAACTTTTTTATACCAAAAGTAAACGACATCACCCACTATGGATAAGCTCCACAAACTGTGTTGTAATTTAAGAATCTCGGAAAAATATCGTAAAGAAGGATCATGTCGGAAAACTGAAATCTCGATACAGTTTGCTTTTTTTCTTTTAAAAAAATTCGACTTGTTTATGTACAAACACTAAAAGGATGAATTTAGGAACTAAATAATTAAGAATTCTGTTAAAAAAATTAAGAATACTGGTCTATCAAATGAATAGAAGAATATTATAACAATAAAGGCTAAAACTATTCGAAAAAAATAATAATTTACAGACTGAAAAATCAAGTTTAAAAGCCATATTTTAGTGCATGTATGCATTGTTCTTAATTTATCGTTTTTTTTCTTCAACTAGTAAAAAGCCCAACAACTAACTGCAGTAGACGGCCATGAAAAATATTTTTTATTCATTAAACTGTTTTGAAAACTCCCTCACCAAAATTCAACGGTTTTCTTTGCTGCCCAAACTTCTGACAAAACGAGTTTTTCGGCAAAAACGAGTATTTCTATATCAAAGCTTTAAAATTTTCTCGTCGAATTGAATGTAGAGTTTAGTGTTATTTTTCACTGTGAACTTCTATAAATACTCTAGTTGCAGTTTTAATTCATTTTCACATTTTAATACAAAGTTGAAGGTTTACCTGAGGAACCATATTTTTGAAAGACTCCATAATTTTTGAACTTTTAGCTTCTTGATAGTAGGAAAATACACCGGTTACAATGACCACAACGGACAGCACAATACCTAAATACAGCTGAAATGAAGAAAAAAAGTTACATTACTTTCAAGAAATAAATAAAATATATTAACCCTGAAATCTTAGAAGCCTTCAATAAAAGCTCCCGATACCCGAATGGTAGGGAATGATATGGGAATAATTGTAGCTACTGTCTGGCAATTACGAGATGAGCCTAAAAACAACTTGACTGAGTGCTCATCTCGTGGTTGTAAAACAGTAGTACTTTTTATTCACAACGTTTATACATGAAATATGATTTATTTGACTCACTATTGTAATTTTTTTAAATTTCAGTCCTTCATTCACAAATATACAAGACAGAATGCTTTCCTTCACTATAGATTGAACCTTTAGCACTTTCTATCGATAAAAGGCTAAACATAAAACAATGTTCTTTTTACTTTTAAGAGAGTCACTATTTTAATTTGATGGATTCAGCTTAGCTTCCTTATTTTTACTATCCCAGTCAAATTAGATCGATAAAACACAATGCTTCAAATTAACTCCCAGAAAGCTGGAAATGACTTTAAATCACTGAGGGCACCCTAAACAAAGATAATGTGATTTTTGGGCGGTTTCTGATTTGAGCTAAACTTTTGAGAGCCAAAAAACTGCTAAATTTTCGGCGGTTTATAGTTTTTTCCTCATAATATCTTAAAATTGCAGCTATGAATTTTCACAATGTGAGCAAATTTAACAGTGGGCCCTTCCAGCCGCTGACTGAACGTGTTTGAGGCGAGATCCTGAGACCAAATTCGAAACACCCGAAAAATTATTTTCAGAATAGATTTTTGATCCTGTGTGGAGAGATACTAGAAAACAAGTTTTAACTTTGAACTCTACAGACTATATGATCAAGCACAAATAATAATCCAATACAGTGAGTACGGATTATATAAGTATGGATAAGCTCTGTAAAAAATCACATTGAGATTTTAATCTTCCATACTGCCTGGGTACCTCGGGTCAAAGAATGACCAGGTTTCTGAATAAAACCTAAAAGGATTAAATATTTAATACAAGGGCAGAGTTTATGACTAAAAGACGTAGAAGAAACAATTCTTTTAAATTTGAATCTCTTAAAATTTAATGAAACAATTGATAAAAGTAATTCTTTAAAGAAACATAAGAAAAAACAGCAAGTGAGTAAATTTAATAGTAAAGTTGAATGCATATTGAACCTATTCCTAACTTGACAGCCCTAACCCAGTCCTAAGACTTACTGGTTCTGTTTAGAGAATTCTATTAAACAAAACAAACTACATAAATTTTTTACGGCAGGCACTGAACCTTCGTTCTTAACCTCGGAAGATACCGGAAGTGTTGCTCCTTAAACGTTACCCAGTGAACCTAAGTCACGGAGGCCAGCAACATTACCCACGCCACACTGCCACAGATCCCAGTTTATAGGATGAGCCACACACATCACACAATAGAGAAGAACACACAGAGAGAAACATCGATGCCATGAGCGAGATTCGAACCCACATCCATTGGCTTTACAGTCAGGCACGATAACAGCTCGGCCACCTGGCCGACACATCGAAGTTGTAGTCGATAGAAATATCCAACCTACGAGGCAGTTGCTGTTGTTGTTCACTTACGTCGCACTAGAGCTGCACAGTGGGCTATTGGCGACGGTCTGGGAAACATCCCGGAGGATGATCCGAAGACATGCCATCACAATTTTGATCCTCTGCGGAGGAGATGGCACCCCCGCTTCGGTAGCCCGACGACCTGCTCGCGAAGTCGAGCGCTTTACGGTGGAACAGTTTAACGAGGACTCATATCGCACACCCTCGGTCCCTACGCAGGCTGATCCAAGTGGTCACCGACCCGCATACTGACAGCAGCCAGTGATGCTTGACTTCGGTGATCTGCTGGGAACCGTGTCTTAACGATCAGTCCACTGCGGGACAGCCTACGAGGCAGGCCTTCCCTTCAGTGATTTACAAATTATTTGCATCTTCTGGTTGTTAATGGCGACAAAGTGTTGCTCTTATGGGCAAACAATCTATGCTATAGGCCAGGGGTGGCGAACCTTTATACACCAACGTGCCATTTTTTCTAAAAAATTGTTTAATGAAGTCATAGACGTGCCGCCAAATAATTTTGACTTCGTGATTATTAGGAAAATAATAATATTAAATACTATCAACTCAAAACTTTTTATTTACAATGAAAAAAAAAACATATTGCAATGTCTCAGTTATAAGTAATTCAACAAATAACTTATATTAGGTTGACAATAACTGACAAATAACTTATATTAGGTTGTAAGATGTTAGTTTAAGAAGGACTGACAATTTTTTTGCTAGTTATTTATTGTTAGCTTGTTTTTTATGGTTAGACTGTTTTTTTTTAGCATTAGTTGTTAATTTTTTAATTAATTGTTTATTATTGCGTTTGTTTTTGTGAATTTTAATTTAATTGTTACAGAGTCTTTATAGTGTAGTAATATTTGTGTAATAACAATTCATAGTACTTTAACAATTGTGATCCGTGGCGTGTCCAAAATATTGTTTGGGGTGCCTTAAATGGCACGCGTGCCATTGGTTCGCCATATAGGCAAACCATCTGCTATAGGCAAACCATCGATTAATTGATGCAAGGTAGAAGGCGAGGTGTCAAAGTTGCATCAGATATGGTTTCTTTTCTTTTTTTAACTTTAGCAGATTTATTATTTCTTTTTAAAAAAAAGAGAGATAAAAGGGTGAGGGGTACTCACATTGTCATCTGGGGCTTCCTCGAATGTGGATGCCTGAATGGAGTAGGCAATGAAGCAAAGGACGGCACCGATCCAGAGGAGAAGGGCGAATCCTCCGAACAGATTCTTGCAGAATTTCACCCATTCCGGAGTCTTCTTGGGAGGAGTCAGGGCATTCGGTCCATCCCGAGCAAGCACCTCTTTTGCTTTGGTCGATGTCAGACCCTTTTTGGAAGAAGAAAAAAAAATAGTATTTAAAGATTCCTTTCCATTATTATTTATGGCACTTGTGGTGCCATGCAACGTGTATTTCGGTGACACACAAATAACTCAATTACTTTTAGTCAATGACCTTTTCTGGAATTAAAAAAAAAAACTTCCTTCTTGGGAAGTATACGTGAGAACTCAAATGAATTTCATAATATATTAAATTCTCAGTGTTTTCCTCAATGACTACATAATAGACTGAATGAGAAATTAAAGGCAAGACAACTAAACAGCAACTATAGTTACATAATCGTTTGAAATCAAAGGAGTTTCTTACAGATAATTTTTTTATGAGGAAATATAGCAAGTGGCGCACCAGAAAATAAACTGTTGCTTAACTGGTACACCCATCAAAAAAAGGTTCGCCATCTCTGGTCACTGCGAGGGTATTCTTTTCATGCTTTCCTTTAGGGTTTATGGCCTTCATCAAACTGTATTCAACTAACAAAAAAACTGGGGAAATCACTGAGTAGCGTTTTTCTGTACGTAATGCAATGCCACTCGCTGTGAATACTTCCATATGAAGCGTGGGACATTACACGGTTTTGCTATCAAAAGATTATGGACAAACGAGACATTTGCAATTGTACAGTCATGCTTAGTAAGAGTTTTTAAAAAAACATTCACTTCCTTGCGAATTAGTTTTCATCGTCAGAAATACTTGTGTTTTAACAATTAAAGAACGTTTTAATTGAGTTTGCTTTTAGTCAATGTTTTTTCTCCATTTTATTTTTATTATTCCGTTAACTTTCGTCACAAAAAGAAAAACTAAATACCCCGCCTTTTTTGTGGGGGAACTGTATTTCTTCTGGAATAAGTAAAAAAAACTAATTATTTCAGGAATTTTGACATAATTATTTTTGGTGCATCTCGGGAACAATCACTGAAGTTATTTAGAAGTTACATCGGGAGAGGTAGTTAACCATTTCAAAACTTAAAAGGCAGAATATACCGCGAGGAAAATTATTCATGACAAATTCTCTTTATTCGCATAAATAATTTAAAGTTTTACGAAAGTTTAAATCAGGTAGTTTTAATTGCTTGAAAAAAAATGTTTTTAAATTATCAAAGTGTTAACAAATTATGTTAGGACAACTCAGGATTACGCAACAGGGAAGGAACCTTGCAAACATTAGTTTGCATTTTGAAATTTTGAAAACATTTCTTCCAACATTTGAAACTTCGTGATTCACCAGATTTAACTTTTCTCTGAACTTTAAATTGTTTATGAAGATGAAAGAGAAAATATAGTTTGTCTAATCTAAAGTATCTTCTAGCCATTCGACTGGACCCGTGGCGGTGACTATGGTAACGAGGTAGAACCATTTTAAGTAGGGGTATCGGGTCACTGTTAAGGACAGGTTTTTGGCTCGGATCGGCGAGAGAAAAGGAATCTTTTTCTACTGTTTATTGTGTTAGCTCTAGAGTGAAGAGAAGCTACCCTCCCTGTAATGCATTATTCTTGTTTTCATATAGCAGCAGACGGTCTCAGACTTTGTGGAGGGGGCAGTTCTTACTGTAGACAAACTATAATTTTCCCGCAGTATAGCATTTATACACTGTATTTTAAAGTTCTCGGATGGCAACGCTTGGAAATTTCAGGTCTACTCACCAAACATTAGCGCCAATTCTTATTATGGAATTTAAGTATCCATACTTATATTGAAATTTATTTAGAGAGATTGGAACTTATGCCCCATGATGTTCTAAATTCGATTTATTTTAATACCAGTCCTACGTTTAAAATTTCATAGCATTAGCTTTGCCTTCTTTTTAAAAAAAAATCTTGCTTTAATTTCTTAAACAAGAAAACAATAAAGAAATATTTCTTAAATTTAAAAAATAAGGCCGACACAAAAGACGAAGGAAATTAAAAAATAAATTAAGAAAAGATGGCTAACTGTTAAGCCTATTTTTAATAATCTCCTGTTCGGTAATGGAACAAACCCACTGACTACAATCCAAGTTTATCAAATCGACTCCCATGTGTTTTAAGCCACGAGTTTCCTAAAATAAACAAGCGATCATCAATGATAGATAACGAACGTATGAGATTTCTGAGAACATCCAAGAAGGCACTTCCTTTCGCGCCAGAAATTGAATGACAGGCCAATTGTTCTATTTTTAATTGTGGCTTGCAAATTTGTTTGAAAGAGAACTGCTGAAGGAGAGGAAGTCTCTTCATTCTCAGGAAATATTTATTAGAAATATCATAACTGTTACTACACTTTCAACGGAAATTAGTTTTTTTTTACATTGTAATTTTTCTTCGTTTTCATTAACTCACTTTTGTGTCTGCAATGACGTCATAAAAGTGCACACTTCCCTACTACCTAGAATGCTCACATTTTAACTGAGACTGCGTAATGCAAGTTATAATTGTTTCCAGATTGCTACAAGTATAAATTATCATATATTCGAGAAAAGTGAATTTAACGTTCATTTAAATTCTGAAGCTATTAAGTTTAGCTGGAGAACTTAACTTTTAACTGAAACACTGAATTAAATCACATCGCCATTGTCAATCCTTTTATGATCACTACTAGCATTTTTTATCGAATTTATCATCAACAGAAATTCCGACCACTTTCTTACAACCGTTTCTTGAAAGTTGCAATAAGCAGAATTTATAGTTATATCACCGAGTAGAAATTATTTTTTTTATCGAAACTCACTACCACTTGTCAGCCAGCTATTAATGTGATCAAATTTTTAACTGCTGTTTTGTGTTCCGACCACTATAAAAAAAAATCTATCATTATATCGTCAAATGAAATTCCAACGGCACAACAATTTTGCAATAGTTTCCTCAAAGTTACGATTAGCAGAATTTATCGTTATATCTCCCAAAGAAGAAATCCATAGAAATTCTCTGCCACTTTTCAGTCAGCTACGAACCCTTCGGTGTGTTCCTCTGTATATCTGCAAAGCTATTTTGGGATTAATTTTTCTTAGCAGTATTATTTAAAATTCATTCAGGCGAATACAAAGTGCCCCCACTTCTTTGCTGCTTAGGAAGTGGTAGGACAACATTTCAGTTTATGGTGCAATACGTTAAGGTAATATGTCTTTTGACTTAAGTGCAGTTCTCGAAGAAGCAGACAAATGTATATCGATGAAACTATATGTTCTTTAAAAAATTGTACATTCAGACACAAAATAGCTAAACCAAAAATACCACAGAAATTTGAAGCTTTCCGAACAAATCTAATTTCAGATCCCTACACCCGAAATTGGGTAAGCTAGAGTGCTTGTATAAATGCAACAAAAAATTCGGTCCCCAGTGTTATTCTTTACTTTTAAAAGTGCTAAGTGAAGAATTCCAAGTGATCCGAATTTTAACTGTTATGTGTCCTGACCGTCACAGATTCATCGCCAAATAAAATTTATCGCCAACTGAAATTCTGAATAGTTAGTTTTTAATTTTCAAGTGGAGACCTACTTAAGGATTTTTTTGACACCTTCACTATTTTACAAACTATCAAAATTTCGATGACTATAAACAAAGACAGATAACTAAAAGAAAGCAAATAATTAACAAAAATTATTTTAAATTTTCAGTTTTCCAAATGAATTGAAAAGGAAAAAAAAAAAATTGGTTTCGACAAACCAAAAAAAAAATCATAAGGGTGGATTTATTTTATAATTAAACTATCATCCGTTTGACTTGATATAAAATAAATAAAAATATAACTTTTTTAATTGCAAAATTCAATATATTTTAACTTTGGTTTTATATTGAAATTTAAAAAAAAGAAACANTCATAAGGGTGGATTTATTTTATAATTAAACTATCACCCGTTTGACTTGATATAAAGTAACTAAAAATATAACTTTTTTAATTGCAAAATTCAATATATTTTAACTTTGGTTTTATATTGAAATTTAAAAAAAAGAAACAGTGGACGAGAGTAAGTCCAATGATAAATAGCAGGCGATGTATCACACCAAGCAGTCTGAATGGTAGCGGTTAAAAACCGCAATGTTTGTTCAGAGTTGTTCTACTAAGCATGTGATCTAAACACCTGCGCCATGAAAATGCATCTAATAGGTGGAAGTGATTCACACAAGCATAAACAGAGTAAAAAGTTTCTCTGCATACCACATTTAACCAGAAATAACAGGTGTACATTTGAAACTCAAATCATCTGTCATCATTCGCTTGAATTCATACATTAACGTTTTTCGTTGAATACTTCATCATCATAATCATTTATAATTTAAGAATTTATTTAGAACCGACTGCTACTTATTATCAAAAATAACTATCATATTCAAGAAATATTTCGCAATTGGATAGATCAAGAGTCACCAACTTTTTTTGTTCTTCTCAACTGCGACTTTAACTGGGTGTCGTCACGACTATGAATTATTTTAAAACTGCCATTCATTAATGGAATAGTCAGCGGAAGTTTTAAGTTTTTGAAATGAGAAAATAAAAAAACAATTCGATGAAAAATTTTTTTTCCCTGTGAAGAAAGTTCGAAGTAAAATTAATCAATGGAAGATAGGATAGAGATGTATAAGTTTTAATTCCCTGTGTTATGTCCCCTACTGATTGTAATTATGGGCCACGTTATAGGCTCATTAGAAAATTCTACTCTTAGCAAACAAAGTAGTCATTTAGCTATGAGACAGGTTAATTTGAAAAATATTTAGTATTTTCTAATCAGTCTAAAATATCTGGGCTTATTTTATTTTATTTTATAACCGTCGTTGAACAGTCGACCCAATCTTTGGGTTTACGACTACTAATGTTGAACTTCGTAGCCTTGTAATTTTGAACCCAATCCATAAGACAAGGGAACTCCTGGATCAAGTATTGGGAGAAATTTGTCTTCGTGAAGGACTTTTTGATGGAACTAATCCGCATTTGCGTTGCATGAAGAGGGAGAACACGAGAACCTCCCACGGTTAGCTTGACGGTAAAGGGACTAACTCATGATTCGTCTACTCC